ATCCAGGTACTGACCAAGCTCACACCTGCTTAGCTTCAGTGGGCTGCCAGTTGTGAGTTGCAGGGTGATATGGCTGCTGGCCATATCACCTTAAATAAGCCTTTATAATAAAATAAAGGTTTATTCCATGCTGAAAAGAAAAGAGACAACGTTTCAGCTGTGGAGCCTACACAACTGAAGAAAGCTCCACAGCCTAAACATTGTGTCTCTTTTCTTTCCATCATCCAGGTGGATGCTGCACATTGGTGGTGGTGGAGAGGAATCCCCATTACCTGTAAAGAACTTTGAGTGGAGTGTCCAGAAAAGCGCTATAGAAGTGTAAGCAATTATTATGATTATTATTTCTTGAGATGCCCACACCTGCTTTTGTTGTCGGCTGTTTTAACACGCTTACCAAGTCAATTATACCTAGGCCTGAGAAATTTATATACATCAAGAAGAGCAATGATCTAAATACAGATCCCTGTTGTACTCCAGTAATAACCTGACACCAGTCTTGAGAGTAATTCAAAACCTTTTATACAATTTCAGTTCATTACACATCATAAAGTTATCCACTGTTATACAGTAACTGCTTGCTCAAAGAAATCAATGAGTTGATTAAGATCTGCTCCTTTTAAATTCATGCCAATTATGAAGTTTCCATTGGGATGAACTTACAGTATTTCACTCCCTATCTGATTTGTTTGGAATGTGTCAAAAACATCTTATACTTAAAGTCCTAAATCTACCATTTTTACGTTAAAACAGATTTTATTGTTATGAAAACAAAAATGCATAATCTCAGCACAGCTTTTACACCAAGATTATACCCTCATGTGATACCTTTACCAGTAAAGCTCTAGCCTACATTAAAATAACTAAAGACTCCTGTTCATTTTTCTGTCTTCTCCATTAATTTTCCCTTTATAATGATTGTTAATCATTCAATGTAAAAATTCAAAGTGTTTGAGATCAATCCTACATCTATGTTTTAATGAGTCTTTTTACAATGACATGTAAATGCTTGAATATGTGCATACACAGAGTCCTGTCAGAATGACCACCTTACGTCTACTCTGCTACGAGCTTTGAGATACAACACGTGATAGCGTAAATAAACTTTTCTCCATATACTCAGAAATCAACAAGAATACCGACATAAAAGCTTCCACATATCTGAATTCAGAAATTAAAAGCTCACCTATCAGAAATTAACAATGATCCCTGTCTAACACTACAATGTACTGTGTACACGTGCAGCACAGAATGACATACCGGAGGTGGGAGAACCTGGACTTCCACTGCTGGCACTCCTCCTGCAGTCCACGCAGCTGCCCACCTGCCCCTTCCTTGTAGAGCTCCTTGTCGATCTCCTCAAACATCTGTTGTACCTGCCGTGACGCTGCCTTGTCAAACTCCTGCCGAGCAGACGACACAGGTAAAGCCCGAGGCCCATCTGCCATCTGAACCACTGCACCCTGCGCCTGAAGCCTACTCTCTGTGCCTGCATTTGTCGCAGCCTGGATTTCAGCAGGACAAATACTTACTGCTTTGCACTACAGTTAAAATGTGCAAATGTTCTGGGACTCAAATCATCTGTTGGAATGATTTACTCAGCTCCAGTACATCTTGGAGCATCATCATCTACATCTTGGTTGTTAGTCAGTTCCTAGGGCTGGGACATGGAAGACAGTTTTGCTGCTCAAAAATCCCACAAAAGATCTGTTTAGCTATGTGGCTGATGTTAGTGTTGCATTTTAGTTTCATTTTATTTTATTATCCTTTTCCAGTAAAAAAAAACTTAACCAGGCAATTACAGGGGCACAAGGAAGGACTTTAACCTAGGTGCAAACAGGGGGAATTTACAGACTCCAATTACACTGGACAGCATGTAATTGGACTGCTCAAATATCCATCTGAACACAGGGAGAACATGCAAATTCCACACTGTGCTTCACTATGCTGCTGTTCATGCTATAAAAAGCAGTGGAAATCTGAGAACTAACTGGCAGAGTGGGCGTGGAGGGCCATTCAGACTACACTGCAGGAGAGCGACATAAATACCCATTAATGACAGTCCCCAGTACTTTACTTCCTAAAGCTCAAACTGCTGTTGACTTTTTGTATTCAGTTGCACTGTTAAACAATGGAGCTAGACAAAGTGTAGTCTTTCTGTGTGTTTATTAGAAACTCTGCCAGCACTATCACGTCTTTCAAGGTTTGTTTGTTTTTATAACTTTAATTTTTTTGATTATTTAAAAAAATACCCATTTGGAAACTAAGCATTTTGAGTCTTTCAGCAATGAGACGCTTCAATAACAAGTAATTTGTTTAGGCCATTCTACACTTTTTTTTTTCATGAGACTTTTCAGTTTAGATTACAACTCAGCAATGAAGCTGTGCTCCTAGTGAAGGTTGTTTCCAGTGCAAGATCTGGGGTGAGTCACCACAGCACAGCATCTGTACTCACATCGTAGCCCCAAGAGAAGACAGAGCTTCGCTCGGTGGAGAGCCCAGTGCCAGTGTAGCTGTGGATCCCAGACCAAGATCGTGTTGTATCACCTGCAGTCAACGTTGGGCAGCTTGACCCCCCTGACACCTCTGAACTCTCCGAGTTGCTGCTAATAATCGTCAGGAGAAAGCAGGATAGCCGTGTTAGCAAATAAAAGTCAGTTCACTTAGCCAGGTTACAATTAACGCATTCATGCTAAGCTTCCTACCGAAGGTAGCTTCAACCACAGAAAAGCAAAGCTGTCAGAGAGAGTGCTGGGACACCTCAGTATTATAAAAATCAAAATGTTGTCATAATTTGTCAATTCTGAGGTGTCATGGCTCTTTTCAGATGGTGCTGAGGGTGACAAAAAGCTCAGTAGCAGGAAACCTGACAGCTTCTACCTGTTGTCAGTAGGGACAGCTTCTTGAAGGTCTTGCAGGTAGCATGGAGATAGGTTGTCATCATCCACCTCTGGGAGTGGGTGATTATCCAAACTGCTCCGAGAAAGCCCACGTCTGCAAGAGCAAAGTACATGGATCAGGCTTTATTTTTCATTTTGCCTGCTATTTGCTACGTTAAACACATGAAACATTATACTCATTTTAAAACATCCCCACAACCTGCAGAATACAGTCCTTCAAGATCAGAATTTCCAATAAGCCCTCATGCAAAACATCAGCACACGTGATCCTGTTATTTGCAGCTGTGCAAGGACGTACTCCAATTAGAGGCAAACTACTTCACACTTCCAATGCTTTATTGGTTAAAATAATAGCCAGCATCGCAAATTTTTTTTTTCCTTCCAAAGTAGTAAGAACATTATTTCATTGTTATATGGGGACCATCATCTCCAGTCCAACATGGCTGCCTGGTGTCAAGAAGATCAATAAATCTCTACATTTCATGACTACCTTTGAATCCGGCAACAAGGTTAGATTACTGAATAATTAAGAATGATTGTTTTTTTCCCCAAATTGAGAGCTCAGACAGAATGAAAATAAGAAAACTATGGATTGCTCATGAACAGACATACTGCACATCAACACTATTATGTACACATGCACCCTACACTTATTGCACACGATTGCTGTAAATTCTTCTCATATTCAGTATATTTACAGAAGATCATAAAGACGTTTGTAAACAAGGGCTGTTAAATTAAAAACTTCAGTTTTTAATTGTTCATTTTGTGAATTTACTGAAGAGTAGGTGATCACTCTCCAGGGAAACTACTGGGGGTTCCTAAAGAGATACTTTCCACATCTAGCCTAGAAGAGCTCAAAATCAACAGTGTCATTCTGCTCTCATAATGCAGACCTTTTAAGCTAATTGTTTGCAGTTCAGCTTTTAAAATGCAGTAATTTACAGCACCATTTTTTACAACAATTATCATGTCAGTTTCATTTTGATTTTAGGTTTCAACTAGGGTCAACTAACTTGAATCAGGGTTACTCAAATCAAATCAAAGTTTATTTCTCAAATGCACAACAATACAGCATGCAGCAGTAGTTGCTGGCAATGAAATGTCTTTTCTGCGAGCTCACAGAAATCACAAGAATCGCAAAATTCACAAAAATCACAAAATTGAGGTTACAAAAATAAGGTTACATAATAATAGATGTAATAGAAATTGAATAAAACTCAATGTGAGTAGAGCTGTTATGTGTCCATGGTGTATGCAATATATACAAGTAGTGCAGTTATGCTGAATACAGTGAAAACTGTGTGTCCATGTAGCCATTACAGGTGATTTGCTAAAGGAGCTGCAGGTGGGATATTTAGCAGTCTTACTGCCTGGAGGTAGAAGCTGTTCCGTAGTCAATTGGTTCGGTACCATTTCACCCATAATGTTGAAAACCTTTACTGCAAAACCCAGGCAACCACATTACCAACTTGTAGTCTGATTTCAGAAGCTAAGCACATTTGGGCCTGGTCAGTATTGAGATGTTAGAACTTTAAGGAAAACCAGATTGCTGCTTTAAGTAGTGCTGATGAACCAGTAGGTGTCTCTTTTCGTTCTGGACCGGAATTTCCAACCCAGTCCCCCAGTACAGTGCTGTAGGACATGCTGTCCTTCAGATAAGAAGTAACCCTGATGTCCTCAGTTCTTGGCCATTAAAGATCCCAAGGCACTTTTCACAAGAGCAGAGGTGTCAATACGGGTGTCCTAGCTAAAATCTTCTTTGAGTTAGTACATTCTGGCCTCCCTAAAAATCCCTTTAATTCGAAAGTGAAGTCATTTCTCAGTTATACACCTGATCCGCTGCGAAATGGGGCTAATTGTACATAATGCCTGTCACATATCACCTGCAGTGCAGGCTCTGCCTTGCAGTGTTTAACTAATACCCTCCTATACGTAAAGTGCTGTGGGAATCAGTAAATATTATTAGTAATTCTCTTTCCCTCTCTTCTAACACACTGAATTACACACTTTCTCAATGCCCTTGACACCTAGGCCTAAACTCTAATTTAGTCTTTTCTAGCTTAATTGGTCAAACAACATTTTTCTGCCAGTGCAGCATGTCTGCAGTGAGTTACCCAGGAGGTTGTTCGACTTCAGGAGTGGATGTAGTGTGACCCTTCCTATATGTACAGAACTATATAAATGCAACAAATCATCACGATTATTAACATTATTTTGAACTATTATTATCCAAATATTCAAGCAATAGCATTACCAATGAAGCAAATCAGTTCCGTCAAATATTATATTACAATCCTCCTTCACGTCTCTCTGAAACAATGGAATAGGCAAACCTATGGATTTAACTCTACAAAGTACATTTTATTCCCCTTCAGTTGCGATTTTCTCGCTGTGACGAGAGGGACTGACTCCGAGAAGACATTTAAAACAGCGATGTCAGTTATCGTACAAAGGGCACAGTTACAGAATACTCACATCTCCAGGCTGTGTGACACAGGTCGTCTGCTGTATCTCGAAATCATTTTCTTGTTCACAATTTCCCCATATCCCTCTCCGATAGGTCCTCCGTTAAGCTATCCTCTGATTCCCGTCCCCGTTGCCTCTTTCGCTGGGGGTGTACCATCGTTCTCACTTTCCGTGAGCTCCACTACTCAAGTCCTCAGTCCTGTAGGATGTCTGTTTACTTGAATATGGCCAATTTTATACTGATACGTCTAGAACGGGGTGAATATAGCAGAGGAATTAAGTCACCTAAGGACAGAAATGTCTACGTTTTTTTCAAAAACGACATATTCAGAAATACAAAAGTTCTAATTAGCTGTGAATTGTATTTTTCTGGAAGATGGACGGTTGACCATACCACCCTCTTAAAATGTTTTAATGTTTTCAACCCAAAGCTAGTTTAGCACCATCTAACAACAACAACTAGGCTGTCATGGATACCCATCTTACCCCTCTATCGTCATGCCTTCTGGGAAAAGTAGTTTTTGCTTCCCAACAATGTCAACGATTTACGAACTCGGCGAATCAGCAAAGGACTTCAGTTCCCGACTGCCACATAGGAGGGGCTACAATGCTCTCTGGGAAATGTAGTATTTATCTTAAATGCATCTGTTTTAAAGAGGGCAATGCGCCCATATACTAGAATTGAGTAGAATAAATATATTAGCTAAACTCTTAATTCTATAATAACTAACTGTCTATCAGAGAAAATTAATACAGTTGGAACTATTGTTTCAAAAATGCTTGTTTCCCAGTCGGGTCATTATGACCGTGCTTTTCCGGGAACAAGAAACTAAAGGAATGACCTGTGTCGTCATGTGTGCGTCAAGGCTGACAGTGTGCTTTCTTGAATTGCCTGTATACGATTTTTAAACGTGTGGAGTACATATAGGTTAATTTGTTCCTGTCTGTAATTATTTTGAAAGGTATACCCCCTGGAGACAAAGAGTAAGAATGTTTATTTTATACAGTGGCCTTTTCAATGATCGTCAGAGTACTGCATGTTTTTACTTTTCAATACTGATATGGCTAACTGGAGTTATATTAATATTTTGAATCATATGATGAAAGCTACTTTTGTAGCTTAATGTATTATTCAGTGAGTAGCTCTAATTAAAACTTTTAGCTTCTTTCCATTAATCTGTTTGCCTTGATTTAAAGTAAAAATGTGTGCATCGTACAAGAGGATGTTAATCTTAACTGCTTGATGAAAATGGATGAAAACCTTTTTGAAAAATATTTTCTGAAATAGTGAAAACGTGGTTGCATAGTTTCAGTCATCAGAAATAATGTCTTTCTTGAGTTATTCTGGTTATATTTTTCTTACCTCAAGGAACCCATAATCGAATCGTTGTTTGAGCCATGTTTCGAAACCTTCTTTTATGTATTTGATTTAATATGTTCACGTTTCTGCTGGGTCTCCATCAGTACTGTCGATAAATGCTAGCTTGATGCTACAGTTGTTTAAGGAAGAACATCCTCTCAATATGTAATACAAATGAAACAGTACAACAGCTGTATACATACACTACGGAGTTTAATTCCTCTTAAAAGATTTTTTACATTTATAATCTTGGTTTTCATTAAATATGTCAAAGAGCTTCGGGTGCACACTATCTAAAATGAGCGTGATGAGAGTATTATTTCAGTCTGGTGTTGTCTTCCTGTGTGGACAGCAGACATACAAGGGCACAATGGATGTGCTGAAAAGACCCCCTGTTGCCGAGGACATGGTGCAGTACCGCCTGTTTCTGGCCCAGCCCAATGCTTGTGATCCTCAAGCCGCTCAGCAGCTTCTGCAGCAGGATGTGGAGAGGATTCTGGTGCAGTTTGCGCCTCTGCTCGTGCAGTACATCTGGCAAAACCAACCTTTTAACATCAAATATGTTCCCGAAAAAGGTCAGCAAATGAACATCATTGTGGTAGGCAATCGAATATGTATGGTATTGTATTCTGTTTTCATGCAGTTCAGCTCTCTCACGTGAAATGTTACTGTAATTATAATAAAAACTGCATTACCTATACATTTCATTTTGGCTGTTTTATTAAGCATATCATATCATATTAAACATGTATCATTCTGCCTTGCAGCTGGTGTTCCTGCTCACATTGGGGGTTCCACACAATTTGGGGACAATGTGGAAGATGAATGGTTCATTGTGTATCTTATACAGGAGATCACCCGAACCTTCCCTCACCTGGCTGCCAGGTAAGGTTGTACAGCCATGTTGGAGCTGAGGTTATCTGATATTAGTTTTCAATCTTTTTTTTTTGTTTCAAGTTTTCCATCTTTCCAGAGATGTATTTCCTGAGGGTCCAGCCTGCTTATGGGCATTAAAGATTCCAGGATGCTATTCATAAGAGTAGGGGCGCACTGAGTTTTGGGAAAAATGCCATTTTAGCCCTTTTCTTTCTCAGTCTCTCTACTTTATTTCCTGGCTTCTTTGCCTTATCTTTGTATGAAATGACTGTTTATGAGTGTCTCCTAAAAGGATGATGCACTGTGGAAGGAAGAAGTACTTCATCATCTACAAAGGACTTTGGAATCCTTCAAAACGAAAAATACTGTATAAATACAAGTAACTAATACTTATGTTAGGTTGAAGGAAATTAAGATATTCCTCCTTCCCTGTCTCTATAGGGAAGTCCCTGTTGCCATTGTGTGATTGTGTTGGTTTGCAGGATTGAGGACAATGACGGAGAATTCTTGCTGATAGAAGCAGCTGAGCACCTTCCCCGATGGCTGAATCCAGAGAGCAGTGAAAACAGAGTGAGAACTTGTCCCTTTTGGCAGTCAGGTTCTTTGCAACAGGGAAAGCATTGTAACATTTGACAGACTCAGTAAAAATGTATGTTAACTTTGCATAAGTGTTAAAAGTTTTATAGTGCATCAAATCACAGAAAATCACAGAACAGTTTGTACTTCAAAGTCTGTCTTAAACACCCTTTTTTGTCTCCAGACCCTTAAAGCTTCAGTTTCCAGATTTGTAAACTGTCTTAAACTTATTTGTCAGGTGACAGAGGATGGCTGGTCAATCCCCACAGCTTTCTGGGGAATGTAGTCCAGTCAAGTGCTGTCATCATGGTCTCATCCTACTGTCCTCTCACATTTTATAAAGTAAATTAAACATTCAAAACACAAAAAATGCCTTTCTGTTAAAAGGACAGGATGGTTCATGGTTTACTTTTTCCCATCCTACCTTTTATTTATTTATCAGGAGAGGCTGAGCAGACTGATGCCTTGTGCACTCTGTCTATGCAGGTATTTCTTTACCGGGGTGAGCTGCACATCATCCCTGCACCCCAGGACCCTGGGGAGGAGGGGTGGCCCCCTGATGCCACACCCACCTTGCCCCAGGCGCTGGCCCTCCTATCCTCACAGCCTGAGACCTGTCTGGCTGCCCAACCCACCCGCACTGCTGTGGCCAAGAGAGTGAAGGGGTAATGAGGGTAGAGGACCTGATGGTCCTTTGTGCTGTAACATTTCCAATACCTTATTACCTTTTTCATTTCATTCATAATCATAACAATATTATTATAATAATATAATCAATCATTATATTAATATCAATCAGTATCTTAATAACAAGGGTTATTATTATTATTGATTAAATAAGATTCTAATTTAAGAGCAGTTTTTTCAGGTTGTCTGAACTGCAAGCATCTGTCCTGATACAGTAGATATTCTGGTAAAGTAGGAAAGTAAAACATACATGCACAACAAGTAGGACGTAAAAGCGAGGTCCTGACTCTCTGTGGTCATTAAAAATCCCAGGGCGCTTCTCGAAAAGAGTAGGGGTGTAACCCTGGTGTCCTGGCCAAATTTCCAATTGGCCCTTACCAATCATGGCCTCTAATAATCCCCATCTCTGAATTGGCTACATTACTCTGCTCTCCTCCCCACTGATAGCTGATGTGTGGTGAGCGCTCTGGCGCACTATGGCTGCCGTCGCATAATCCAGGTGGGGCTGCACATTGGTGGTGGTGGAGGGGATCCCCATTGCCTGTAAAGCTCTTTGAGTGGAGTGTCCAGAAAAGCGCTATATAAGTGTAAGCTATTATTATTATTATTATTATTATTATTATTATTATTATTTCCCCAACATCATCTTGTACTTCTGTGGGAAAAAGCATACACTTTGTTGTTTTGTCAGCAGGTGGTGCAAAAGAACAGGAAGTTATTTATTTGCAGTCTGATTGCTTTGAGCATTCTTACCCAAATAATCTTCCCACTAGAAGGAGATAGGTAGTCTGTTCAGATAGGTAAACTGTACCAGTTCTTGCCTGATAAAAAGAGACAAGCCTTGTTGTGATCTGAATAAGTGTTCCTAAATAAACACTGAGGCACCTCCGATTGCCACTGAACGGTAGATTGGGCATAGCGCACAGGTAGAGTATTATCACACTGTTAGGAACAGGTTTTCAGAGTACAATCTATAATGTTGCTATTTCAGTATTGCCCAGTTTTGGATTTTTCTCACTCAAATTGTTTTTGGGGGGAGTGTCTTACATTTGGGGGGAGTGCCCCCAGAGCGTTCATAACCCTTATGTGTAAAATGTGTATGTGTTTAAACTAAAGTGAAATTCATTAAGACTTAAAATGAAATCGGCTGCTGGTCTGAACCAGAGCCTGGAGCTGCAGTGGGTTGCCAGTGTCTCTGACCGGGCTGGTGTTGTGTGTGTCCCAGGTACCCAGGAAGGATTCAGGCCAACCTGCACCGTGCTCACTGTGTTGTGCCGGCCGCCATCGCGTCTGTGCTGGCACGGCGTCCAGATCTTGTGGCCCCGGCAGTGACGGCATTTTACCTAAGAGACCCTCTGGACCTGTGCGCCTGTCGGACTTTCCAAATCTTCCCGCCAGATCCATGTGTCTTGACCTCGGTAATGCACACATCGCTGATCATGCTCACGCTGATTCTGTCACTGGGGCAGATATGGGGATGTGCCCTTTGTTTTGTTTTTTTACGTTGCTACAGTATATGCATGTTATCCAACATATTCATTCTCCCATTTCATCTCTCCTTGTGTCTGTCAATGGCTTGTTAATATCTCAGTCTGTGCCCCGGCAGCAGTGAGTGCAGTGTGCTGTCTGTGTGTGTTGCAGGTGACATTCACACGGTGTCTGTATGCCCAGCTGGAGCAGCAGCGTTTCACTCCCGACCGCCGCAGCGGCTTCGCCTTGCCCCCCCGCTCACACCCTCAGTACCACGCCCGTGAGCTGGGCATGAAGCTGGTAGGAGCTGCAGCACTGGCTCTGATGCACCACTTTTCATTGTTTCGCCCTCGACGCATCAAGAAGCCTTTGTTTTGGGAATTTTCAAATAAAACAAGATGCAACGTGTGACACAAAATAAAGATGCTCATGTAGTATAAAACTAGGGAAACACATTGCTTCCATCAAGGAAAAAACAGTTTATCTCAAAATTACGAGACGGCAACGATAATTTTACTGTGAGAAAAACCTGTTATCCACCCAAGATATCGATAGGGTTTAAAGTCCTGACAATGTGCTGCACTGTGCTAATTACAAGATAGTGCATTCTCGTGTACTGTATGTGATTATTACGCGTCAGCACAATTGTAATAAAATACCTACATTATTATCATTATCTGACGCTCAGTTTTAAGCAGTTGAATCCATTTTGTTGTTTGAGGATGTGTATGGGTGTCCTCATGGAACTGTGTATACATGAGGTACAAACTGTAATGTTTCATTCTGAATAAACCCGAGGGGAAAGTCAGTCTGTGTGCATTTTGCCGTGTTGTACGTTGTACTAGACCCACAGTTCCAGCAAAGCTATCAATAGCTTTTAGGTACTGTCATTGCACAGTGTAACAGGTTATTCATACACTGAAATCATCGTTACTGTCTCATAATTATGAGCTAATTTGCTATCTCGTACTTAAGTGATATTTTTTTTTCCTTGGTAGCAGCAATGCGCTTCAGTATAAAACAAAGGGAGATAAGATTTAATGATGTTCCCATGCCATATTGCTTGAGGTGGGAACATGTTCGAATATTCTCATGATACCAATATTCAGTGCCAGAACGTTGAAATTTTATTTCATGCTTGAAGCCCCGAAGGTAGCAGTGATGCTCTGGTTTTCGTACTTTGCAGGCCCATGGCTTCGAGATTCTGTGCTCCAAGTGCAGGCAGCCATTGCCAGGATCAGACACCCCCGTGACTTCTAACCCTCTTTGGAGAGCATTCCTCGACAGCCTGAAAAAGAACAACTTTTTCAAAGTAGTTTGATTTTTTTTTTAATACGTTTGTGTAAAAAAAGAAGTGTTCATATGTTACAGGAATGCTTTATTGATAGAAAAATAATATTTCCAGACAGCAGGATTTCAGACAGGTTTCTCTGCACATATAGTAAATTTACCCATGTTAACTATTCTGATGTTCGTAGGTTGTGACATGATTGTTTTATTCAGGGTTTGCATAGATTGTTTCATTGGACACAGCTGTTTTATACTTTTTTTTGCAAGGATGGCAAGTCAGATACAAAAATAACTCTAGTGTCTGGTGAAACTACATTTTTTTTCACATAAAGGAACAAAATTGCACAGGATGCACCTTGTATGTGGCTGAGATTCAAATTTTTTAATGGCACTCAATTCACATATGGCTTTTTTGAAGTCTGTCTGTGTCCAGCGTCTTCCTTGAGACATTAATACACAGTCGTGCCAGGCCAGAAGCTCGGATTCAGATTCAGAGTGGATTTTAGTCTGCTGGTGGGACATTTAAGTCCCAGCAGGTCATAAAGGGTTGAATTAGGTGTGTTCCGTGTTTTACAGAGCACCTGACTCATGCTTGTCCCCTCTTTTCTCCTTCTTTGTGATGGGGTGTTCTGTGTGTCAGGGAGAGTTGGAGGGCTCTGCAATGTACAGGGAGCTGATGACCAAAGCGGAGAGCTTCTTTAAACAGTCGGTGACCATCCCACAAAGGTGAATTTCCCGCTCCCTTCATAGTGTACTTGAGTTTGTGGTTCTAATTTATCTGATTTTTGTCATAAGTCGTGCTTGACTTTCATACAAAGTGGGCAATTTTGACATTATTGAATCCTGACAAGATTGTGTGAAGTGATCTGAGAGCACACCATTATGAAAAGGCACTGGAAAAGTCACAGCTGATGGATTTATTGTGTGTTTGTTTGCGAGCAGCTCCACAGAGCTGTCCTCAGGGGAGCAGGTGCTGCAGGTCCTGAGAAGCTGCCAGTATAACTTGGAAGAACTGAGAGAGCAGGAGAGCCATCTGCCTCCCGAGGACAGTAAGTCCGATGGCCTTTTGGAGCATCATTCTCCAGTACAACAATTCTTCTTATTTGTGTTTTTCAAAATTCTGTTTATATGAAACGTCTCAAATGGAAACAAAACCATTACAGTTTCATTCATAGGAGAGTGCTTGTGATAGAACCTGGAGTGAAACAAATTCTCCTCTGTTAAAGGACTTTGGTGCTTCCGTGTTGACAGGTGACAGCTGGATGGAAATCTCCCCGGAGAAGCTTGACCGGCTGCTAGAGGAGACAGCAGGCCATGCTGCAGGTTGCTTGGGTCCCGACCAGGTGGCAGGGGGGCAGCAGGAGTCCGGGAGGAAGGAAGAGGCAGACTATAGCCTAGTTGCGGTGACAAAGAGCATGAAGGCCTTCATCAACAAGGTGTCCACGCATGAGGGGGCTGAGCTGCCCTGGTGAGCAAAACTGAACCAGTCAGAGTTTACAGGGCTCTGCAGCAGCAAATGGTACAGAAGAGTGACCTATATATAGCCATCAGCATCAGACTAGCCCAACAAAACTTTGCTCCTTCTCTTTTTTATTGTAAAACCTCATAGCATTTTATCATATATCTGTGTTTGCATACAGTATATCTTGTACATCTGTCTCACTCAGCATACTGTAACTGATCCTGTCCTTATGTCCTTATGTTCCAGGTCCCACTCTGATCCACCTTTCAAATTTGATGCAAACTCCATGGCCAGTGCTTTGGAAAGCCTTATTGGTATTATTCTGTATTTTCTGGATCATTTAAGTATATACAGTAGTGTTAAATGTTATTTAACTAAAGCAGATATTTATTCAATAATAATAGCAGATTGAATGAACAAGTGTGATGTTCTCTTCTCCTCATAGGGAGTGCTGGTGATGAGGAGCTCGACTCTGATGACCTTGAGGACAGTGATATAGATGAAAAGTTTGATAGTGAAGATGATGAGGAGCCTAAAGAAGATGGGCTTCCAGGTGAAGGAGCAGCGGGAGGGGGGGCGAGACACCTGGGCATCCTGAGAAGGTACATGGAGCAGATGGACCAGGAGCTGGCAGGGACACACATCGGGCACAGCTTCACTCAGGCAAACCATGCGGTGAGTCCCTGCATAGTTAAGTGTTAGGTGCACCTTTTATATATGTAGAGGTGTTCTTGCACTTGCCTGACCTCCGTATCAGCTCTGTCTCTTGTTTATTGTGATTTAATGATGGACATCCTGCACGCTGTTCAGCAGATTTCTGTGTCTCATCAGTGGAATAGATAACACCTGTACAGGTGTGGCTTTTTTGCCTGGGATGACATTTGAATTGGACTGTACAGGTCCAGCAATTGTATAGTTTGATTTAATACTTCTAAGGCATGTTTTCTAATTTACAATGTGTTTTTGGTTGTCATATTTTTCAGTACTATATTATGAAGTGCAAATAGGCTCTCTTCTACTCAAATGAATTAGACTAATGAAATATTTTTCACTTTTATATTCCAGAGTGGATAATGGTAATTTCAGTTGAGTTCTGGTACGCATTGTCTCACTCTCTCTGTCCTTCTGTCCATCAGGGTGGCAGCACCACAGACCCTGCCAAAGGCTCCCCAGCTGCTGCCAACAGAAGTAGCTGCCAAACTGAGGAGGACACAGTACCACTGGATGTGGATCTTAACCTCGTGACAAACCTGTTGGAGTCCCTCAGCTCCCAGGCTGGACTGGCCGGGCCTGCATCTAATCTTCTCCAGAGCATGGGGATACACCTGCCCCCCAACACTGATCACACCTGACAAGTTCATCCAGCACAATCCCCACCTGACACATTGTTTGTCTGAAATAGTGTTCCATTTTCTCAAACACAGACCTCACCTAAAGCAGCTTTCACCTCAACAAACCAACACTGAGTCACCAGATTTCTTTCATCTTAGATTACATCCACCTATTAAAACGAGAGCTTAACTACATTGCTTGGGCCACATCTCAGGACAGGCCTTTACTGTTTATCTGTGTGGAGGAGTGGCGAGGCACATCTATGCTGTGATCCTCTCAGCTAAGCATACTGATACCCTTAGAAACCTTTCTGTCATTAGGACAACACTGAAAAGCCCTTTGACAGCTACAGATAACAAAAATGACAATTGTGCAGCAGCCAAGGATTGTAATTTCAACAGGAGGTTTAAAGAATATGGATACTGTATATATTTTTTCAATAAAATCTGTGAAATCAATTGCATTATTTTGTAGTGTCTGTCTTTGTATTCACGCATTTTAATATACAATGAAAATCGGTATTTCACTCTGAAAAGAAAAGAGACGCATTCTTCAGTTGTGGTATGTAAAGACTACATTTAATAGATAACTTTGTTACATAGTGTTTGAGTCTACATGACAGGTGATGTAGAGATTTGCATTCATTCTTTTTCAACACTTTTACTGCAATTGAATATTCACCATTCTTCAAATGGTGAAAAATATGCTAACAAAATATGTTGGTTTCAACCATATTCTGCTTTTATTCCCCTGGCTTCAAAACAGTAGCAGGCTATAGAATAACAGAGCCAAGTCTTTGGCGGCGTGCAGGAGGGCAGCAGCAAGTGGGGAGCTGTACAGTGTGGCAAGAGCTAAGAAGAGGTGCTGCAGTGCTCCCAGGACTGTCATACCCAGCAGGTACCCCAGGAAGATCAGACTGTGCCAGCTGCCTCGGCTAAAGGCTTGGCCAGCATTGGGCAGCAGCAGGCACAGGAAGCCCAGCAGCAGGCTGCTGTTGACAGAAAGGGTGTAGTAGAGATCCAAGGGCGAGGTCTGGCCGCCTGCGTGCCGTCGCTGCAGCTCACCCACCTTGGCCAGCCAGCTCAGGCACAGGCTGTGCAGCAGCAGGCTGAGAGGGGCATAGAGATACACCAGTGGCTTCCAGGTGAACGATCCGTGCATCCCTGTGGGGAAAGGGGAAAGGGTTAGGACACTACAAGAGGAAAACAGACTGGAGTGAGGACGCCCAAATGTGCTTACATTTTGCCCCATAAGTGGTGACCTAGTTATAATTTAATTATACAATATGAATATATATTTCCATAAATATAATTCCATATATTTATCTACACTATACTACCAAAACACACTTTGTGGTTTTCTTCTTACTTCTGTTCTAAGCGACACCGAAGCACGAGGTTGGTGATGCATAAATTGCCCCCTTTCGATAAAAGGGCCTTCTAATGAGTAAATGTCACTTCCCTACCCCTGCATTTCCTTTAAAAAAAGTCCTAAGCAGATGTGTTTGAAAATCTCAAATCTGCCACAATCTCTTTCATTCTGTGTCACTACAAAGAGGGATTTGTGTTACTTGGTTAATGAATGATATGAAACAAAATTCCTTGGCCACTATATACATATTTCTGACTAATCATTAACTTAGATATCTCCTGGCTCCATAATCTTCACATTATCTTCACTGATTCCAATTTTGAGGCTCCAGGCTGTCCCACGTGGTTTCTCAGCACAGATAAACAGAGAGGAAGAGGGGTCATTACCCTAATCTTTTGTTAAGTTGAATGTTTGTTATGCAGGGTGCAGGCAAACACAGTATGTGTTATTTGAGCTGCTTCTCTATCAAGAGATAAATATAGAACTCCTACTTCCTGAGCTATAACCAGTCCTTATATAAATATCTAGTGATCACATTGCATGTTCTGTAACTGGTTAGACTGGCTGCTGCTGTTGCCTGTCCTTTGGTTTCTATGTGGATGAAGTCCTTTAAAGGTTTACCGTGGTAAACTGGCACAGTATTTCCATGTGCTTGGTATTGATTTGCTGTGCCACAGTAAACATTTACACCAAAAGGGAGAGACAAACCCAAGAAAGAAAAGGCTTGCAGTGAGTGCTGAGCCAGTGCAGACATACATACAGACAGCTACAGTACAGCAGTGAGTGTGACCAGACCCTGGAAACAGCAGGAAAGGCCAGGGGTGCAGAACTGCTGAGCTCCTAATGACCAGATTGTATACTGGGCAGTGAAAGAAGATTTTTCTCTTACAATCGCAACATATTAACACAAGTTATTAAGAAAATCTTTCTGTAGCAGGCACATTTGTATTTTATTGAATAGGTGGGACAGAGGTCATTTCATTATGCTGATGTTTTTCTTTCTTGATTTTCACAAGGTCTGTCATACAATTTAAATCCTCACATTCCCAGCGTTCTGTCAGCTCTTTCACTAATGAGGTGATCAAGAAGTCACTCAAGTACATGTGGTCCAATCATGATCTATCGAACTGATGTAAAAAAAATGTTTAATCAATTTCCAAAATCTGTATGCTTTATTTTGCTAAAATCGTATATCCTAAAAAGATTTGTAAGTAAGACCCTTATTATACTAGCTTGTTGCTCACACTAGTTTTCATCATAAACCTATGTCTTAGGAGTGTGGTTATCGTAAGCCCTGAAACCTACACACATCCTACTGTACAGTTTTCAAAACGGAGCAATAAAATGTGAGATTTTCTTTGACAGCTCTGTCCCTCCACAGTGGAGGCTGGGACTGGGGGGGAGTGACAAGGCCTGCAAGGAGTGGCCATTATGGATACCTGTGCTGATCAGCGCTGAGAGCGTGACAGCAGTCACCAGGGCAGTGATGCGGGGGGAAGGTGGCTTTGTCAGACCCAGGACATGGCTCCAGCCTGCGGACGCCAGGGGCAGCAGCTGCAGCATGAAGACGAACAGGTCGGAGGGGGCGTTGGCCTCTGCCCACAGCCCCAGCACAGCCTGGAGGCTGCTACAGATGGAGGGCACCAGCAGCCTCTCGCCCAGCTGCAGGGAGTAGGGCTGCAGTGTGACACAGCCCAGGGCCCGCAGGGCCACAGTGCACAGCAGAGTCAGCAGCACCTGGGGAGGAGCCAAGGGGTTCAAACGTCAATAATATGAATAATAATAATGGTACAAACACACAGAGGCTTTGGTGCCATTCATAGAAATATGTATATACTCGTATTCATCCACGAATATAGACAGGCATTTAAAGTGCCTCTAGTCACAGATAGAACTATTCTGCTCTCTCCCCCTCATACTCCAAATCTGTGAGTCTGTCTTGTGAACTGTTACCTGTGCCAGTGCGAGAGGAGCCAGATAGGGGTAGCGATACTGAGAAATGAAGAGACGGGTCAGAAAGTCATACAGTGTGCTGCCCAGGGAGTAGACCAATACAGCCAGCAGGACGGCGCCACAGTGCACCAGGGGCACCAGGAGTCTCTGGAGGATGGTGACCTGCCATGGTTTTCTGAAGAAACAGGTAGACCTGCCCAGGAGAGAGACTGTAGTTTATCCGCACTACATACACATTATAGTTCCAACAATTATTAATTTCAGCGCTCGAAAAATGCCAACGTGCAGGAAGTCTTCACAGCTGCACATAGGTAGCACATTATCACTAGGATTGTGGCACGTTTTTAAAGCAGCAAAAGTGAATAGTAGTCGCGTGAGTATTCTTAATGACTGATACGTTTTTTTTTTAATGAACTAAAAATCTTGATAGCATGTATTCAAATTGCAATTTAAGAATAACACTGGAACTTTTACTTATAATGCAAACTGTATTTCACAAGCCCAGGGAGCACTGAGGGGCATGCAGACCGGAAAATAACTCTCACAGCCACTCTAATTAGGAGATACTGCATAAACCCTTCCAGCCAGAAGAATGCCCTGTGGAGAATACACAGCAAGGACTCACAGACATCAGCTTGCTCAGTCTCAAAGCTTCACAGCTTTGAACACCAATTGTGGAAGGATCAGGGAGAAACAGATTAGACAATTTGGCAGAGTGTAATCTTTAGGAAACAGTGCCAGAAAAAAATACAATAATGCAGCAAAAACAAGTGCAGGTACAGCTGCCAGGATGTTTGTGTAGTTAGCAGCGATAAATGACATGGAATTAAATTGCATCAAACCTTGGGATGTTACAATTAGTTCATCCCTAGCCTAGCCTAAGGATCACAGCACTAATCCTCACCTTGGATGCTCTTCCTTTTCTCAAAAAGAACCACATAGTGCTTTGCAATTATCTACATGTTTCTTCTTTTCCTTTTCTTTCCTTGTTGCCTTCACACCTCATGCACGTGTTTATAAAACCATACCCAACACTTGCTCCTTGATAGTACTGTGTTGCCCCCGACTGCCTGCCGCTGGAGCGCCTGTCTCACCTGTCTGCACTGCAGCGGCTCCAGGCGGAGGTGAGGGTTTGCCGAATGCCCATCCTGAGCTCCTTGCCCTGAAACACGAGGACTGTCGGAGCACCACCTCACCGTCTCGAAGACAGCTGGGCAACAGGGTCTGTCATCTCCAAGGCTTCACCTCCATGACCCACTGCACACGTCTGGGCTGCAGGGCAACACAGCCACAATCTCTTATCTTTAATCATTTTTTTTAAGCCATAGAAAATAATCCACTATTTTTAATAGTAGCTTTGAGCTTACTGCCATACACTGCATTTTGTTTTGGACACTCTTTCAAAAAAGACTCAGAAACTTCTGAACTCAGTGGTTAGGAGCCAAGAGTGGGAGTGTTTATTTTTCAGATCGATCAGCCTCTGCTGTCATCCTCATATGGGAACAAATAATCAAACAGGCCTCCTCTTTTGTAAAGCATTTACCACCCCCCTCAACCTAAACCTCCACTGTCCTAGTGAGAGAACTATGCAACACGCTTGTAAAGAGTCCTTTTGCCAGCCTAAAATATTATCTTTTGAATTTGGGACATTAAGTAGTAAGTAAAAAATACAACAACCGGCAGTGCAACCTGAAAGACGTTAATTTATAAAAGCGTTCCAAATCCTTATTTCCATATTATCAGCCCCTTCAGGCTGCTGCCCTAACTCTCTTTATCAACATTTCCAGGACATGGCTTGTTTGGAAATAAAAGCTCCTAATTGCATCCACAGTTGATACCTTAAATCCTCTCAGTCTTTCCTCTCTCCCACCATTTATTTTACGTACCTCAAAATTGGATACTGTTCAGTCTGCTCAGCTTCTCCAAATCCTGTCTATACAGAAGAGGAAAAAAGAGCGAGGAAGTGAAGCAGGAAAGTCAGTGTTTCTGCTGGAACTGTCTTCATAGTCCTTAATTTGGAAGGTTTGGGATGTTTTTTTCAGATATGACAGACTTTTCACCAGGGCAGAGCAGTGGAAAGCAGCTCAATAGCCACAGAAAAGGGCTGACAGCAGACATCTCAATTAGTTTTTCTGTGCACTGGTACACTGAGACTAAATGGACTTTAATCCTGACTCTGTGCACACACCCCTTCAGTGAAATACCCCTCCTACTGAAATAATCATTTCCTATGGAAGCTCTGAGACCACTCTGTGTGTACTGGAGCTTTAATGCATTTTATCACATTAATATCCCTCTGCTGCTGCCTATTAAATCCGTCCCCTAATAGTCTGCTTTACGTTTCATATGTTATAAAAACACATCCTTAAATTAACATTATTGCAGCTATAAACATTATACTAATTTCAGTAATAATTAAATTAATTATTTAATTAATTAATATGCTCCTATTACATATGATCTTGTGTGGTGTGATGCTGTTTATGTTGTGTATTAACCTGGAACAGCAATAAAACTTCAATGATTTCAAATTGGAGTCAAACAGTTCATTTTCTTTCTTTACAGGGGTTGTATACATTGACATTGCAGTGCTTTATTGCTCTTAACTGATTGCACTTTCCTATTATATCTTTTCCTGAAACAGTGGGAACAGCCATACTTTTACAAGTAACAGTTTTGACACTGTAAGGCACGAGGAGATGGTGGAATTAAAATTCATTGATGCAAGCTGGGCCAGCTGTGACCCTCAACACTGACTCTACTGTTAACCACTGTTGCTCATTCTTCCAGACAGAAACTCAAAGCTGCACTCTTCTGTAGCGCACAACCAGTATGGAGCCACTTTCAATGAGGGATTAAAATGCAGCTAGTCACATCTGTGTGTGCAAAGCTAGTGTTCATCAAGCTGGATCTTAAGGAAAGCGAAAAACTGCCTTTCATGTAAGTATTTCCATTAATGTAGTCTGGAGCATTTGCCTCCTCCTAGGTTTAATGACATCAGTATAGTACTTCCCAGGAAACACTGGTATCATACACCCCACCAGAGGCCTTTGTCACAGAGACCTGCTGCCACGTGATTTGGGAGTAGGTAATCTGATGAAGTTCCACATGATTCCCATGGTTATCTATATAATGCACATGTAATAGTATATTTCTACTATTATAAACCATACAATGCACAGACACACTTAATCTCCATGGCTGCTATTTAGCAGTGATGTTTTTATAAAAAATTATTATTATTCATAAAAAATGCTGATCACCACCACTCTTGTTTGAACAGCATAGTAAGCTGCAGGTACAAATACGGAGTCATGTATAGAACAATTAGCCCAGTGTTTTTTAAAGACCAAGAAGGGGAGTGAATAAAAAGACTACCTGTGAGATGAATAAAAGTTCGGCACCAATTTTGTTACAAAAGCCTTTTTTAAAGGCTTACAGTGGAAATTTGTCATAGTAATTTGACAAGTAAAGGTTAAATCCACACCGAAAAACACAAAGAAAGAATGCAAAGTTACAGATTTAGAGACTCTTCCGGTGTAAGGGAGAGAGATAAAAGGTACAAGGACATAAAGCACAGGAGAACAAATGTCAGAGCACATGGGAGGTGAGAAAGAGTGTCCAGGTAAGGTAAGAAAAGCTTAAATCTGTACATGTACTGTATGCAAGGGTTCTGAAAAGAAATGAGTCAACCATTGAGAGCTGGTGGCAGTTTTGATCCAAATTTAAGGATAATTTGGGTTTCTGATGTGTTTCTGGAATTCTAGTCCTGGAATCCCAGTAAAAGGATGCACACAGAATGGCCAGTGTATTAATGGCAGCGTGTGGTCAAATTGGGAGCCAGTGGCAAAGAGAGATCTCTGGTCCTAACTGCTCTGACATGGTCTCCGGTTGAATAGTCGATCCTATTCTTCCTGTTCTTCCTGTTTTGCCAAAGTAAATGGCAGAGCTCCTTCTGCTGGAGATGTAATAAATGAGATTGCTGGCCAAACATGATGCTCTCTCTGCATCTAGGGGCTGTGAGCTCCAGTGAGCACCTCCAGGACAGCTGCACTCAGTGGGTACAGTGTGTCTACGGGAGGTGCTGCACAGAGTTCTCACTGCAAAGTCTATTTCCAGATACAGCACTCGTGCGGCGACAGGGACAGGTGTTAGTGATATGGCTCTAGCCGAGCGTGCTATCTGTTTCTCCCTCTCTCCCTCTCCATCTCTCTAGCTCTTTCTCTCTCTTTCTGTTACACCCTGTGTCTTTTTCACACCTTCTCCCTACCTCTCGAAGTCTCCCCATTTCCACACCCCTCCTTTCCTCTCTTTAACTCTCTCACCACAGTCGCCAGCACACTCAGTCCATGTACATCCTGCTGAACAGCACTATGGAGTCTACAATGGTGCTCTGCTCTCTTTAGGGAATGTTCTGCATGGAAGTGCAATCCTGTCCTTCCTCTGGATTTTCAGCATAAAGGCATATTCTGTAGGGAACTGTAAAAGTTTACAAATGAAAACACAGCAGTATACGTTTTCCATACATTGCAGTTTTCACCTCTTAGAGCAAAGTTCGCACCAGAGCAAAAACTCTTAGACGTCTCCTGACGGTATGCCAGAGTCCCCACTGCAGGGAGGCCGGGTGACTGGGTCATGGCTGCAGGGGGCGGGCGTGGCATCAGGCGCAGCCGCTCTCGTGTGCCAGCTTGTTACATCCACCTGTCGGAGCCAGCTTCTTTATAGAAGTCTAGAGCACTTCACCACGGCACATCGCCATGGTAACACACAAAAACAAGGGCCAGGGAGGCGCAAAAAAAAGTGTCTCTCACATCCGAGACAAACAAACAGCTACAAGGGGAGGAAATTGAACAAGCTTATGAAGAAAGGATTATAAAAAACACAAGTCTGGGGCAACTACCACCTAAGGGATTTATTGTTCCACTACTCATTTTGTCTTTAAAAGATGGTACATTGAAGTCAGTCTCAGTGGGTTTGCCTGGTTGGAGAGCCCACGGTGTGTGTTGCTGAGCCCAAGATGAGCGGCCCCTAACTGTGGCCCCTCTCTCAGCTGCTGGGAAGGGGAAGAGGCTCTCTCTCTGCGCCCACGAATGCCGGGCGCTGGAAAACATGGGCATCGTGACCTCCAGGTGAGCAATGCCAGTGAACTGGCCAAGGTTGCCAATCTCTCCTCTTCAAAACTTTAAGCTTGGGATAGGGTTACAATCAGGTTCACGACTGGGGTTTTAAGGGGACATATAAAGAATATGTTGCATTGTAGCAGCCTAGATAGGGATCCTTCCTGATGAAACTGGGATCAAATCTATTGATAAGTAACTGAATGAATCTGATGGGCCAGATGGACTCTCATTAGTCACCTTTGTTATGTTTATAAGGAGTAGACAATGCATGGAAAGGGAAACCACTGTAAGAGGCCATCACATTCATTACCACCACTTCTTTGAGAAGGTTCCTTATGAAACCAGGAAGGTTCCTTCTTTTAAATAAAAGCACAATGTTGTAGACAAGACAGAGAGGAATTGACTATTTTACTCTAGTGTAAAGAATGTTGCTAGCACAATAGACCACCATAGATACAAATGTTACTGTAACATTATTTGTAGGGGTGGTGTTATGATTACCATTTGGGATGAAGTGAGGTTGGTGTCAGAGAATTTGTATATACGTTATGTATTACTCAGATGAACATGTGCCAGCAATGACCTGTAGATGATGAGTGCACTTCTATTCTATTAACTAGAATGATGAAATTGCCTGCAGATGTTGTTACACAGTACACAGTACGGATACAACCTTGTGAAAAAGATGTATTGTCTTGTGCTGTCCTGTGAATCTTTTCTCACTCAGTCCATGTATTTCTCCGGCCCTCAGAGTGGGCAGGTGTCGGACAGCACCTTCAATTGAACCCCGAAATGCTTGGGAACCCCGACACAGTGCACCCTACCGAGAGTGTAACGGTACTGCAAACAGCCAGCACTGCCCTGCCCTGCCCCCCTCTCAGCCTTTCTCTCTGCAGCCAGGTAGAGTCTGTCTGTGTTTCCACAGATGCTTCATCACCTTATCTCTGTAGTCAGGGAAGTGGTTTCTACTCCATATGCGTTTCTAGTGTGCTAATTTGGAAAGGAGCCTACTCTCCCAGCACAGTACAGCATACCGAAGGAAAAGTGTGAAACTATACTATATTAGTGGCAATGTGTTGTTTTCTAGCACACCTGCACTGAATTAACATCAGCCTTAAACATGAATATCAACAGCAGGCTGTATCTGATGTACAGGAGAGGGATACAAGATACTGTGTGTGCAGTGTTTTCTGCTTTGGGGTTCAACAGGCACTTATTATCTATGTGTCGGGGCTGCTCAGCTGTTCCCACCTCACTCTGTTTTTCCTGTGTGCACGTGCCAGGCCCTGGTGAGGTACTGACCCCCGCGGTACCTGAGCGGCTGGCCGTAGAGAGGGGGTACGTCACGGCACAGCAGGTCTACAACCTCCTGAATGCTGAGGCCGGAGAGCCAGCATTGCACAACCCTAACTACATCCTCATTCTGGACTGCCGCAGCGCAGAGAGGTAAAACACACACTGGCATTACATTCCCTTGATCTGATTCTTGAGCTGTCGGAGTAATGAGTGTGTGTCCTTGTGTGCCATTAACCTTAGCTAGGCTCTGTTGCGCAGGTGCTGTGTCCATGTTATAACACAGGCTATTTGTGTGTTCACAGATATAAGCAGTGCCACCTGGTGACAGCGCGGGCGAGTCTGACAGTGCTGCACCCTGAGCTGGGCTGCCTGATCACCCGGGGACAGCTTCAGGAGTACAGCATCATCCTGCTGTATGCAGAAGAGGGACACAGTCCAGGTAACACACCTGCGTACTGACTCATGCTGGAACACTGGGCCATTGAGAGACAAATATAAATATAGGAAAAGACACATATGAAGCCATTCAGTTGCTTTTGCTCATTTGTTTTTCTAGTTTAATTAATTGCATTTATACTGTGTGTTTTAACCAAAGTGCTTTATACTGTATATATATATGGCATATGAGAGAACACTCTTTATCCATCAATGGGGTGACACATAGCATCCCTACTGCACCTTATGCCCCACTACTCTGCAGATCTGATCAAGATGTGAGAGATAACTTAATCAGTTATGTTAAGGGGGGACTGGACCGACACTTACCCAGGACACTCTTACTCCTACAAACAGCCATGGGATCTTTAATGGCCCAGTAGGCAGTGTCATCGCCAAGCAGCCTGCTCTATTCAGATCTCAGAAACTAAGCAAGGCTGGGCCTGGACAGTCCTGGGATAGGAGACCTCTAAGGAAGGCGAGGTTACTGCTGCCAGTATTATTCTTACAGTCCTCTTACACTGTTTGCCCCACACCTCTGTTTCAGAGGTAGATTTAACAAGTTTATTAACTGTATCTCACTTGTTTAAAAATCCCCTTTCTTGACATGCTTGCTCTCATTTTAAATATTTAATGTCAAACAAACAGCATTTGGCTACTTGTGCCAAGTGATCGATACACGTTGCATAGGTCAGAGCATGTGAAAAATATATCATTGTGGCTCAATTGCTCTCAAAACTCAGAGGCTTTTAAAGGTCTCACAGCTAAAGTGCAGCACCTCGGAAAAAACAAAATCCTAACTTGTGCCTCAGTTTCCTCTTTTGTGTGTCAGTGGGCAGTGAGAAGGCCAGGGCAGACTCGCCGACTCTGCAGCGCTGCTTCTTCCAGCTCAGCTCTCTCGGCATGGACCCTGTCATCCTGCTGGGGGGCTTCTCTGCATTCCACCGCCTGTACCCCTTCCTGTGCACGCCACGCATGGTGCTGTTGGAGCCAGAGCGCCGCGCCCTCACTATCTACCCCTCCGAGATCCTGGAGGGGGCGCTGTACCAGGGCTCGGCCGCCCAGGCGCAGGACTACCGCATCATCAAGAACCTGCACATTACCCACGTGGTCAACGCCACGGCGGAGTGCCCTGACGCCTTCCCCCGCACCCTGCGCTACCTGCGGCTGCGGCTCAGCGACGACACACAGCAGGACATGGGCGAGGCCCTGCCCCTGGCCACGCAGTTCATCGCCGGGGCGCTGCGCGGGGGAGCGGGCCGCGTGCTGGTGCACTGCAGCCTGGGCCGCAGCCGGAGCTCGGCGCTCACGATCGCCTTCCTCATGGAGCACCATCGCTGGTCGCTGCGCCACGCCTACCGCTGGCTGCAGGAGCGCCGGGCTTGCGCTGCGCCCAACGCTGGCTTCTTGCGCCAGCTGGCTGCCTACGAGGAGAAGCTCTTTGGCCAGAGGCTCACCTCGCTGGACGACATCCGCCTCTAAAGTCAATAACTGATACTCCAAGATCAACACCCTTCCACTCGCCGTTCTGCCGGACAGCTGCGGGCCCTGCTGACACGGAAGGCCAAGATCCACCGAGAGGACATTCAGGGCCGCAGACCAGTCTTGGACAGCCACCACGGCTCACCACAATCATATCAGATGCGCCACTTGGGGCAAGATGGGGGTGCCCTCTCCACCTTCAACTACCCTCGGCAAGTTGTTCAGTCATTTCCATCTCCCAGTTCTGTTCAAAATGTCATCTGTACTCATTCAGTGTTTCTATTTAGACTGTTTTTAAGCCGTAGATGTCTGTTTCACATGTGTGAACTGCACACTTTACTGAGGAAGCTGATATTTTCCATTGCTATGTCTCTATACTCCACAGCCCTTCTGCACTTCTGGGGTCCCCTGTCCATACTCCCACTGTTTACAGGGCAAGTTTGCACATGATTTCATTGGTTTCTACCATGCTGACACTGGAAGTTGTGAGATATACCCTAGACAAAACAATCAACATTTAACCTGGATGGTACTCTGAGCTAAAGTAGTTCAGTGATCGTGGTTTGTTAGTAAGTGATGCCAGTTAATACTGGCCACTGCCACAGATTATGTGATAGCCTGTACAAGTTACCAACTTCAAATAAATTGTAAAATTGAGATACTATGGAATTACCAGCAGCAGCAGAAAATGATGCTTAGTTCATGACACCAGCTAAGTACCTAAGTATGTAAATAATATTGTCCCTCCTAATAATTTGGTTTGATTATAATGGAGTAAATTCATGGACAAAGAAAATACAGGCAAATTAGTGTAAAATGCAAAGGAAGTCCACAGAAAAGTGGGAGGCTGCCCTGCAGAATTACCCTGGTGATGTTTCGGAAGGACAGAACCAAGGCCACTCCCTTCCCAGTGGGAGGAGAATAGGGTCTATTCAGGTCCCTCTCCAGAGCTCAGTGGGCCTCTGTACTGCACAGCAGCACTAGAAAGACTGAAAAGCTGTTCAACTGGCAAGCGCTATAGACAGACAACAGCAGAACACTCTGCGTGCTTATAGTACGTTTTAGGTGCACAGTGCTGAATTCAAATCCAGCCACCAAGTGACCAAAATAAAAAAAAACAAGAAAGGCTTTTGTTCTTGTTGTATAATACAGATTGTATTATAGTTGTTAAAACCGTAAGAGTACTGCACATTGTATTGTGGGAGTTTAAAAAATGTCCAGCAAAATTTGACATGCTTTGTATAAAAAAGGCAGGTATATTTTCACTGGAGGGTAAGAAAGGCTGCGATACTCAGGCAGCTCAGGTTCAGGGACTTTTTAAAAACTGAAAGTCAGATGCAAAAAGTGGTGTATTTCTCTGGTGGTCCTCAGAAATATTTATAAGGAGATCCATATTAACCTTTTCAGCGGTCGTTACAGCTCAATGTAGGTCTGCACTAGGTCAGATAATTCTGCTTGAAACAAAGAGCCAATGTTTACAATTGCATTTGAACAATGTGCCTCCCAGATGGATCCTGAATGTACAGTTCTAAGTTCTATCTCTGATTAAAATTATACTGCTCCAGCAGCCTGTTCTGTTTACATGCCTGTCTTTTGGAAATCTAGGGTGTTAAAGTGTACTGTAGCTGTGCACTGTAAGGAGATACAAGTGTGTTTCACTGTCCCAGTCCATTGCTGTCCTACAGTGCATTTAAATTACTGTCCTACTACAGGTCAGTAGAAAGCTATCAGACTGTATCCAGAGAACAGATTTGTAGCCTGAATTTCCCCAATCATTTTAGGATTTACAATAGCAAAAGTAGATTAGGGCTTTTTTAAATGCCATGTAAAGCCAAGAAGAATTTTAACATAAATGATTAAGCGCTGGTGGGGTCAGAAAGTAAAGAAATCTCAAGTTTAGGGACACGAATTTGAATCAGGAGTTTGCGGCTGTGCAGCCTCAGGGTCTTGTAAGATTCCAGCTGAAATCTGAACGAATAAATGGGAACAGTTATATCCTTAATTAGGACAGTCAAACGTATTCCAGGTATCTAATTATCCATTTCAAACATGCTCATAAAGCCCGCAGCACAACATCTCTCCAAGATCAGTGCTGTAGTCCTTTTCTGTGTATCTCGCTGGTGGAGTTAATGTTGCTCCCAAGAAGGAGGGGGGCAGAGTGTGTCCGCAGGTATCTCCTCCTTGACTGTAAACCTGACATTTAGGCTGGAGTCTGCCGTTAGACCCTACAACCCAGCCTGCTGATTGATCCACTCTTGCAGAAGCTGGTTGGCTACAGCAAAGGGAGGGGGAACCCAGAAAGAGGGGTTCCCCCCTTCGCCACGACGTGGTGGCCCCCCCCTGCTGAGGGCTCCTCTCACCTCTGCCACACTGAACCACCGGGCTTCCTCCAGCTCCGCACCACTCAGACTGACCTACAGGGACCACAACGGGACAGTCCTCAGATACAGCTGCACACAGAGGCCTGCGTCTGCATTTTCTACCTGCTACCGTCCTTGTAACAACAGACAAAATAACAGACTACAGCAAGCCAGGCTTGGAGATCCTGCACTTCAGTGATATATTAAGTATTAGCAAATGAATGGTTACATTATTACAATGCTAGCTTTTTGTCAGTGTAAAAAGGGACATTCCGGTTGAAAGCAATATTCTCAAAAGCGGGACGTCAACAATTAGAGAAGGCTGAGGAACGGTGGTCTTAAGTAGAGCTAACTCGGGCACACAGACAGGCTGGAAAGACAGACGGCGAAGATGCTACCTGTGTGCTGCCTGGGTTCACTGTGGCATGGCACGCCACCATGAGGGAGCTGTGTGGAAAGGGCCAGTGTTGGGAACCAGTGTAGTTCAGAGACTGCACCTCCAGTCCTACCTCCTCTGCCACCTCCCGCCTCACTGTCTCCTCCACTGTCTCTCCTGCAGGGAGTGACACAGAGTACCGATGACAAGGCACTCTAATATAGACTATCACAATCCCACATGGCACGCTGACAATAACAGGCAGCACTGACATGTGTACTCTGAGCACCACATTATATAACGAAAGAGAACACAGCCCATTTGGAGAGATCTAGGATTTCCCTGCTTGCTGTTATTTTTATTCTTATCTTTTAATGTCTGTTATTATTGTGAGTGCACAGCTGATTGCTATATAAAAGATTAAAAGTAAACTACAATGTGACAACTGGGACAGATAAGTGATCGATATGTATAAGGATCGTTCACTGGGTACAACCAAACAACCTTCAATGCACTTTTAAATGCTGATACCAGTTCAGATGTCTAGCATATTCTTATGAGATTTATGAGTTCACAAATCCTGTCTCACAATGCACAAATTTCCCTGCAGACCTGCTGTGACGGTTACAGTGTGTGTGTGTTGGCTGTACGGGGCAGCTCACCCATGTCACAGAACCCAGCCAGTGCACTGTACAAGCCCCTGGGGAAGGAAGGCTGCCGTGCCAGCAAACACTGCCTGCCATCCGTCACCAGCACGATCGCCACCGGCGCCATCTAGAGGACAAAACCACTCCTGAGCACACTGTGTCATACTCATCTCACCTTCGTACCACTTCCTGCATTTCCCCGTGTGGGGTTGAGCTACTGCTGTCTTTGCATCCTGGTAAAATCAAACATACAGCATACTAATCATGCCAGGCAAGCTGGAGGGCCTTTTGTTTCTTATTTTTGCATTTAACAGATGCTAAAAGATGCACTTGATTCAAGAACTGTTCGACTCGGTAACATTTTGAGGTAAAATGAAAAATGTAATTAGTTAATTATATCTGATTAAGTAACTGAGTGAATTAACTGAACAGGTCGATGCAACAGCAGTGAAATCAGGAATATCACAGTGTACAGTTTATAGCTGCATGCCCTCCTGTGACCTCAGCCCTCAGGCCAATGTCTGCTTACTTGTGGGTAGTAGGTAATCCTGCTGGTCTGGCACACCCGCTGGCTGCCAGCCTGGTTTCTTTTAGTAGGCAGCCCATTGGCACTAGAGTAACTGTGGGTCTGGTGCCAATGAATCAAGGCATGACCCTAAAAATACACCGGGGCACATAGTCAAGGCAGTGCAGACAAACACAAAAACACACACTCATTTTACAAAGGTGATAAGTAAAAAGACTTAGAGCTCCCTTTTGAATTTCTGGCCCCAAAGACCAGAGTAGGTTATCCCTGGTTAGGAGCAGCATTACAACAGTGCAGCTGTAGTCTCAACTCCATATAAAACAAGCAAAACTTTAATTTGGTACTTGATGGTGGCTTTCTGTTTGCCAGGGCTTTGGCATTGCTGCTGTCCAATGGAAACTTTGTTTAATCTTTCATTTATAATCAGACAAGACAATTTAATAAAATTCACATTTACTACATTGCCCAGGGGATGAATTTTATACAGCAAGGCAACATCCCACCCAGGCTTTAAATCCATGATCTTCTGGTAGGGAGTCCAGAGTTCTATCCACTAGTTCCATCAAAGCATAGTCAAACAAACACAGTGTGTTGTCTTGCCCTGATATCTGAGTCTAAGTTTTGATGTAATCCAAGCTAGGATTAGCTTTTGCATTTCTACATCATACTGTAAGTCAGCTTGCTGCCATGTAGCTCCCTCTTGTAGGTGCAGGTGTAGTGTGAAGGCGAGAGACTTATACCCGGGACACTGGTGAGACATCCTGTCCTGGCAGCAGAAAGAAAGCCTTCTTCAGGTCCACAAAGACGCCCCCACAGAGCTCCTCCACAGCCTCACGCTCCAGGCCACCTGAAGCAAACAGCCAGTCATTACAGCACCACAGCGTCAAACTCGCATCTTACTGCGAGAACAAAGAACAGCTCTCTTCCACAGTGTCACACCTTCTCTCTTCCACATGTCAGATTGTCATGTCAGATATTTTTGTAAAATTTTGCTTTGTATTGGTGTAAGCACCAGTACTGTTCAAAATACGACGTTACTTATAGATGGCATTAAAAAGTTAAAATCTTTACCTATTCATGAATGTTTACTGATTTTTCTTATGAAAAAACACAGGCTGCATTCTGGGAGTTTTTTTGCTTACCAGCTGTTAGGGAGGTTTAATTTTTTTGTTTTGCTCTTACCAACATCAAGGGAAAACTGTGCCACTTGATTCTCTGAGCAGCCAATCAGAAATGACTCCTCCAGTAGCTGCTCATCTCTATCCAGCTTTCTCAGGATTCCTTTCACATCTGGAAGAAGGAAAGTGCATGTATAAACGCTCACAAGCTGCAAGCTTCAAAATGAGACAGTCTGCATGTTTCTTCTGTTTTATTCATTTTTTGTTGTTAAGGTGTTTCAAATACATTTCATGCAATTCTATGGTGATCTTCAACTGAAGCTTTAACCATTTTGTTTTATGATATTTTATAGTGCAAGATGTAGTCCTTTAACTTTATGGATGTCAAACAGAGACATGGCACAGCAGTGTGGGCCCTGGGTTCAATTATGGGATGGGAGGCACATGTTCACCTCGTGTTTTCATGGGGGTGTTCAAGGTGTGCCAGCTTCCTTCCACCTTCCAATCACATGCTGCTGAGGATAAGTCTTGTCCCTGTATATGTATGCTTCCCCTGCAATGAACTGGTGTATACTTCCAGACCTTGCTTATTCCTGCCCTGTGCCAGTTCACCAGCCTTCCCCTCCGCTGGGACCCTGGCTGGCTCACCTGCCGCCTGCAGTATGGCTGCACGATACCCTCCCTGCTCGGCCTTGTGCAGCAGGGGTGCCAGTCTGTGGTAGAGGAGGAAACTGCCAGACTGCAGCGCCAGTTGACACGCCTCATCATCCTCCTTCAGACGCAGCAGGTAGCTGCAGTCAGACAGATGGACAGCACCACAGCAAGGTTTCAAACTACTATTTGCACACTAACTGGACTTGTCCATTGGCATTGCACTGCATTGAGGTGATCATTCGTTAATGAGCTGCAAGGTATTCAAGAACACCCCCCAATCCATTGAGTGCTTCTTCTAGATTTTAGCATCACGTGTACTTTAATCCAGTTGCATAATTACAGTAGTTCTTTATGTCAAAGTACAGCACTGAAATATATTAGAAGGAGGAATATCTGATGATTACTGGTTTTGTAAGTTAGTTGCCCCAAAAAATATAAATGTAAACTGTAGTCATATTCTGCCAGTTTCCCAGAACATGAATCCCAGCCCCTACAGGTAAAACACGTCCTCTAATCCATTTTTAATCCATCTGAATCCTTAAGATAAAAGCCTATACTTATAAACTGTGACATAAATTAAGAATTTTGAATGGAACAAAAAAAAAAAAACTAGAACACTGCAACCTTCAAAGCAGGAACTTTGAGCACCCCAGATCTATGCCAGTCTAAACATGTCTATTAAGACTGCTGGTAGGTAAACTGACCGCATCTGGGACACATAGCTGGAGTATGGCCTCCAGCCCAGCAACCTGCTTCTGAAGAGAATCTGTGCAGCCCAGCGCATTCTTCCGCCCCCGTCTCTAACTGCCCCAGAGCTTGGTCTCCGAACACTACTGCAGGACTCCTGTGGCAAAAACGATTACAGGCAGGGAGGAAAGAGAGAGACTGAAGGGATAAATAATACCGTGAGAGATCAGATTTTCTCTAGAACTTTGAGAAAAAAAAGGATGTTAATCTTTGAAGAAATGGGTGCCACTTTAATAAAATTTCCTGGTCACTTATGGTACATTGAGCAAACGCGTTGTAAACATTTCAACTTCTTTGAACAGCAGTGGATTCCACATTTATTTGGCTTTTCACTTTTAAAAATCAAACCTCCTGTTTCATTGCACAACAATACTATTCCAAACGTATTCCGAAATTTGTTTTCCCATGAATTACTATCAAAAGCATATATAATATATAATTCACAATTTCCGAATATTTGTATTCCGATTTTAACCAGTCTTAAAGCTCGTGGAACACTTAACACTTATGTGGAGACGCGAATCTCCATATAAGTAAAATGCGCAATTTAAATCTCCCCTTAAAAGAATTGCCTGTTCTAAATTTGTTCCTAACATAGAATTACAGAAAGGGTTAGAAAGCATAATACAAAGGGATACTGCCTATTTGATGAAGAATGATTTCAAAGGTCGTACGACTTTAAATTCTGACACTTAGCTGTATAAATCGCGCTACCTTCTCTTCCCCAAATAGAACCGCAGCTCGCAAACAGTAACCAGGACCTTTGCGGACTGTAAAATAAAACAAACTACAGGCCAAACAACTCAATTTGAACAGAACACTAACGACAAACTCTAAAGTTAAGAGGCGGGTACAGAGTCCCAGTTTCACATTTTCATAATAGGCACCGTGACCCGGAGACAGACTGTCGAAAGTGCTCATGCGAAAACGAAGGGGCTGTCTGCCTTTAGTAGGCACTGTACCTAATAATACCATACGGAATATAGCAGCAATCGCTCGCACAATTATGATATTGTTATTGCTTGAGTATTTTAGAAATCGGCTAAGCAGACTGTCTTGAAGATGTTAACTTCTTTTAAAGTCTGCCTTCGGGAGGGCAGACTTTTATATTAGGATCGTTATAACATTAATGGGGGTGGATGTTCAGCGTTATTGATACAAGTGGTTGTTTGGCCGTGATAAATATTTACACGTGGATGCTTTCAGCGACACAAAGCGTAGGAGGAGGAGTTTATAACTCTTCCTATGTGTTAATGTTGTTACAGAATACCATGAATGTACCAGCTGTGCAGATTGCTTTCTAGCCGTGTCTACTGTTCAAACTGTGTGCACATTAATTTGTAACGTAAGCATGTTTATGTGCATATACAATATAGGTTAAAGTAGTTCAAGTAGGTAGCTGCGTCAGCATGCCTAGGCTGAAAAACACAATGTTTCAGCTGTGAAGCCTTCTTCAGTTCCGGGAATAAGGCTCCACAGCCGAAACGTTGAGTTACCTTTCTTCTCTTTTCAGCATTGAATACACCTTTACTTGATCCTTTGCAGTATAGGTTGTGCAGTTTTTGATAGATCTGCAATATTTTTCAGCTCCCCAAGCTCAAAGCTCTAATGTCAGTTTTCCCAGCTCCTCTCTTTGAGCCTGCATGTTTTCTAGATCTTCTTAACTTACAAACAACCCTTCATCGAGTGCTAAATTGATCTGATTATGGTTTAACTTGACTTCCGCCAAACCTTGCGCTGTTGGGAATTTAAAGGAGGGCTCTCCCACCCTGGTCCTGGAGAGCCCCCAGTTCATCGATTGGTGGCCTACAAATCTTTAGCTCTTTGGCTCTCCTGGACCAGAGCAGGAGACCCCTGTTGAAAAGAAACAGAGAACCCGCAGGATTCGAGACCAGAAAGCTCCAGATGTGTACCCTTGTTCTAAAGACTCGGTTAAGAGTTTTGATTTTTGTGGGATCAGTTAATTTACATGGCCCCTGCTCTAAGACTTCATGCAGTCTCCTCCTCCTTCCTGCTTTTTACCATTCCAAAACCTTTTCTTCCAATGCTTCCCTTCCTGCTTTTAACATCATGCCGAATAATCTTACGGGCGTTTTCTAAATAAACCCCTTCTAGGTTTTGAACTGGATATTCAAAGAGCCCATGCTAAAATTAACTTAATTGCAATGAGATTTATGTTCACTATTTATAGAATACATGACTGTGGTTTCTTCATCCACATCACGACTTCCTATTTTTTCTTTTGGATTTACAGTTTTTTTATTTTTAGTGTTGCATTTTTGCACAGTGTTAAGATGGTGAAATAAGTGTATGCGCTGAGATTAATAGACGAGCCTCGCATTTATTATAGGGTTGTCTGTTTTACATCAGGAAGGCAAGGGTGGAAACGGGGGCTAAATAATTAACGTGAGATCTGAAAGACAGGGAAATGCATAACTGTGTTTACTTAATCTTTAAAATATAGAAAAATAATCACATAATTATTTATTAGAACTTGCATTATTTAATAAAACTGGTCTAACCAGACACAAGTCAATGGCACAAAATAATATTAAAAAATAACATCATTTATCGTACAGCAGACTGCATGCATTTCAGCACTTGACGTTTTTAAAGGCGGAGGCTATTTAAGGGTGCTTTGGGGATTCTTTTATCCGTTTTCTTTTGGGTTTAATACAGCTGCATACCACTAGTTAGAATAAAATCTCTACAGTGTAAAGCTTATTCATTCACTTCATTGTGAAACACTAAGTTTCTTGCCACTGTTGTAGCTCTGCGTTACCAGTTCATTGCGTGCTCCGCGGCAGGCGAGCATGCTATGTCTTATTTGAAATACAACCACAACAGCCAAAACAGTACACAGAAAAGTACGAAAATTAAAAGAGTGAGTTGCCACGGCGTTGCAATTTTGGAAACGCATGCTCAATGTATCATCTATAAAGTTCTGATGGGACAGAGAATACCGCGTGTGTGCGCTCCTGCACGTAGCGGAGCTCCGCCTCCACTGAGCGCCAGGGGGCAACATGGAGCCCGAAGGAATGCAGCTGGAGACGGATATAAAAACCAGGAGACGGGGTGAGAAAAGGAAACCGTCGTAAACTGGCCTTAGAGGAGATATCGCCGGTAGAAGTAGAGCTTATACGCGGCTACTAACTTGGAGGCGACGTGAAGAAACAGGAATCCCAAGGTGAGAGCTTTCTTTATCCGTATTTCTATAGACCAAGCGTTTGTTCCTTGTTCATTTTTTTTGCCTTGAATTTTATTTCTGCGTGTACAACGAGTAGAGTCTAGAAATTTCTTAGCGCTCCACCAGCATGAGGTTTTGCATCCACAGCAAGTCGGATGCTCTGTGGTGAGATTTTCACTACTGTAGCCAAACGGTATTTGACTTCGTTCAGAGAAATCCGCTGTGTGTTGTAGCTGTCTTTGCACAAATATTGGTCAAACAAGCTAGTGCAACAAATAACGTCTGTTTCCGGTTTTATTATTCTTTGATAATAGCACGTAGCCACCCTGTTTAGAGTTGGGGGGCTGCAGAGATTTACTGGCTCAAAATAAACGCTACGCATGAAAAAGTTTATCCGAGTGGGGCGGATTTCCAGAAACGTGGCAAATTCTTTTTTTTTTCCTCTATGGTCCCTAAATTTAATCTCCTTATACTGTATGTATATATGTCAAAGTGGACAATATCCGCCGCATTAAAATACGATTTGTACATCTTCTGGATTGTTCTCGTTATTTATACAACTAACACATGCTGTAAAATGTAGTCCAAGTATAGATTAAAAGACTCATATCGGGCAATCAGTAATTTGATAAATGATATAACATTTTTTTATGACTGATGCCACCACTAAAGCAAATGGATAAAAACGGGATCCCTATGAGTTTTTTTTTTTTAACGCCAAATTTCACATTCACAGAGGTAAACGACCCATACTACAGGGATATTTAGACCGGTGCACCTCTGTATGGATTACACTGAGTACAGTACACGTCTCTAAGAGCGCATCACGCTCAGTGCATGCTTTTAATTCAATCAAGACACGTGCAGTTTATTATTGATTTATGTGTATAGAAGGACAGCAGTCTTACTCTGTGAGGAATTCTTGGAGATATTTGGTCTTGAAGGATTTCCAGGATCTTCATTCAGTGTTTTTATGTATGGGATCCACTGCTAGTGTGTATAGGGTTTACTGGTTTAAACGGCACAATATGAGCAATCTGGATTCCATTAAATTATTAGTTTAAATTTAGGGCGGTAGTGTAGACTGCCCTTTTTTCGGAGTTCAAATTGCAGGTAATGAAGCTACGCTCATCACGGAGCAGTGGGGGAAGGGCGGAGACGTGGCAGTATCGCCCCCCTCCCTCCATCCCAATCTGTGGGAGTCTGAATGAATGGCTAACATATAGCGGAACTTCTTTTGGTCTTTAGCCTTTAAATATTTTTCTTTATTTAAGCAATAAGTACCCTAGTAGAAGAGTCCCTTGTATTATTTGAGGTTTAAATGCCATTTTGAGGATAAACTGAAGAAGATATCCAAATCAAATATACTCCTAAAAATACTTTAGAAAATAATAGTACAGTATTATCTGAATGTTACAAGAGAAAGGTGTGCATTCCATTGCAGTGTAGCAGTGAGGAATTTACTCTGCATGGGCTTGAGTGCCCCAATCCATAGGGAAATTGAGGACTCACCAGTATAAGGGAGGACAACATTAGAGAGAATGGGAGTTTCCATAAGCATTCCGCACTCCTAAACTCACTTTGTCTCCTGCTCCAGAGTGAACTGGAGGCCCGGCAGTGTTGAGTTTGTGGAGACTCCTTCAGACTCTGCTAGTGACACCGGCACTAAATCTTATTCTAGGTTCTTAAATTACTTTTGTGTGAAGGAATAGGACAATTAACACACAAGCCTTTAATGTCCTACATAGTATTTGTAAACTGCCTGTCTCTGCATTTTTAACTTCTACTTGCATTTTCTTTTACAGAAAGTGGAAGTACACCCAGTCGTTCTTATTTTTGCAGGGGATGTGTTCCTGAACTGTCCAGAGATAACAAAAATGTTTATACTGAGCAAAAGCTCTCCTATATATACACACACACTATGGGTATACCAGATACACTGTTAACATACATTTTCCAGATAACAAATGGAATATGATGGAAAATAAATATGGTACTGCTTAGTTTTGCTATAAAATGAATATTATAGAAAAATGGACAAGTTGTGGAATTGAAGTTATCAAGGGCAGTAATCTTCAGGAACAATTTTTTTTGTGTTGTGGCATGGGTACAAGGAGTAAATGGGGCCAAATTGCGGCAAAGCACTGTGACCATACTGATGTGGAGTGAATGAAGAACTGGGAGTGAGATGGGAAACAAGGCGGAAAATGCACGTGTGGGGAATCCTGTCGAGCCTTGGACACGATCTGAGAAGCTTCGGGTCTCTAACAGTGTTCTAGCAGCTTTAATCTTGTACAGCGAAGTGCTGAGGAGGAGGAAGAGGTGCAAGGGTAACTATTTAAATGCCTTGAGTGTAAGCCAGGCACTGATTCATTGTCTGTGCATGTTCTTGTCCTGTGTATTCTCCACACATTGCGAACAGTTCACCTGACCTCTTCCTTGATTACTGTATTTAGCGATGCATTTCTACAGTACATCTCAAATGCATGACACTGTATGTGAAAAGTTCAAATCAAACATTGAACGTGTAAAGAACAAGCAAAAGGTCATTCCCCACTCAAAGTAGAGAGAAGAAATACTTGCTGAGCACCCTGTGTCATGACTTGCTAGTTGGAAGTGGCGCTGCTGCCTGTCTCTCTGCAGACCTGAATCGGGACTTCACATATATACTGCAAGTTATTTAAGAGGACCTGCTCTTAAGAGTATGTGGTAGATGTATGTTTGATGGCAGCCAAGGATTTGGATTGTGGTGCTCTGTTAGGCTAGGAGAACCAGCATTTGTACTGTGGTACCCTACTCATTTTATGCCAACTCTTAACAAGAGGATAAAGCTACTTCAGTATCTGTGCGACAGAGTCTGGAGTTCAGAAGGTGAGGTGTCCAACTCCCTTCTGTGCCGAGTCCAAACAGGGACTGAAACCTAACCCTCCCGGTTTCTGCACCAGATCCGTGCTACCTAGTCCCCCTTTACTCAAACCTTGCCACTCAGACATGGTTTTACAAACATCACTGCCGGGTGATTCCTTCCAGTCCATATGTGAGCTGGCTGAAGTGCAATACCATGAAATTTGACTTGAGCAATTCTGCTATGAAAGTATTCTGAACAGAGGGTTGAAGGTTTTTTTCCCAGTAGTGAATACATCTTATCTCCAGTGCACTGTGACTGCTGTCTGTTCTTTTTATACACTACAGACTATTTGATGGTGCCCTGCAGCTGTTGTAAATTTGTTTATTGCAGTAGCTCAGTTTTGATCTTCTCTGTTTATTCTGATCACAATATCTCCATTAGACTGGACCCTTATTACTGTATTGCAACTTTCTTCAACAGATTTGTTTCTACAGTGTATTGAGTTCCTGTTTGCATTTGCCTTCATCACTGCTGAATCATCAGGCTTCTGTTGGCCTTTACAGAAGCAAGATTGTTGAAGATTTTGTTTAGATTGTTTGTTTTTTTAACGCAACTTGGTTTTAGGTTCTGTGTGAGCTCAACATATCTGTTTATGAATTGCAGGATGTCCCTTGTCAAGTACGGTCAACTTATTTATTTGCAGATCTAATAGAATCAGCCACTGCCTAAGAAATCTGTGACCGCTGACGCGCTTAATGACCTCCTCTCCCTGTTTTCCTATAATTAGGTAGGAGATTGCCCCAGACTGGAATTCCACAGTGGCTGAGAGCACCGGCCTGAGGGGCACAGATCGCATTAGTTTCCTTGAGTGGAAGAGTTTCCATAGCATGAGCCATAAGTGTGATCTCTGATTTCATCCTGCTTTAATTTTTGTGTAAAGTTTTGATGGACCCTTCAATGTTTTCAGAGCCGGCACTGAGAATCTGTGTAACTTGATGACTTTGTGTTCTGGAAAGACAGTGTTTCATTGGGTGGTCCTTTATACACACCAGTTTGCACAGTATTGGCATGATGCTTTACTGGCTGACCCCAGGTTCTTCTTATGTACTGCAAGATAGCCGCACCGTGTCTTCAGGGTAATGTGGTTAGTAAGAGTTTCACACTTCTTCTGCAGAGCACAATGGCAGCACCCCCTCTCCCAGTGAAAGGGATACCAGAGCATAATGATGACTCTTTTCCTGCTTCTCTTTCTCTTTAGAGCACTGTTTGGATACAATGCTATGTAAAATAAGCAGCCACAATTGCAGCACAACCTTTTCATCTTTACCCACTACCTTTTTTTCTGAACCTATGAAGTACACATTAGTCAGGTATTGGACAAAGTGCAAGACCATGTTCATTGAGCTGCTGTTGTCATTGCATTGCCACGGACTGATGGTCGGGATTGCATCACATAGTACACATGTTCATTTGTGTTGTGGTGCTCATCGCTTTAAGCCTTTTTGTTGTGACTGGTATTGTGGCATGGAAGTAAGGATACTAGGGAGATGGGCTTTGCTAAATAGCGCAGTTGCATGGCTGGGGTAACCAGCTGTAGTTAAATATTTGATCTTCCTGGCATGCTGGTAAACAGTAACATTGCTGTGCAAAGATGACCTCATTGTGGAATAGCAGGTATTTTAATGAACAGTCACATGGGTTTATGGGTTTGGCTTGGAGGTGCCAGGTGTCTTCCTGGTTTTGATGAGTTTGCAGACCCTATGTGCAGACCCCCTTTGCCCATACGTTTATAGCATTAATAGTTGGTTTGCACATATACATTTATTACTGGCATTGTGCTTTTAACTCCTTTATTTTATCTAAATACTAGTACATGTTTTCCCCTTTCTTACGTGGCCCACGAGACTGATCTGTTCTGTTTATAGCCAGCTAGAATAACTGTAAGACGACTTCCATTGTACAATCATTAATGGGACTATCTACTACTATATATATATAGGAAAGGACTATATATATATGACTTTCTTCTTTTTTTTGCAGCATGGAATAAACCTATTACTTGTTCCTTTGCAGCCTACGCATGCTGACACAGCTACCCACCTGAACTACTATATACTGTATACTGTTGGAGAGGGAAATGGTTGCATGTTTTGAACCCTTCCTTCAGCACAGACTGTACACTGGATATAAACTAGGCCCTGCACCAATATCCTGGTGTAAATTAAGTCGGAATCAAAGCAAGTACGTTTGTAGCAATATCTTTTTTTTTTCCCCCTTTGTTGTATTGGGCCAGAGGGACTTGCTCGGTGTAAGACAGCTTCAGAGTTTTGCCTGCAGTGTGTGCCACACAGACAGGGCAGGTATTTACTAGGTATGTGCCAGCAGGGAAATAAATAAACTGGGTGTTTAAAAAGTAAAACATTAATTTTTGTGCAGTGCGTTTGATGAAGGGGTTGCTCTCATCGGAGGCTTGTCTATTCAGGAGCTCACAGTAGTGATCGTGTGAGCTTGGGTGTGCCTGTGGGTGGGGTGTGTGGAGTTGGGCTAGTGGTTTGGAGTGCGTAAGAAGCCCTCCCTCCCTCTCTACAGGGGGTGAAATAATGTGTACTGGGTCAGTGAAACTCCAGCCTGCCATGTCCTGCCCAAACACACAAACGTCCTTCTTATGTTCCACCCAGCTGGCACAGCAACAGGGCAGACACAAGGATCGTGTTGGCACTGCAGGGAGAGGAAGTTCATGCCTTCTGGCTCTTCCACTTTGGAGACTGTACCATCCTGGCATAAGGAGGCTTTGCTAGCATAGAAGTCCTGGAATGCGGAATGTGTTTAATAGGAGAAAATTCCCACCCACTTAATTCTTCACTACAGGAAAATGGTTTTATTTATAGTGAGCCATCTAACCCTATGTGAAGACTGCATAAGACTTCAGAATCTTCCCAGCCCTCAGTAAAAAAAAAAAGATCATTAGAATAAAATGTATACATTTCTTTTACTAAGAATGTATTTTTCTTTAAGAATCACAAAATATTAAAATCTTCATCAAGAAATTTTTATTCTAGAAAGATATTGAAATTCTTTAAGGTTTGGCCCCAGGAGATGGATATCTGATTGTGCCCTAAAGGCTAGTTTTGTTCAGCAGTCCTTTCACAAAGCACGTTGCTCGCTTACAAAGACAAATGTTCACTGGCTTCATTCTATTCTCTCAGAACAATACTTCAGAATCCAGTTCAGTTAAATTCACTCCACTGCTCATATGGCTGTAAAATCCTTTTATTATATGAGGTTTTGGAGTTTGATGCTTTGAAACTTTGCTGTAATCTGACCTGTTCTCCAAATTCTCCTGTTCCCCTGAAGGTGGGAAGAAAAACAAGTACAGCTGCTCTGTATGGCTGACCTGTTTTTTTCCCTTGTGTATACAGAGCATTACAGGACACCCAGACAGGGATGCAGGATGAGTTTTGTTCTGCACCTGTTCACATTGTCAGCACGCCTGTTGTCAAGTTTTGAGGGCCTGGCTCAGAGAGAGAGAGAGGTGCTAAGTAGGCTTGAGAAGAGCCCTACTTTAAAGTGAATAGCCTTGATGGCAGATGTTACAGGTGGCACAACACCATGTCACAGATTTGGCAACATCTAGATGCCTTGGAAGCCTTTGATACAAACTCCAGTGCGCCACTGCTGGTACAGAAGGGTTGTAGGAAAATTCTAAAACTCTTTCCTTTAGCTAGGTGGGTGGGTGCTTGTTTTACTATTCAAAGCTTTATAAATCTTTGGTTGCCCCCAAAAGCTCAGTTACGTCCTCGGTCTGTATCCTCATTGGCTCATTTTCCCAAATTACAAATACGTTTCCCGTGCAAGAAATGCTGTGGCAGTTAGCAAGGGTTACAAGCGTGTTGAATATTTCAGTGTTATGTTCCGTGTCATAAGACTAAGGGGAGGGGGCAGAGGGGGGAATCTGGGAAAGCAGTAAGATGCGTAGGAGGTTTTACAAGGAAGGAATGCGATAGGGTGTTGTTGTGCATACCCCACAGAACAAAAGTGAATAGTTTTTTTTTCCCCTCTTCTCCTTATTGAAAGTTATGTAGTGGACGGTTTAATCAAGGTGGGGAGTTAATTGTCTACGTGTTTGGTTAATGATTCTCTGCTTGGAATTTCAGCAGTGTCTGTTCCTAATTAGACCCCAAAGCTTGGCTAGTGTTCTAGTGTTCAGCAGTCCTGAAAATGAGCAGTGGACATTGCAGTTTGCAGTTTTGCGTGAAAGAAGGAACTCCAGTGTCTGAACTGCTGTGGGGATGATGCTGTCCTTCATATTCTACTGTTAAAGCACCGGCCCCCAGGCTGATGCAGGAGGTGACGGCTGCCTGTCCTGACCGGGGTTGTCTTCTCTCCCTGTACAGAGTGAAGAGCGCAGAGTGCAGGGATGGAGCTGCCGGGGGTCTGGATTGTGGTGCTGCTGGGAGGCCTGCTCCCCCAATCCCGCGGTCACAACGACTTTTTTACGTCCATCGGTGAGTCCTCCTTTCCAGTTTCTTCAGTGCTTTGTCCTCCATCTTCTTTCTTTTAACTTGCAGATGATCCATTGTATTTTGTCTGCTTTTCACCTATGTGCAGCTCATAGTAATTCCAAATAACCTAATGTTTCCTGTGCACGTCTCTGCAGTTTTACCCAAACTGCACTCTTGAGTCTCTAGAATCATCATTTTGAGAATCCAATGTAGTGCAATAAAATCTAGACCAGGGGGACTGACCAGGCTGATGCTATAAAATCAGGTAAAAAAAAAAATACAACTATAAAAAAAAAAGTGCAGCAGGAATCTGAGGGGAGATTACCTGTCCCCGTTCACTTGCATGATACCAGGTCCTCTTGGTTTACCCACTGTACCGAGTGCCCAGTGGGTCTTTGTGCCAGACTCAGTCAGGCTAGCTGCAGCAGCTGCTGGTCTGGCTCTCTGCCTCTCTTCCTGTGACTGATGCCTTTCTTTCAACTGGGAAAGGATGCATTGGAGAGGGAGGGAGTCGAGGGGCTGGTTGGTGTTAAATGTCAGCTAGTCTTACAGAATAATTTGGCAGGTCAGCGTGTTGATGTACAGGCCCGATTTGGAAGTGTTTGCAGCCAGATGTCTTTTTTTTCTCTGGGTTTTAGTGTTGACTGCAGTTTTTATTTTTCAAATTTCTTATCCTTCAGTGGACTGTTTGATTGTGTTTTGCAAAAGATAATGTAAAGCTAGGACTGAAGTATTTTCTCTTGCCTGGATAATCTCCAGATGACATCTTAGAAATAAGAAATTTGGATTTGGGGGAGGGGGACGGAGTGCAGCAAATTCCGGTGTTTAAGCTGATTATGTAAAACTTTTTTGGGGTGTTTAATAAAGATTGGGTTGAGAATGAGATGCAATTAATGCAATTTTTGTTCATTTGTGCCTTATAAAGCAACATTCTCATGCATGCGTTCAGATCCCCAGTCTGCTACTAGAGACATGACTGCAGTTGATGAGTCTGCTGTAGTTCCTGGTTCTCAGTTTATAGTGCAGTTCTGTGCACTCTTTTTCTACCTGGATATGGTGAAGGGCAGTACTGTGCTCTGCTGTGTTGCTTCACCACGAGTATGTGTTCTTATTAGTGAGTATTCTTGCCACACTCTTCACAGGAGTGACTTTTCCCCACTGTTCCTCTCTCTCTCTCTGTCCTGTGTGCTTTCCAGGCCAGATGACCGATCTGCTGTACACTGAGAAGGACCTGGTCACCTCTCTGAAGGACTACATTAGAGCAGAAGAGAGCAAGCTGGAACAGGTCAAACAGTGAGTGTGCAAGGACCAGGACTCTGCACCAATATTGCATTCCAAATCTTTTACAAAATTATTTATAAATTCCTAGAGTTGAAAATTCACAAAGATGTCTCTTTGGGTTCAAGTGTCAATTTTACTTTAGATCTTAGTCAACAAGCAATATGCTGCTCTTAAATGTGTAACCAACTTCATGGAACTTATTGTTTTCATTTCTGTCTTGCATTGTTTCAAGAGGTCTTACTGAGTGAGTAAAGACCTCCCCATTTCATTATACAGTAAAAGGAAAACAATTCTGAGTTTTCTATTACCTTAAAAGCAGAAAAATGCATATCACCTAATCTGACAGTCTCGGTCAGTCTGTTCAGAAGTATATTGGTGTGTATATATAGGCATATAGGCTGTCCCTGTTGGTTGCCCTGCTATTCGTTGTTGTATTTAGCTAGCTGCAAGTGAAATGGACACTCGGTCTTACGGTTCCTAATCCAACTCCATTCTATTAAATCTCATTTCGGCGGGAGCCTAGTGCTTTAAGACGTTTGGGCAAAGTTTACATTCTTATGGTCTCGAACTTCTCCATATTTACATTGTCCTTAGGGGAAAATTCTGTTTCACTATACATTGAGACTTTCTGTTTCCGTAACCCCTCCATACAATATAGTGGGGACCACTCGTGTCTGCCTTCGATGCAGATCCAGAAGAGAAGCGGAGTATGAGAAGGCTTCTCGAGAATACATTCACCATGTGTGAATAAAGAATATACTGTATAGTAATTAGAATAAAATTGCTCCAGCTGCATTGCAAGGAGAGTTGTTTAGGGCAGTGCCCTCAGCTCTGGCATGTCTGTCCACAGGTGGGCAGAGAAGTTGGACAAGCTTACTGCCATGGCGACGCAGGACCCCGAGGGGTTCCTGGGCCACCCTGTCAATGCCTTCAAACTGATGAAGAGGCTGAACACGGAGTGGGGCGAGTTGGAGAGCCTAGTGCTCAGGGACATGTCTGATGGTGAGAGGAACACTTTTTTTTTGTGCCTTCAGTTTTTCTCTTTCTCTCTTCCCTGTGTTCTTTCTTTATGTTGCCATATCCTTGTCTTTGGGCCTTATTCTCAACAGAATTCTGTTAGTTGCACCTCCTCACAACCTTTTCGGAAAGAAGCCTGTTCCTTTTCTTTTTCTGTGTTCCATGTTCCTAGTTCTCTGTCAGTCTTCTTTGCCTAGTCGTGTTTCTAAGGATCCTCTGGACCTTTCTGCACAGGAGTAATGGAGGAAATAAGTGAATGCTGGATCAGTTTAAATGAGTATTAAAGGGGGAGTTCATATCAAGGAAATTGTTGAGAGAATTAAGTACACAAGCTAATTTAAAAACATTTGAAACTAATGCTTCAGATAGACTTGTATTTTTTTTTATAGTGATTCACCCACAGTTTCTTTCGCACAAAGCTTTTTATTTTTAATACACACAATGGGGAGTTTCTCCTTCATCAGTTGAATGCAACCCGGAGTGTTTCACGGTCACTGACTGAACTGTTCCTATTAGGATTTATCTCCAACCTGACCATCCAGAGGCAGTATTTCCCTAATGATGAGGACCAGACGGGGGCAGCCAAGGCCCTGCTGAGACTGCAGGACACATACAATCTGGATACACAGACCCTGTCCACTGGGGACCTGCCTGGTAAGTTGGGAAGGGGGTCCCAGTGATGCTGTTTGTGAGTGCCAGTGTATCTGTGTTTGCTGAGCTCTCATTGTGGATGTGTGTTATAAATTTCTACCCTCGCTCTGTGTGTCTTGGTCCCCTTGTAGGTGTGACGTACAAGTCCACACTAACAGCAGATGACTGCTTTGAGCTTGGCAAGATTGTCTACTCTGATGCTGACTACTACCACACCGAGCTGTGGATGGCACAGGCCCTCAGACAGCTGGACCAGGGCGAGGAAGCCACCATTGACAAGGTCACTGTGCTGGACTATCTTAGCTATGCCATCTACCAGCAGGGCGAGCTGGAAAGGGCACTGGAGCTCACCAAGAGGCTGCTGAAACTGGGTGAGCAGACACTGATGGCAAGCAACAGCAGTGTAAAGAAATATTCCCTAAAAATCTTCCCTAGGCATTAATCTTTTAGGTTTTAGATTATTTATTTAGGGGTAGAGTTTATATCCTTTTAAGATGAGGATTTTTTTTTACAAATGTTAAAAGTTGAAGTTGGAGAGTTTATATTAGGGAGGTGTAGAAGTCAGATTTGAAAAGTCTGTGCTACAGAATTAACATTTTAAGTCTGTGAAGTAAATTTTAGTAGATATTCTTCCCCTCTTTTTATGGGGGCGGGGGGGAGACCAAATTGGCACCACAGTTCTTTTGCAAAGTTGCTTCCCCTTCATTCTTCCTGGCAATGAGCTTTGAAAATTCCTTTGCATTCGCAATTAGTTACTGGAAAATGTTAGCAGCTGATAGTTGTGATTCACATATTGAATCTCTGTGTCTTTAACCCTCTGCACCGAACATTTGATCACCCTCCTAAAACTTACGGCTATAGCATTCTATGATGATCCTTAAAGCTCTATAAAACACACGCACCATAATAGTGAAATATCTTTAAAACATCGATTATGGCTTCATTTTACATCTCCCCAAAGCCGTTTCTCGGAAGGCTTTGCTTTGTTATCCAAAACAAGGTTTGGGCCATAATTGAGCTTTCTGTTCTCGTGGGCTGGATGGGCTGTCACATTGCCTCATTGGTCACCTGGCCTGTGCTGTTTTTGTAGACCCACAGCATCAGCGTGCCAATGGAAATCTGAAGTACTTCGAGTACACGCTACTGAAGCAGAGGGAGACAGAGCAAGCAGATGAAGACTCCAAGCCACAGGATGCCAAAGAGAAAACAATCTCCAAGAATAAGGGACGCCCCAAAGATTACCTCCCCGAGAGGCAGAAATATGAGCAGCTGTGCCGAGGAGAGGGAATCAAGATGGTGAGGAGACATCCATGGATACCTGGGCACAGGCAGGGACATGGTCAAAGCTAACAGGGCTCCAAAACGGACACACGGGCCAGACGGAGACACAGTAGACATTCAAAAATACATGTGGCGACGCCGATCGACAAACCCAGAGCTGTTACAGCATCTTAAATTGTTTTAGGTGAATTTAAATTAATAATATTTCAGATTGCCAACAGCATACAGCCTGCCAGGATATGTAGTGTGAGTATACAGATGGTCCTTCACCAGTTTGAGTCAAACAGGGCTCCTTGGCAGTGCTTGAAGTTGCTTAGCAGAGCTGGCATCCACACAGGAATTTTGTCTCTCTATCTCTGTGTACTGTCATCCTAATTGCATTGGTGTTTGCCGGGATTGTTTACATTAAGTGGAATGTATAAATGAAGTGTTGAGAGGAAGCTTTTATTATTGCTGTGAGTCGTCCTCTCATGATCGAAGCAGTTCAGCTTCAGACCTGGGTGAAGTAGGAGCTCTGATGCTGCCTGCAGAGTGCTGACCGAAGCATCCCGAGAGCAGTGACAGTGTCTGGAGCCTAATCTCTCCCGTCCTCTCTGCTCTTTCTCCTGCAGACTCCTCGCAGGCGGAGTCGGTTGTTCTGTCGTTACTCTGATGGCAATGGCAACCCGCAGTACCTGCTGGGCCCCGTGAAGCAGGAGGATGAGTGGGACCGCCCACGCATCGTGCGCTACATTGACATCATCTCTGACCACGAGATTGAGAAGATCAAGGAACTGGCCAAGCCCAGGGTGAGCATTTCTCTGGAAGTGGTGTTGGGGGGGGGACTGGGTGGCAAGACGATTCTGTAGAGTAGATGAGCCTTCCCCATCCACAGTGGAGCACTACCGGTCCAGATCTGAGATCTAACCACCACCTGCTTGTTTAATCATTTTTATCTTGCTTTATCCTACATTTGAGACCGCTACTGCATAGGGAACTTTATTGTTTGTCATCGGTGTACCAGAGATGAGCTTGTTTTTTTTTTAATTTCCTCCAAAATATTTTGACTCCACCTCGCAGAATCTCACTTCACCCGAATACCATCTGTGCAACTTCTCTCCCTGAGAGAGCATGTTAACTGAGAGGGTACTCTGTGGGAGAATGCAGAACCAGAAAGCAGTGCTCTGTTTAATGGGTGTCCCTCTCTAGAACAACAGATAATCCTCAAGCAGTGACGCGAACTCGTGCACTCCTGAACTCTAGCTGAATAAGTGGTTTGAGTTACCACTCTCTCCAAATCTTTAGCTACTGAAAATGTTATGTGCTACAGCCTTGGACATTTTATGCAGGACTCCAGGTCCAGCCAGGAGGTAGTATCAGTGTTCTAAAGGGACAGTTCTGCAAATTAAAACCACTGTGGTGCAAATGTCTGCAAGGTCCTGTGTTTTGGAAACGTGGTGAGCTATTTGAACTTAAAGCAGTTTGGCTCAAGAGCCAGAGTCAGGATTCTGGATTTGACTGAACTTCAGGGCAGAAATGCAACACTCCCCCATCTCTCCGCTCTTCTGCGGAGGATGCTCCAGAAAAGAGCTATCTTACCAGCTCAGTGCGGCAGTGCTTGAGGGACAGCGAGTTAGCAGCGCAGCAGTGTGCCAGGGCTGTGAGGGACTGTGTGGGGTGATGTGAGTGCAGTAACCCCTGTCCTCTCGGCCGGTTGGCTTCACAGCTGCGCAGAGCTACCATCTCCAACCCCATCACTGGCGTGCTGGAGACTGCCCACTACAGGATCAGCAAGAGGTAAGGCACACTGGGAGCAGTTTCTGTCCTGAAGTGGGGACTAAGCAGCTCTCCACCCTGCAATCTGCTCCTCCATGCCCTGCCCCTGCACTGCGCCCATACCTGCCCTGCACGCTCGGGGTACTGTGCTTCTTGGCAAGAACAGCAGCAAGCCAACACTGGGTCCACTGGAAATGTGATCTGAGATTTGTCCCCCTGCCTTAGCTTATTCTCTCTTGGTTCTGAATTGGAAGCTGAAGTGAAAGGATAAACATTGTTGTGCAGTCAGAAGCTGCTGGATTATTTCGGATTGTCAACTAATTTGGTTTATTTAATCTTTTAGTATTGTTTATACAAGATCGTTTGCCTTTATTTTTTAAATTATGAAATGAAGTGAACTTAACAAAGTTTGGTTTCACAGGATAGACGTGGGGGTATGTAAATTACTTTCATTGTGGCTGAACCCCCCAGTATGGCAATTATCTATAAATAGAAACATTTTTTTAAAACATGGTCTTTAATCCTCCACCCTATCAGAGCTCAGCTCTTTAGCCTGTCCAGTTTGGAGATTCATTGTCTGTAAATCAGTTTAGTCTGGTGTGGCTCAACTTTGCACCTTCGGCTCATTGACTGTTTTGACAAATCTCAAAACTGTCCATATTTACTTTTATGCAATATTACGATGTTCTAACGTATGCTGGCTCCTCTCTTGTCCCAGCCCAGGGGGCTGGCAGCTCTGCAGACAGGGGTTAAAACCCAGCAGACAAGCGGATGCCTAGCAGGGTGGGATTAACAAAGAGAAACCTGGTGTTGGGGTTGAGTGTGTAGTTACTCTTCTGAGCTGATGTTGGAACCAGTCTGTAAGTGCCGTTCTGCTGTTCTTGCAATGGAGTAGTGGCTCTGCTTTAGATTTTAACTTGTCAAGGGGGGAAAAAGTAAAGGACAATTTGTGTTTTACTTTTTTAGCATTGTTATTAATTAACATTATTCCTAGTGCACATTACAGGATCTTCTAGTCCATTACGTTGCTGGGTTTTGACACAACCAGCTCAATTATACAATTAATGGACTGGGGGGTCTGCTGTTTGGCTGCCCATGTGGCACCAGCTGGGGATCTTTGTGGCCAGTCATCCACTCTGGGTGTTGCTAGCCAGTGGACTGGTTTAAACGGCCCTCTCTCCTCCTCTCTCTCTCTGTCTTCTCTGTGCTCCTGGGACTAGCTAAGGCGCGCCACAGTGCATGACCCCCAAACTGGGAAACTTACCACGGCCCATTACAGAGTCTCCAAGAGGTAAGGGGTCGAAGGTCACAGGCTCAGATCCATGCGGCATCAGTACTACCTATGATCCTGGACTCTGCTCCCTCTCTGTTGCCCCTGGTCTCCAACAGAGCTGCATGTGGCCTCAATCCCCTGCCATCCAGCTTTCTTTGGACTACTCCCAAATTTCCCTTGGCCTAATTTTTCAGCTGGGTCATCCAAACTCATTTCAGTCCCCAGGCCTTTCTGTTAACATACAGCTCCTAGTGGACCTATAGCCCCTTGGTGCAGTATTTACTCTCGACAGTTATTAGGAATTCTTGCTATTGGTAATGACTGGTGGGTGTATTTGCATGTTTCAGAGAAACAGTATAATGTTCTCCTCTTTTGTTTTTATGTGATTAACAGGGAGCTATAAAACTTCTGGAAATTGCATTATCTAGCTAGTTGTATTGCAAACAGTGTGCAGTGGAGGTTAGTCAAATTGCAGGTCCGTTTCAGTTATTGTCAGCAACAGGTTATCCTTTAGCTAATCCAGTATGGGGCCTCGCATAGTTAAGAGAGTGGGTGGAACGGTTTGACACTTGGATGGGTGTGTGTAATTATTTACACAGGAATGTAAATAAGACTGTTGTTCAGACTGCAGGCTTTTATACAAAGTGTACTGGTAAAATGATATGGGGGATGACTAGTGACTCGGATACCTGAATGGCAGAGACAAGACTAAAATTTCCACCCATTTCCTTCTTACCCATGACATAATTGGCTATGAAAAGATGTTATCTTGCAGTGCATTATGGTACCTCTAGTGTTTGTCCTTGTGCAGGTAGAGGTGTCCAGTGCACTGAAAGAACAGGGGGCTAACACTTACAGGGATTCTGGAGCTGTATGGTCACTGTTAAGACTTAAGTGGGAGAAATGAGCTGCTTCTGCATCTGAAAGGAATCCCAGCACCTCTTTATAGAAATGCATGTGAAAGTAAATTACTCCATGACCCTAAATTTCCCAACTTTAAAATCGGCAACCTCTCTCTTTCAAACTCGGGACATTTCTGTGACCGATCAGCTTTCCCAGTCTGTCTCCTGGGTGCCCAGTGACGATAACCAAGTGTTCAATCTCTTCCCAAGCCTGACTCTCAGGGAACAGCGCTCTGCTCAGTTGTTCTCACTGCTGTGTGGTCTGATTACCAGCTTCATAAACGCTTGCCTTCTGTCATTGAACTTCTTTGACTGGTCTTCTCTAATGCAGCCTGATGAATTAGGACCCTAGATAGTACAATAGTGAATCAAAAGCCCTTTTACTCCGTATCGGTGCCAAAACGTAATGGTCAGGTGCCAGATTCGGTACACTCCAATGCTGATTTGTCATGGCTACCTCCTTAATGCTCCAATTATTCTGGTGCACCCCACAGCCTGCACTAGAATGGGTTATAGAGTCTGTGTTTGTCCTGACCCTGGCCTAAGAAATGCAGAGTTTAAAGTTCCCCTGTATTGTAATTACTTGGTCTGGGAAGACCGCTTTAATGATGGATTCAGTTTAAACAGTTGGGATTTTGTTTTTTAGACGAGGTCTATAGAGAGCCAGCAGCGACCCGCTCTGCCTCCTTTGAGACACAGGGGTTAAAAATAGATACTGTCAGTCCTCGCAACGCCACAGTGCCGCCCTGTGGCTTTACCCACACTGCTCATTACTGCAGATGGTCGGCTTCCATGCAGGCTGGAATGAGAGCCTGTCTGAGTCTGTAAATCAGTGTTTGAGTAGGGGGAGTGAGGTGGCTCTTGTTGCTGTCTGTGTGCGCTTGTGTCTGTTCCTGGGTGTGGGTGGATAATTCACCAGCTGTCCTCCGATTTTTGTTTTCACTGGATGGAAGTTTGGTATCTGAGCCACTTTTTCTTTTTTGGGGGAAAAAATGACTCCCACTTGTTCACATCTGTTTTAATCACTGCATTTTGGTACTGGAGTTCAATATTCCTATGTGCCTTCGTATGTACCATGCACAGGCCTTATCTTACACTTGCCCTGGCTCTTCCCTGCTGCTTAGCCACACGTATAAGTGGGGATCGGTACACTGTCTGAGCTGGAATGGTCACTGGCCCTAGTGTAAGTGTGGGTGTGCCTGTGATGAACTGATATTCCCTTCCTGGGTGTATCCTGCCTTGTGTGTGTTGGTTGCTGGAATAGGCTCTGGCTCCCCCCGTCTTGGATAAAATGGATGGATGTAAGGCCAGTGTAGAGGCCTTATTGTGTTGTGGTTCCATAATGATTCACTATTCAGAATTCTTAAAACAGGCAATTGGAGATTCTCAAAGTCCTAGCCTTTTTATTGTTTAATAAAATTTTAGCTTGCAAAACCTTGTAATTATGTCTGTATTTTTCAAGACGCTGAGTGAAAGTTCCAGATGTTTTGGACATCTTGGACAGCAAAGTGCTCTGTATCCTCCAAAGTCCAGCAGTTACAGAAAGCACCAGAGGATGAGCTTTTTCTCAGGCATTCTTCTGTGTTTTAATTGCCGCCCATGCCCCACAGCAGCATTTTTACTAAGGCACTTAACTGCGAGTCTGTTTCATGAGGAGATATGATTGCTGAGGCTCGTGAACAGTGGCTCATTTCCTTGGTCGTGGATTTAGAAGTGCTTGAAATGAGGCACTCTCTGGGGTCAACTATTTATCGGTAGTTATCATCGGTTATAGTTTTCATTAACCTACAGACTATACCGATCTTGCAATAGAATGAAACCCAGAAAGCTCAGTAGCTCTCCAGAACTAGGGTTGAAGATCCCTGCACTTGGAATGTCTCATGTCTGAATCCAAGTAGGACAGGCCTAAGTAGGACCGCTTGTATCCACTGGGACTCCCTCCTACTTGGAGATTCTGTTGGCCACCCATTGGACTGCCTCTTTTCCTAATGCATGCTGCACTTGTCCCTTTTAATGTCTTCGATTGCATCCCATCAAAATGCCTCTGTTGGGGAGCAGTTGTTTTGTTTTTTTATTCTAACATGCTTCAGTATCTCTCCTCTTTCTTCTGATGGAATGTGAAAATGTCTTCATTTAACATTGTCAAAGAGAGGATTAAGAAAGTGGGAGTTTATCCATCTCACCCTGAGAAGACGAGATCCCCTCAGATAACATTAAGATCATCTGTTTTACTGTTACATAACATGATGCCTGCGGGTGTGGGGATGATTGTTCATGTATGTAAAGACTTGAAGTCTTTTAAGAACCTCAGCATTATACAGCATTAAATTGCATCTGAAAATAAAAAAAAAAAACTTAATTTAAGCAATATGTGCCATCTAAGTCCAAAAGGGGCTATCCCATTTGGCATTTGCTGCTGTGGAGATTAAACAAAATGAGGTTTTGGTCTTTTCCCAGTTTAAACAGGTGATAAGAAAGATGGCAGTTAATCTTCAGTGTAGGGAATCCTAAAGGAGCTGAGGGTTCACCACATCCAACCTCTCTACTGCCATGTGTTGGCAGTCAGACCCAGCCGAAGAGAATAAACCTGCACAGACTGCATAGCCACTGTGGGCAGTGTTGCAGTAAAGCACTTGCACAGAGGGGGTTTTGTTCTACCTGTGGTGTCCTCTCTCTCTCTCTCTCCACCTCTTTCACATTCACTGCACTGACTGTTTTTACCCTCTGTTTCTGGTTTCCATTTGTCTGTCTCTCTCTCTATCAGTGCCTGGTTGACAGCCTACGAGCACCCACTGATAGAACGAGTTAATCAGCGCATCCAAGACCTTACGGGACTGGACGTCTCCACTGCTGAAGAGCTACAGGTATAGGGGTGTAGGGAGCATTCTGGAGGAGGGGGAAAGAGGAAAGGACCAGAAACAGTGTAGGGCAGCAAAGTGAAGATTACCACCATTCCACAAAAATGGTATAGAAACTTGAAAGAAGTAAAAGAAAAGCAACAAGAAAGATTTCTCATTAGAAAAAATAATCAAGGCTAACGGAAAAATAAACAAATAAACATGTATACAAAGCCTTCCTAGCTATGTACCAAGGTCCTGACTCGGGGGTTTCTTCAAGAAGCATTTGAAAGGTTACAAATGGGAAGAGGCCTCCAGACATCTAGAATTGATTTCTCTTCAGAATTCTAGAATCACTTTCCTGCTGCAAAACCATTTAAGCTAAACGGGCCTAGTGGCATCCTCTCATTTGCAAACCTTCTTACATTTGAGCATGTGCGCACCATTGATCTTTGCACTTAATGTGCTTTACTGCATGATTGGTGTTATTGTGCAGTGTCCTGCAGCTCCAACTCTCTTGGTCTTCCCGCAGGTGGCAAATTATGGTGTTGGAGGGCAGTACGAGCCGCACTTCGATTTTGGGCGGGTAAGTGGGTGATTAGGTGACTGAATGCCAGACATGAAACGAGTGCATGTTTCAGTTGTTAGTGACTCTTGGACTCTGTCCTGCCTCTCTGCAGAAAGATGAGCCGGATGCTTTCAAGGAGCTGGGCACAGGAAACCGCATCGCCACCTGGCTCTTCTATGTGAGTAGCAGGAGTTTCCCTGCTGTATTGTGGACGTCTTTTTGAGCCTTTGGTCTTTCGTGGTCTTTTTTTTTAACCGTCCACTCAGTCTTTCTGAATTCTTTCCATATGTCTTCAGGGATGGAAATAACTTCTTCAGTTGTATACAACTTCTACAGCTTGGAATTCAATGTGTATATTTAAAACGTCAGATTTGTTTACCAGCTTTAGAAGCCAATTGAACATTTTAACAATTTGTATTTGATGGTTAAATTTCTAATGAGAATTGCCACTTTTCAGTTCAGAATAGATTAATTAATCCATGGAAAACAAATGCACTTATTTGGAGCGATATACTACTCTATTTTTTTTTAATGAAACTCGTGTTCAAATAAAATTGTTCAGATTAGCATGTAATTCGTCTGCCTGTTAGCACTTCTTTGTTACAGCTGTGATTATCAAGTACAAGTATCCATTTTTTTACAGAGTAGTAATAAACAGTTTGATAAAATTACAGAATTGTAAAAAAAAAGGTTTTTCTCTTTAAATTTTAGAGTAATTGAATCGCATAAGTTCTGTAGCCCAGCCATATTTCAGAAAAATGTACCCTTGTAGCGAACCACACATGAACACGCTTTGCAGTTAAATTTTGAATCGTGATTTGTCTGTTGCCATCCTTGCATCTTTCTCTCTAGCTTTCTTTGTGCTTTCTCTTTCTTGCCTGTGTCTCTATAAGGATCATTAGCAGGTTGTCCTAGCTTCTTTGCCCTTTTCTCCAGCTGCCTCTCATCTTCTCTTCACTGTTGTAGATGAGTGATGTGGCAGCAGGGGGAGCTACAGTCTTCCCAGAGGTGGGAGCTGCAGTTTGGCCAAAGAAGGTATGGTGGTTCACTCTAGGCTTCAGTGTAGACCAGAACCAGGCTGCAGCAGACTGTGATGTGTATATGTAGTATTATTTTGTTTGGAGGGAAATCAGGCTTCTAGTTAACCCTAAATTAGAGTTTTTCCATCCTATTTCTCTAGGACCACAATTCAAGGGGTACTCTTTTGAAATGATCCACTGTTTAGACCTGTAAAGGAGGATTAAATAGGCCTAATAGTGCACCTCTACCCTAAGTCATTGGTTCATTGTTTTTGCTGCAGTTTTTTATCGCAAGTCAGGCATAGTTACGTAGATAGATTATTATTGCCCACCATTAAGGAATTGGGGAAATTAAAACTCTTTGGTTCTTTGGGAAGGACTTCGTTTAAGGAGAATTTACATGTATGCTGTTTGATTTGTCTCCATAATTTCCTTGCCAGGAAAGAGTTCAAGGTTATGCCAAGGAGCCTTTAGGGGCACTTTTTGATCATACTCATCATACTGATCATATTTATAACATCCAAGACCAGACGTGGTCAACACTATTTGAGAGTACAGCTTTGTCCATTTGTTTGTGTTATGTCTTAGAGCATCATTTAGTGAGTGTGGTGCATCTTGGTACATATATTGTTTCTCAGTGGTTGTGCCTGGTGTTTCTAGGGCACAGCAGTGTTCTGGTATAACCTGTTTGCAAGTGGGGAGGGAGACTACAGCACACGGCATGCAGCCTGTCCTGTCCTGGTGGGGAACAAGTGGGGTGAGTCGGGCATTACAACTATTGTACACACACACACACACTATATTTGCAAGTTATGCACTGATTGTAGCTAGTAGAAGGCAAGTGTTGCTTTCAGCAGTACAAGGGGATAATCTCACAGATGACTTCAATTGCATTAATTTTTAGGACTGTTTTTTGAGAGGCAAAGTGCAGAAATGTATTGCATACTGAGACTTCTTTTTACATTAATTTGTAAAGATCTTTCCATAGAAATGTTTGGTTGCTGCTTGCATATGTGATGTGCAGATACATACAGTATGTAAATGTGTAGGCTGTAGAACTTTTTTTGCATACAGAGTTGAGGATATAAGTAGCAGTCAGGTAGCTGAGGCCCATCCTATGAGCTTGTTTCGTAGCCGGATGACATTTTAGATTTAGATACTGAACTGACAAATGAGTGAGTTGGGCCAACTGGCCTTGCCTTCTAATGAAGTGACATGTGCATCTCTCCTCCTCCACAGTGTCCAATAAATGGATCCATGAGCGCGGGCAGGAGTTCCGGCGACCTTGTGGCCTACAGGAGACGGACTGATAAAGGGGGACGAACCCCCATCTTCCTAAGCTCCCTAGTTGTCCCATCAGCTCCCAGAAACGTCCCAACAAACACTAACCTATCTCCCTACCTCCTTCCACCAAAGCCACCCTGATACACCTCTCCACCTCTCCTTCCTCTGGTTTTGGGTTTGTGGGTTAATGGGACAGAAAGCGCTGAGGTCCAAGGACAGACCTCTCCACAGAAGAGACAATGAAACGGTTGTATTGGGGAGTACAAAGCCTCTGTGCCCTTTCCTTCTCTCCCTTTTCCTCTTTTCCTGCTGTGGACATGTGCCATACCAACTCCGTCCCCTACCCATCCGATTGTGCGACTGCAGCTCTCTACCCCTCTGTTTTCAGTGTCGCTGCAGGATAGTTAGGTGGATCTCCTCACATGGCTCCTGTCGTCTCTTGCTCCATAACCATCCCTTAGGTGTAAGAAACCTGATATTCATATTAGAACATTGATGCTTTGGCAAGTCCTTCTATGTAGAAAGGTGCAGGTGATGCAACTGAAACTGCAAATATGCAGCTGTGCTCGGGCTGTTGAACATCACGCAGGACCTGACATAAACACAGGTAACCCAGGCACAGAAGAATCATCTGAAAACTGGACAGTCAATTCCACTTTGATTCATGACAGTTTGTTTTATTATGGCAGTGCTTTGAGTTAATTTATGAATTCATATTTTTAATATTCTTATGGTTCGTCAGTGGTTTGGATCATTTCTCAAGGATTTTTATTACATTGATTTTAGCAGAGTAATCTGTGAACTTTTGTGTAAATAAAATTATATTTAGGATTCCTCCACTTACAAGTTGAGGCACTTTTCAGAATGAGCCATTTTCTCAAACACTCACCTTCTTCACTTGAATATTAAAATGGTCCCCCTGCCCTTGGAAAGAGCTCACTTCATAAAGAGTTCCAGGGCTGATCAAATGTTTTTACAGGCTAGCACTTTTTCATATTGAAGTTAGTCTTGTTTAGTGTTCCTTAAAACGTAGGGGCCTTAAAAAGATTAACATTGCAAGCTGTTTCCACTGGGCCAGTACTGGTTTTTATAGCGCACAGGGAGAAGAGAGAAACTGCTTGTCCACCATCGCCATGGTACACTGATGGACACTGTTACCGAGTGACACTAACCATCTGAAAAAATGACCCTGCTTAATTGACTGCCACACTGATTGAAGGACTGGTTGTACTTGGAGGTTGATTCCCCTAAGACAGACACTCCAGAGAACAAATAACTGCAATAGTAAAAACCTGCTTTGTTCTAAAGTCATAAACCAAGAGTCCTGGAGTCACAGCTCTGCAGGATTTGTAAAAAGCCAAGTCTTCTTAAAAAAAAAAAAGACACCTTTAAGCTAAAATAGAACCGGCTCATTAGGAACATGTGTGGAATAACCCCCCAGAAGCCACCAGGCCTTCAAGGACAGCAGCACTGGGTTTTAGATGTGTCCTGGATAGACCCTGTATCTTCAGGGTTATTACCCTGCTGAACTGGAGCTACCTTGACTGACCTGTCATGCTTTCCCACAGCTGGAATCAAGGACCAGCATTGAGAGCCAGTGTAGAAAAATATTCATAGCCGTTTTCACTATTGCAAAAGGACATCTTTGCCAATTTGAATCAAAAGCCTACTGCCAAGTGAAAATTACAAACCTATTATGAGACATGCAACTGTGGGTCAAGGCATGAGTCCTCTGCCAACCAGAGAGCTGCTGACAAGCAGTCGGTTTGGACAGGGGATGGATAAAAGTTTTTGTTTCCCTTTCTCTGGGATGAATGGTATGGAGAGCGATTTTACACTTTGCACTGGTATGTAATGCTTTAAAATGACCAGGAAGATCCCAGAGAACTCTTTGCTATGAAAGAACCCCTTTGAGTTACTCCCCCGAGCCCTCCTTTCCTCTTGTTTTCCTGGGATGTCTGTGGGAGATAGATGCTATTTAAGTCTATGAAATGCGATCCTTTTGTATGTATTAAGAAATGTGTGGGGATATTTTTTGGATGTGTGAAATGAGTGTTTTCTACAAAAATAAAAAGTCTTATGTTGATTAAAAAAAAATTGTTTTTTTTTCCTTCCCTAGTTAGCTTACATAGCAGGAAAACATGATGAAAACAGTCCCTCAGTTATTTTTTTTTATAGTAATGTACAGTAAATCTGGAATTTTGAAGATTACAATGCATCGGGTTCTTGCTTGGTCATTTAGTCTGTATTGATAACTTGCTTGTAGATGGGAAGGTGGAGTTTTCTAGTACTGGTGCCAAATCTACTTTCAACATGTTTCTTTCTATATTCTTGTGTTCAGCTTGGTTTGAAGGTTAAAATTAAGTTTGAAATAATGCAACACCCGTTATATTTAAGTTGAGCTTGTATTCATCACTTAGTTAAGAGGATTCAAATTCTGCAAACTTGTAGATTTTTAGACAGGTTGCATAGATTTGTCATTTTTCCTTTATTAAAGGACAAAATGTTTAGAGGATTAGCTTACTAGTAGAGGGCCTGCATTTTAGGTAAACATGACATTTCATTTGCAATATAATTCATTAATACCAGGGTTTTCTAAGCTTGAAAGAATAGGTGCATTTTCATAATTGATTTTGCTTGTGAGGAGAACAGCCAAGGAACATGCTTCATAGTGACAGAGAGGCCAGGCTCAAAACTTAAGTCCCAGATATTGTGGTTGTCCTTCACTGCTCTGAAAATTGGGAGTGTGGTGAAATAACTGCGAGCACAAACCAAGTATTGCATACCCCCTCTCCTAACCAAGCTGCAGCTGAGCAGTATAGGTTTTTGTTATCCATTGGAGAAAGGGAGGAGTTGAAGACTAGCACGCATTATGTGGCAGGATGTTCTTGTCTTGCTCTACTGTGTGAACACTCCTCTGAAAAGGCAGCTCAGTAGGTTCAGCTGTCAGTCGTGTGTTGGAATCGTCAGCTGGGTGGCCAGTTCTTGGTTAGTGTTGTTTTGGGCTCGGGTGGTTGTGCTGTGCATTCTATAGGCTGGTTTCTGACTGTGTAAGCTTGAGGTAGCCAACCAAACGACAGGGCTTGTCTGAAGTGACCCGAGCTGTGCAGTGCGAGGTAACTGCAGGGCATTGGCCGGAGGCTCACTAACCCTCCCACAGAGGCACAGCACACAGCGTGCTGCTCTGGCCAGCTGTTCTGAGTACAGTCTGGTGCTGTCTGGTAAAGGTTTCTGTCCTTCTCACAAATTGTCATCATTCTTCATTATGGTTGTATTTTGTGCTGTGCTTCATCCTGTAGAGTTTCATCCTGTACATGAGGGATTGAATAAATTTTGTATTTCTCAGCAAGACACGAGAGGAATGTGTATTTCTTTGTATTGAAGTCGATACTAATTTCAGACAACACAGGCTTGTTTTTTCTTCTTGTGGCCTTTTTTTCTTTGATTTCCTTTGTTCCCAGTATTTACTTCTATATTGACTGTGAGTGGTAGGATATGATCAAGTGTTATTAAATACCAAGAACATTTCACTTTTCTTTATATACATTAGCAATCCGGTAAAGTTGCTTTGCCTTGGTGATCCAGGAAGACGTATTATTTTTAAACCTTTTTCATTTAGGTTTCCATCACAGCCTGTGGATATCATGCATGTGATTCAGAATTAAGGGGTGTTTTCCAGGGAGAGTGCAAGCACCTATCCCCCATTGATAATGGTTCAGACTTGTGAGACATGGACTAGAGCAAGTCACTCACCTCTTCTCTGGCCTCTGTTTTTGCATTTTCAGTTCTGCATTTGTAAGTGGGGGAATCCTTCAACTAGATCACATTTTTCATGTTTTTCTCTTAGTTTGCTGTTAGAGAGATAACTGTTAGCTGTCTCTTAACAGTTCTTTTTTTGTTTCTCTCTTTTCATTATGTATTCAATGAAGCCTATATACACAATGAACCCTAAGCGCTCTATATACTCAATGTATCCTTTGTACCGTATGTAACATTTAAATGTACCCACGTACTGTACATTGAGCACATTGCAAACATTGAGTGCATAAGGTCAATAGGGTACATTGGGGATAGGGTAAAATGAGTACATGAGGTGAAGAGGGACCATTGTGTACATAGGGTAGATGGGGTACATAAGGTACATCGGATGCATTGAGTACAATTTCACTCAACAATAGATATTTATAGAACATATGATACATAGGGTACTTTGAGTACATACTGTATGGTAAAAAAATACATTGGGTACATGGATTACATTGAGAATATACTGTAGGATGCATCGGGTTCATTGTGTACATAGGATAGGTGGGGTGCATAGGGTAAATTGAGTTCATTGAGTGGATATGGTACATACTGTATGATACACTGAGTAACATAGGATACATTGATAGTACATACAGTATACACACGGAATACATAGTGTACAGTGGGTACACCGAGTACATAGCATATATAGTGTGCATTGAGTAAATAAGGTATGTAAGAGGTCCCAAGGGTCATCTTTCTTTATCAAATTGAGGGTGTTCTTTTTCTCCAAACTCTTTTGTCGTCATCTTTAGAAGCAAGAAACACTAATTCTGCTATTGTGTCTCTTTTCATGCTGAGCGCATTTAATAACTTTTAAATTTGCGGATTTTCCAGATGTAGAATAATTTTCTTTTTTTTAATTAAATTGAAACCATTATTTTTTATAGCACAGAAATTCTCATTTTGTCACTTCCTTGCTTGATTAGTTTAAAATAGAAATTTAATCTCGAGCTCTTAGACTTGTATTAATATAACTTCAACCATTCAATCTTGATTGGAAATAATCACTCTCTTTTTCAAAATATAAAGAATACATTAAATTAATTTCAATTTTTAGAATTCATATTTGAGTTGGGTTTTATGCTTATTCTGTTATATAGCTTTGTTCATATTTTGAAATTTAACAAGTGTCTGAAATGGCTTTTACTCAAAGAAAATGTATTTAAACACGAGTAGCAGCTTTCTTGAATGTACTTGCAGCTGAAGTTTTTGTCTGATTGCTTCTAGTGGAGATGTTTCAATGCTTTTTATAGATAAAGCGCACCACAGCCACATCAGCAGTAACGCCTTTAAATCCACCAATAAAAGAGTTTAATTTTCTGGATGCTTTCATGAAGAGTTATTACTGCAGCTTGTCATTGTTATTTCAGGTTTTTAACTGTATTTAATACTGTATGTCATTACTTAACTTTAAATTTTTCCATCATTCTATTTTCCTGTTATTAATTTGTTGCCTAATTCACAGACATCCCGTCATTGTTTTTTTTTCTATTTATATCCAAACAAGCTAGATGGGTCAAACGGCCTACACTTGTTTTTACATTCTTGTCTTGTCCCTCATTAGTTATCAACTTTAAAAGTTCCTGAAATAATATTAATTATGCCTTGTGCAAGCAATATTTAAATCAAATAAGTAAATGAAGACTTAAGTAATAATTAAAACCAGAAGACTCCATGACCTTCCAGGACCTGGATATAGTCTAAATGCTTTTGTTTGTAAAGTGTTTCGTTATTGTGTCGGACCATAAGTCCCACATACGTTCCATTAGTGTATTGGACTGGAAGAGAAACAGATGGACAGACTGTACTGTAATGAGGGGATGTTCTTTGCAAAGATGATGCACTGACTGAATAACGGTTAAGATAGGTCAGTAAGAGAAATAAATAGATGGAGAGATGTGGGTGTTATCAGCCTGCCTCAAAGTGCCCTGTGGCTCTGCTCTCTGGCCCAGGCCTGTCAATGTGGAAGTAAAGTGTGTGAGCTCAGCATGCAGCTTGCTTGTGTCCTGGGGTCCTCTTGATTCCTTCCAGCAGCATACACTGTGACTGGACTTTGTCCTTCTGCACCAATCCCCATGACATACACAGCACATGTTCCTTGCCTCAGCTCGGTTTACTAAAATCTGACAACAGGAGGGTAAAGGTTAGCATTAGTCATTCCGCTCCAAAAACACACTGTGCAAAAGACACCCTTATCTTCACAATGGTACAGGACAGCTGATTAGAATGGGCTGTGCATGTGTAATCATACCACAACATGTACAGAGTAGTAATCAGTGGCTGGGCCTGAGATCGCTACATTGAAAACCTATTGGGGTTACCTTGCATAAGTGCTCGAAGTTTTCACAGGTAACTTGTTTGTATTACAATTACCACCTTATTTGTGGTCTAAAGTAAGAGGCCAATCCTTCTCATTGTTTCTATTTATCTATCATTACACAGCCAGTACTGGGCCTATGCATGAAACACCTGGGAAAACCCTGCCAGAAAGGGAAATTTTAAAGCAGTCAAACTTAGCTTTCATCCAGAAAACACAGTGGGAATGAGAGGACTTCTCATACTGTAGACAGGAGCTCAAGCTAATCCAAGTCCCTGGAGCTGTAAGGCAGTAGTGACAACCACTGGGCAGACTTTCCTTCTACACTTACTTTCTTTTCAGCAGTAAAGTGCAAAGATACCTTTAGATCAGGCTATGTTAAATCTCACAAAACTGCAAAATAGTTCAATAAATTTAAAATTTTGTAACTTTCCAATGAACTAATTTGAATTTCAGAACAACAGTAACCAGCACACTTTTCATAGTTGCTGAAAGGTAGTCCACTGCTAACACATGACAGGGCTCTCAAGAAGCATTTTCAGAAATGTTATTGGCCATTACTACAAATAGATTAGAAAGAGTAGAAACCACTAATTTGAAGAGTGAAAAAGAGTTCCGTGTGGAGTGGGGAGCAGAGACCCTGTGTCACAAAAAGCAAGAGAGGGAGCCATCAGTGTCAGAGATAGGTACTGACCTTTGTCCCTGCATTGTGGAGGCTGCCCTGCTGTCTCCCTGCCTTAATCGCAGGGTGAAGTCCAAGCGGAGGGACTCAGATACTAAGAGCGCGTGTGTGATCTTTTCCCAGCTCACTCTCTCTCCCACACTCACTTAGGGCTGGAGCTCTGACCACGCTGCTGCCCGTGAGGTTCTCTCGGACTCTGCCTCTCCTCTGCTACTTTCTGCCTGCCTGCTCTACCCCGGCTGAACCCGCTTCTCCAGCTCAGGAACCAGTTTCTGCAGCTGACCAGTGCTGTATCTCTGGCTGTGCTGTGAACCGTGCTGCCTTTTTCGTCTCCGCTGTAGCTCCAGCCTGTGGTTTCCTCAGGGCTGTACCCTCACCTACCATGTGGTTTCGTCCAGCACTCGTACTCCTGCCCCTGCTCTGCCTCTCCCTGAGGCTGTCGGGTGCCCAGGAGGCAGAGACGGGCCCCCCTGCACCCGGCCAGGTGCCCAACGCCACCCAAACGGAGGACGAATCATCCGACTGGGGTCTTGACACCATCCGGGACAGCTTCCAGGCTGTCAATGGCTACTTTGACTCTATGCTGGAGCTGCTGGGGGGACGCAACGGAGTCTGCCAGTACCGCTGCCGATTCGGTAAGTGAAGTCACTAGGGAACCCCCGAACACATGTTCGATTCGAAGTCTGTATGGTAATTTTATCAACTTTTATTTGGTTTTCCCATGGGCGGTATTGTTTGGTCATCATAGTGTAAGTTAAATATTGGAATGCAAACTTGAATTAGAAGCATGAGAAACAGTGCTGTTTCCTCAGCTCTGGAAAGCGAGATAGTTTCACCTGTCTTATGATTAATAGCTCAGCGATGCTGTCCGGCTGGATAATTGCTTGAATCAAGAGCCATAAACACTAAAAGTTTATAGCAGTGAACTGGAGGTGGCTATCATCAGGACAGAGAGGAACAAGTCAACTATCCTGAGACAGCTCTCGTTCAATGTCTGTATGTCTCTCTCCACTGCTGAAAAACTAGTGTAAACACTGATGTTATTTAAATCTCCAGGAAAGGCTCCTCTTCCTCGGCCTGACTACAAGACTCCTGAGCCCAATGGCTGTAGCTCGTACTTCTTGGGCCTGCAGGTACCAGAAAGTGTATGTAACTAACATTGTTTTTGTTGCTGATAACACACTGCTTGTGCTCTTTCTCTACTCAATATTGATCGTACTACTAACACAAGTATTGCCCCACTGTCTGCAATGCAGCGTGTGTACAGTGGAATGTGTGTGTAAACTGGTTTTTATTCCCCCTGCTGGTAGTTTGATTTATTCATTTCACCTGGTCATCAGATTCTTTCAAATTAAAGTACTGTAGCTGTGGAACCTTCTAAATTAGTTCATTAACTTGGTTCTTGCTAATTTATTCTGGCTTCGGGCCTCGGCAGAACAGTAGCATGGGGGATAAAAAGAATAACGGATTTCAGATCTCCAAAGTCTGGGACAATCTTGCAGTGGCTGTTAGTATTGTTGGGATAGGTGCAAATGTTCAACGTGCAGCGTTTGTCTCGGTCTCAGACTGGCCTTCTTTCCAGGAAATGAAAGATGTTTATGTAGTGAATGCTGTCTGATCTTAAAGAAGGTGTGTTTTTTAGTTTGGATCTCCTTTTAACCCACTGCATTCTTTTCTTTAAGTCACCACGACTTCTCGTAAAGAGAGGACAGGTTCTGTCTTACTCTGCGTGTTAGAAATTCTATCCAGACATATATTTTCTAACCACTTCTTCCAATTGAGGGCATCTGGGGAGCTGGAGCCTATCCCAGCAAGCGACAGGCACAAAGCTGGGTGCACCCTGGACTGGATACCAGTCCATCAGAGGACACACACAGACACAAACACACACAGGCACGCACCAGGGCCAATTTTCCCAGGTTTCTTATTTTCACCCTGAGTTTCAGTTCAGTGGAACCCTTGATTCCATTTGGAAATATAACAGTATTAAATAGGAATTCCTGTCAAAGGAGGAGATCATGGTACGATGCATGCCTATGTGTGCTTGGCGTGCCTGTTCGTCTGAGCTGTACAATAACAGAACCCTCTGGTGCCCCTGTGTGCAGCTGGACATGGGAATCCCTGCAATGACAAAGTGCTGTAACCAGCTGGACCTTTGCTACGACACCTGCGGCTCCAACAAGTACCGCTGCGACTCGAAGTTCCGCTGGTGTCTGCACAGCATCTGCTCCGACCTCAAGAAGAGCCTGGGGTTCGTGTCAAAGGTTGAAGGTCAGTCGTGCTGCCTATAACTTTACTGTTCACCTTACTGCTTTGACCAGTGACAAAGGTTGTGTGTAGAGTATACAAACTGAACTGCTGAATCTGTTCAATGGCTCCTTTAGGACAGCTAGTCAGTTAAAACATTACTATGGCTACAGAAATGTTGTGGGAAAACATAATAATTGTTCATTTTTGAAGTGTCCATTTTATTACTAATAGAATTATCACTAATTTTTATATTATTATGTAAGGATTATACTGAGCTTTGCATTACATTTTATTACACATATAAATACGAATACAGGCCTCATTCACAAATCTATGAGAAAATTATGATAATTACATTTGAAAAAAATATAAACTGAAAGTCTGTGTTTGCTCTGTAGTGTAATCTACGTCTCTTTGTCTCAGGAAGTATCCATTAACTATCTCCGTCTCTCTTTCTCAGCTTGTGAGACTGTAGCAGACACCCTTTTCAACACTGTGTGGACTCTGGGCTGCAAGCCCTTTATGAACAGTCAGAGGGCAGCCTGCATCTGCAACGAGGAGGAGAAGGATGAACTGTAGGACAGCACCAGCGACAAAACAACACAGCAGACCACCGTACACTGCAAGACAACACAACACAATCCAATACAGCATAGTGCAGAAGAACATATACCCACATTATATAATAAGGAGAACTAAAATCTAACAAAATAATCAAATATGACACACTGCAGTCTGTCACAATTCTATACTGCACACACCAGCACAAAATGACCCCACCACATGTACATTTAAGACAAGACAGGCCCACTGCACATTTCAACACTACACAGGCCAGTCAAGTGCCAAGCAGGGCAGCACAATGACAGGAGCAACAGGAGTTAACCAGAGCTGGCTGGGCTCAGTGGCCATTCTTCCCTCATGCTCTCACGGTGCAGTGAAACCCAGCAGATCAGCAGGGCGCTGCCTGCAGCGGCTTACATACAGAATAAAATAAGAAAAAGGACCAGAGCACAGCAATTCAATAATCAATCGGCAAGTCTGTTCATAAGAGAGCAATAAAGGGCCATCTGGGACTGGAATGAAGGTTGGAGCTCCGACTGCATGAGTCTGCTGCCAGTTTACCTCATTCTCTCCCCTTCCCCCAGATGGGCACATGGCCCAGTGGCTCAGGCACCGCTGCCACGGCTCAGACCAGCACACAGAACAAGTGCCTGGGTATAGTATTGTTATTCGTATTGCTATTTGTGATCCAGTGTGGTAGGTTGTATTTAAGTTATTAAAGGGTTGTTGTTTTTTTTCTTATTTTCTGCTAGCAAGTGTTTTTAATTCTGTTCTAAAACGGCAGCACCGTGAAGTGCGTCTGGTTTTGTGATTAATTTTTTAAATAAAATGTGACAGTAATAAGGAAGCAGCTGTCTCTGGACTCAGAAATGTACAGCACATTTTGTTGCACAGCTCGTGGTGTAATGCTGGTGGAAACTGGAGACTGTACTCGATAGCCACGCTACACAGAGCACAACAGCAAATCTTTACCAATCGGATTGATGGATAACAGTAATTACAACGAGAACTGCATAGCGTAAATATAAGTAAATACTGTGAACAAGCCCTTGCGTGACTCATCCTGCTCTGTGTTCCGAAACATTAAGAGAGTATTTCTAAGGTTTCGCTTTTAGAGCAAAATACCCTGAAAGCAAGCAGAAAAAATTAATCTAGCAAGAGTAGGAGTGGGAGCGAGACGTGAGGCGAATAGCAGCTTTCTGCACATATTTCAGACAATTTGCTAGGGATTTATCTAGACCTAGAAAAGGTGAAGCAAATTTTTTTTTTTACTAGAAAGGAAAAGGGCTTTGAGCTGTCTTTACGAGATTGTATCACATCCGTAAGATGAATTCTGACAGATCCCAGGGTACTGGCTTGATCTTTTATGTAGTATGTTTAATTCTTTAAACAGAAATCTTTGGAAAATGGTGTCCAGAGAGTCCTGGGATCTCTGATTAGAGCGCTGATCACATGGAGAGAGCTTAGACACAGGTGCGACTTTATTGAACAGTTACAAAACACTGTGCATTTCATTCTGGTATGTCTTTCACATACCTTATACAGTACTGCAGATACAGATACTCATATCATTAAAGACAATTAGATAACATTTCATCCTAGTTGGTAATAATACTGCTATGCGGACAAGTGTTAAAAATACAATATAGAATTTACATAACAACACTGCAATACATATTTGCTTGATCAAACAAAAAGTAAAAAATATATTTTGATACAAGATGAGATTTTAAATAAAATACGTTCATATTGCTGGGTGTACATAGATTTGAAGACATGTTCATGGTCATGACTTTCCTGAAATAGCTGTTGGCACAATGGGTTCCTGACAACTGAGAGGGGGCTCATTAAACACACCTGAAACAGTGTTTCTCCATCCCTGCAGCTGATTCCTGAGTGAGAGTGATAGTGGAGGTCGAGTGGTGCAATGGTTGATCTAGGTGTGTTACCGGAAGTATACCAGGTCAATCCCTGGCCTTTGTCTGTGGTGTTACACCAGACTGGTCTTTCAGGTCAAGAAAGTCCTGCTGTCAGTTACTCTGAACCAGAAGCTGTTAGTGAATTGTTCTCCCCTTTGTCTTTTCTAAATTGCTCAGGCTAAAAATGTATTTTAAGTGTCAGTGGCTCTGCACAATATTGCCTCTGTGCTCTTGGACTCGACATGGAAATCTCTTCTGGACAAATCAAATGTTCTTGATAAAAATGTTCAACAAAACTGCTAAGCTTATTTTTTTTTCTGGAATAAAAATAGACTTTCAAATAGGCTTTTTGGACATTTTAGAAAAGCTTTGTTGCATTTTTTTTATAATGGACAGACCAGATGGATAAAAGTTACAAGGATTCTGCAGAGGAGCTTGGCAGCTCTGACAGCTAGAGAAGCTACAAATAATTCAGCATGATTTGTAAAGAGCATTATGTATTCCAGCGGTTAGTATATACATAGAGCACATTTCAAATGCTAACATTGCAAATAAAAAAAAATATCAATGCTACTACTAATTCCACCAGGGCAACATTGAAAACAACTATTAGCATTAGAACTCCCCGGGTTACAACCACTTCCAGCTTGGCTGTTATAGACTGAAAATCTCATTTTTATGCACATTTGCTGTATGAATCTTGATCTGCCATCTTATTGAACATATTTATTCAAAAAGAATAGAAATGCACATCTGTAGAACATAATATAGTTTTATTCTATTATCATCAAGTTATAGTTAGCATGTAATTGACATCTGCAGATAAAAAACATTCATGTTTTCAATAAAACATTTAAGCATTTAAGTACTTTTAATCTAAGATAGATGTAGATGTAGACTATATACTGGAAGCATTTGTAGTCTGATAAGAGGTTTACCTGACACCTTACCTTTCAGGGAATACCTTTCACTATTTTTTTTAAAGCAGCAGCATTTAGCTTTTTTGACATCATCAGATTACCCTGCTTTGTGTGGGGGTGGGGGTGGGCTCTGTGTGTGTGTTAATGTCTGAGTTGGTAGAGGGTGGTGATTGGATGTGCTGCAGCGATGTCAGTCATCAGGAAGGATAATGATTGGCCCGCCGGTCAGCAGGCGCTGGTCAAGATGTCCGCCGTCGGGCTCGTGCCAGGCATGACGACGCATTCGCCTCCGACAACCCTGAGAGCAGCGGGATGCCCCATCTCCCTCCCCACACACCAGCACGTGGCAGTGCAGGAAAACCTCCTGAAATGGAGGGACACACGTAACACATCAACTCCACTCACTGTGTCAGCAGATAGCAACACACTTTCACTGAGTGCAACTCCTCAACCTTCATTTTCAAACATTGTGCACCTGTCTGTCCATGCGTCTCTCTGTCCGTCCGTCCGTATTTCTGTCCGTCCCCCTCACACTTACCTTGTTGTCTTTGCCCACGAATTTAAAGACAGGCACTTGGTAATGTTTGGACAACTGGTCTTTAGAAGAGTACTGCTTCACAGTCTCATCTGAGATACACCTGGAGAGAGATGAGAGGTGGGGGGAGGAGAGAAATCTTAATTGTGGTATATTTGCTTGATAACCTCATATGTTTACAATAATTAACCTCGCTTTCCTATGGTTTTCATCTTACTTTCTATAATACATCACTAGGCTATTATATTACAATGGTTTAAAACAATATGTGTTTATAAAAGTAACATGGGAAGCCTGAATAAAAACAAAAAATATTTTATGGGTAACAAATATGATAATGAAAAATAAATTAAGCAGATGCACTACCAGATGGGCATGTAAGAGAATAAAAAATAGAAATAAAATCAGTCAATTGGGAAACGTTGACTGTCAGGCTGTTGATGTCCTTGTTCCGGTATTATTTGACTGGCTGCATCTGGATTCACGAATCACCTCAAATGAAACATTCCTAAGTGTTCTTTGAGATCGAGGGTGTAGAATAAAGCAGTTTCACACCTTGAAAATTATGTCAAGTTGTGTTATCTTTAATACTTAAGGGAATAGTTTGACAGTCCCCCAGTTAACCAGTGACCCGGACTCAGTTAAACTATCATCAGGTAGTCCAAGATTAGGGATATTCGGGAACTGTGAAATACAAGCAAGGTAAAAAGCAAAGCTTCATTTTTTTATATCACCTGCCACCTGTGCAAAGAAAAATCAACTAACAGACATATTAGAAATATCTATGAAAAAAAATCTATTATGAGTGAAAGAGGATCACACACCCGTCCTTGATTAGGTAGTATTTGAGTGCCTGGTCTGCCTTGGAACTGGGTGTGGCAAAACAACTTTCCACTAGTGCGGCCAGGCCGTCCACTCGCTCCGCCGGCTCCACACCGAAAAACAGAGTGTCCCGCAGCTTCAGGGTTGGCAGGGAACCGCGGTAGGGCTCGGAGAACTCGGAGTTCTTGAAGAGCTCCAGGCTGAAGGGGAACATTCCTTGGCTTCTACCAGCAATCTCCAGAGCTGAGTTGCGGGTGTTGGGCAGGTAGCCGTCGGAGACCTCATACTGGCGTGGGAACTCACAGGTCACTGGGATCAGGAGCTTGCTGGTGCGCACAATGACGTCACCACTGCTCCCGGGGCTTTGCTGTGGTAAACCGGTTACCAGGTTGGTGCTCACGATCTTGTCATTCACCACCTGAGGGACATGGGACAAGAGAAACCTTGATATTGTTACAAGTATAGTAAAGCAGTAGGAAGAATTTGTTAGGCCTGGTAGAAATGGCATATAAGTGATTAAAAGCACGGCTCTAGTGAAAGACTAATAAATAAGAGACAGAACTTTGACAAGGCAAATATTTATATACATTAACATAGAATAACTACAGTTATTTATTTTATACACAAAACAATATACAACATACACCTGTTAAACTCTCAGACATATACAAAAGTCTATGTGTTTCAGAGCCTATGTGCTCTTCAGACCAGAAAAAAAATATCCAAGAAAAAAATATCATTATTCTAAAAATGTATCACTAACTAGAAAATAACACTTTTAGTCTCAGGATTCCACAATAATGGCTCTAATGATTCACCATGAAGTTAAGCAACCAGTGCAAATCCCCTTTTATCAACTACTGTATGTTCACCTGACTCTTAGGTCACATGCAACTAGGCGAACACCTCAGACAACACCAGTGTTTACAGGTTTTCTGAAATAAGGACTTTCAAGATGTAAATGGCAAACAACACACCCCCTAGCTTGTAACAATACCAAAGGGGTGAAAAACGCCAAGTGAAGGCAAGTCCTGACCAAGCACAGAGTCAGCGATCCTTGGAAACTGGTGCCCCGTTTCCCTTCATACCTTATATCATCTCAGAGCCTTGTGGCACAAGCTACTGGTGCCCTGTGCCACTGACTCACCTCCACCACAGTGCCGCAGGTCTTCAGGCTGAAGTTGAGGTTGACGTGAGTGCCATTGGAGACTCCGCGGCAGGAAGAGTTGGACAGGAAGAGCTCCAGCCCGCCCACCAGCTCCCTGGGCACTGACACCTCAATTGAACTTGAACGGCACTGCACTGGCACTGCCCGCACCCAGAAAGAGAGAGGGGGACAGAGGTTTACAGTATATGCACAATGCTAAGTGAAACTCTGAAGCAAACTGCCCAGAGAGAGTGAAATAATTGGGTTCATACTCATAAGAAAAGGAAGGAGAAACACCGTGGTTCATACAAGGATCCATGCATCCATCTTCTTACCAGTTCATCCAATTTAGGATCACAGCGCCAACACTTATCCTGGCAAGCAACAGGTACAAGACGGGAGACGCCCCATATCATCCTCTTGCCCTCTCAGCCTTGCTCTCTACACCCTGCCTCTCTGTCTCTCCCTTCTCCCACGTAAGGCTTACCCTGGCAGGTGTACCTGTCCTCAGCCAGCACCAAACCGCGAGGACAGTGACAGTGGTAGGTGTCCTGCAGCATCGAACACCCGTGACTACAGCCCCCATTGTTGTTGTGGCACCCCTCAATCCCTGCCAAAGAGAGGCGTGGAGAGGGTGTGTTGAGGAAACATTTAGGAAGTAACAGGAGTGAGGGAGGAGAAAGAAAGAGGCAGAGCAGGCAAGGAGACAAAAAAGGAGAAGTGAACAAACTTAGTCTGAGAATGCAAGCTTAATAAACAACAGAAATTAAATAATCAGTCATTTCAGTGCAGAGAAATCTGGGTGAGAAATTCTCTGAATACTAAACGTTGTGAGAACAAATGTTTGTGTTTCTTTCTCATGAATTAAAGAGGGGTCTTTGAGATAATCAAGATCTTTCTATGTCTCTCCAGAAGAGTTGAGCTCTTCTTTGGTGATGTAATGCATGATTCAATGACAGTATGATGTAAAGCTCTTACCCTGGCAGGTCCTGCCATCAGCGCCCAGCACCCTGCCAACTCCACACTCGCAGCGGTGCGAGCCCTTCATGTTCACGCACACCTCAGCACAACCTCCATTGTCCTGCTCACACTCGTTCACATCTGCAGCGCAGGGGAGAGGGTGACAACAGGAAGATGGAACTGAATTGGAGGAAGATGGTGTGCAGTCTATATTCATCCTGCTAAACCTCCTCTTTACTACCTGCTTCTTACACTGTTTCCTCTCCTTTTTCTCTTCTGTCTACACATACCTTGTCTCTTTCCTAGGCCAAGGTTATCCTAGTAAAATAACCCTGTCTCCCCCTGAGTCCTTCACTCTCTTCAGTCCCAATATTGCCCCATTGCTTTCTCTGTCCCAGTGTTCCCTCTCTCTACCTCCTCTTCATCCAACAACCCTCTCATTCCCTGCATCTCAGAAGCCCAAACCCTCCACCCACCCCCCTATCCTTCACCCTTACCAAGACAAGTCTGTCCATCTGGCCCCAGCACTGTCCCTGTGGCGCACTGGCACTCTCCGGGGTCCAGGCAGGTGCCGTTGCAGTCCGACTCGTCACAGATGTCATAGAAATCTGACAGACAGCACAGCAAACTGACATAAACAGCCTCACAGTACACAACTGAAAGCCTCTCATAGCTACAGTACAGTCAGACAGAGCCATCACTACAGTAAAGGCAGGCAGACAGAAGGACAGGCCCATGGCGGCACTACAAATAGAGGGCCAGAGAGATTCGCGGACTGGGCGGACAATCAGGGAACAGCTGCAGGAGAGGCACACAAACAGATGAGACTCACGGCCGCAGTAGACGTGGAAGCAGACGGAGGGCCGTGGCAGGCGGTAGACGTAGTAACCGCTGGCGCAGGCTTTCACCCCCACGCTGACGTTCCACATGCAGCAGTCCCCGTTGAAGCTGGCGCACGCCTGCCGCTGCACCACGCCGTCCTCGGGCCGCGGGTGGCTGCCGTTCAGCCAGATGGGCGCGTGTGTGCCACAGTGGTTCTCCTCAATGCAGAAAGTAGGCATGGCATCCCCCGCCATGCCAGTGAAGCGGTACCACTCGCCGTTGACATGGCTGTCACACAGGGGGACTCCGGCTGAGCTGTTGACATGGTGCTCAGTGTTCCTCCAGGGCTCGTTCAGGCTGATGTAGGCGGAGCAAGGGTCCAGGGCTGGTCAGGAGGGGGCAGAGGTTTCAACACTGCTGCGGAAATGAGCCCACAACAGCACTTCCAGTACCCCTCGTCTGATATTCAATTGTATGTTAACTGTCCTATAAAGAACTGTGATGTGCTGTGATGTACACAGCACGCCTGCCCCTACAGCACTCTCTGCTCTTTCCCCCTTGATCATGCTCAGAGCTTTTCAAAGCAGCCTCATATTTCTCTTGATCTGTACCCTCTGAACTGTGGTATGATTGTCTGCGCTCCAAAATATATATAGCTGGTAATGTGACCTTCTGCTGTATTTACTGTTTCTCACATGGATCTGGCAAGCGCTGAGGAAAAAATACCTCAGGAAATACCATGAGAACATAATGATAGCAACAGAGTAAAAATGTCTGGAGTATATACTGAAAGGCTTTAAAAACACAACAAATGAATTCCGGAACCAAAAGCATTTGTTGCATTCTGATTGTCTCATAGTACACTTACAATTATAAACATTGGTAAAGTTTTATGGTTCTTTACAAGTTAAACTATGTTACATTTTTAGAAGTACACTATGGGGTCTGTGCAGATAAAATTATGGTACAGGGTTAGTACAGCATATTACAGCTCATCTTAGTGATGAGTGATTTTTCACCAGCAGGTAGATCAGGGGCATCATATAACAGGTCCTCAGAAAACAGCTGGCTGCTTGTCACTTTGTGTTTCATGGGTTATGAGACATACAGGTGTGCTTTCTGAATAAAGATTGCAGGGGCTGATGGTTCCAGTTTAGACCTGTGTTGTGTTTAGTACAATAGGGAGTTCAGTCCCAGGAGTACCCTGTTGTGGACAGAGAACACCAAGAGTAGAAAAATAAATATCCCTGCACAATTCATAGGTACTCTGCTGTTTTACATGAGCAGAGACACAGCTCTTATCTATTATAATCTATTATTAAATACCATTTTCTTGTGGTATTTGATTAGGTAGTCTGTTAAATGCATAATTTCAAAATGCAATTATTCTCTGAAGCTTCATTGTGATGAGCAATACGTATGATTACCTGCATGTGACAAATTTACTATATAATATTTCTTTAACTTGAAAGACCTGCCATTAGAGTTCATCTCCCAAAGAGATAAATGTGCATTGTGTGCAACTAAAAAAAAATGAATCGGTTCCAATCAAAGTGCACATTCTGCATACTTCTCCTTAATGTGAATGAAAAAGAACTGCTTTATTCCTTTCACAATTGTTTTTTCTTTCAATTTTGGAGTCTTTGCAGCTGAAACATTACTCTTGCATTTCACTCAGCACACATACAAAATGTATAAAATAGATAATTCCACGTATCTGATAGAACAATATATGTGCATCTTGTATGAAACAATCATTTAAAAACCGAATAACATCAGTATATTCAACATGGGTACTTGCAGCATAGGAGCAGAGAGATCTGTCAGGAGTTCTGCTTGTAAATATTAGTGTAGAAAAATGAAAACAATCTGTTCACAGAGGAGCCAGAGCCCTTCCTGGCAAAGCAGGGCTTGCCAGGATGAAAGAAAACATCCCTACAATATATCAGCTCTTCTTCCTTTTTTTACACCAAAAGACAAATTCAGGGCATATAACTCTTTTTATCCCGAGATATCCCACAGAACCATTAAAAAAGGGTGTAGCATTTACTGCAGTTATAAACCACTTAGTTCGAAAACCTAATAAAGCTCTCATAAAGAATCTTTGATAAGGAATCTTAAGTTTTTAAATTCCCAATATTATAGAAGTAAGGATGTATGCACACACCACCCATCACTCCTTCTCCTCGAATTTTAACCTCCAACTGCCCTTCTCTCCTGCAGTTTTCTCCCATTCCTCTCTCTCTCCAGCTGCTGCGGTAGTGCTCATGTGAGGAAGGACTCACCAAAGGATGAGGTGCCAGGCAGCTCCTGTAACAGCATAGAGAGGACCAGAAACAGCATGCTGTGTCTCCTGAACGGTCTCGGTCTCTCAGTGTGCAGTGCTTGCTTTGTTGTCTTTCGAATGGGGGTTCCTGTAGATCTTCCTCTTAGTTCAGGGCGTCTCTCAGCCTGGAGTGGTCAGTGGTTTTTCAGGGGTGGTCTTGGGGGGTCTGTCTCTCAGATGGGGTTGTGCAATCTGGGTCCCCCAGAGAAAGGGGGGTGGGTTTTAATTCCCACAGGACAGGAAAGCTCGGGCTAGGCTGAGGGGCTGACCGTCCCAGAATCTCTCTTTCACCTTGACCCTTCAGTTGTCGTTGTCCTGTTTTGGACAGGGACCTACAGCATCCTCCCATTGTTCCCCCTGCCGAAACAGAGTCTCCCTTATCTGTGGCTCATCCCTGCTGCCGGACACCATCCCTGATTACAGCCCAGGATGTTCGGTTCCCTCCAGCATCAAAACACTCGGCTACCTCTGTGCTCAACAACACAGTTAAAAAAAAAAATCAATTTCCCACTGCCATTTCTCTTTCTGTCTTTCAGTTTAAGATGGACATTTTTTAGTGTCTGGGGGAGGCAGCACAATCCCAGATGAGCATCACAATTAATATTGCCCACCTGTTTTTTTAGAGCCAGGCTAGGCAAAAGTTCTCCATCACAGACCCACCATGCACTGTCAGGTAATCAGAGACAAACCAGACAGACAAGGAGTCTGCATGCCAGGATCTCCCAAAGACTTCCTGCTTTGTGTCAGTTAAAAAAGGAGGCCTTTGATTGTGTGTGTTGTAAACAACTGAGCTGTTTTCTGTTTTTTTTTTTCTCATTTAAATTAAGAAGATTGGATAATACATGTGTAAGAATGGGGGAGAAATTGAATTTTTTCATATTAAATACTGATGTGCCCCAACTTACATACACATCCTATTCCCATAAATGTAACTTAATATATAAAGTAGTGTGTGGAATCAGTCTGAATCGCATGGCCTTGCATGCTTGTTTTCTTTTCCATGTGTGGTGCCTACAGTAGTTTTAATGGTAAATAATTACTCTACAAGAGTAAAGTGTTATTAGTAGAAAACTGTACAGAGTACATTAAGTGTAATTTCATGTTATTGTGGTACCGTAATAGGAATAATTGTAATTAAAAGTTTTGAGTGCAAACGTAGTGTATAACAGTGCTTTCTGACTTACTGTACATTTTGACTTATTGACACATGGTTGTGTGTCCTGTACCAGAATGACAAAGAATGAAGAGAGCCGTCCCTGCAGGCAGTGTGCCAGGTCAGCAGCACTGTTCAATCACATCGTGAGAGTTTAGGGCAGGATTCTGCACCAAGGCAGAAGAGTTCTTTACATCTGCAGCCGTTTCAAACTTGGCCTGTGGTTTGATTAAGCCAGTTCAAGTCTTATAATCGTGATGATTTAGGCAGGCCAAGAACAATGACTGGATCTGGTTTGACAAGAATGGGGGAGTCCAGATCTCTGACGTAGCATCATTAACAATGGTCCCCAAAACACCAGAGCGGTTGGAGTTGGTGTTTTAAAGGTGCCGGCTGCTAGGGGAGACACCGGTGCTGGACGGCGTACATGACACTTCAAGGGCAGCGCTGGTGTATTAGAGCACAAATAATCTACTGACTCGGCCAGAGAAAGAGAAACTTGTGGCAGTCCAAGACATTTAAGTAAAGGCAGATTTTTCTTTTTGGCAAATTCTTCCTCTCGGGGAATGTAGAATTGCATTGTGAGTTCAACCCACCGTATTATTTTTTGGTCCATCAAACTTCTCACTTAACTGAGCAAATTTAAAGTGAGCTTAAAATGCTCTTGAAGACTTGAAGATTGGATCTTACAAGCATACAGATAATATCTCCAATTTCATTTTCATTTACAATGTCGTGGTTTTTTGCAACACAACCATCCAGCATATATGGTAAGTGTAACCCTTAGTAGTTTAGCAGTGCTTGTTGATAATGATATTTTGGTTATTGCAAATTGTAATAAAACAGGCTGTTTCAGTGCTTCAGGTCTCTGTGTTCCGAGATGAAGACATACAGACATGACCCTAGAATGTGCTTCAAACCATTAGTATAATGCTATGTGATGCCCTGTTGCCTGCAGACTAATTTAACTGTGGCTCTGATTTTGCAGTGTTTTGAGTCCAGCTTCAGTGTTGAGGTCAGGTACAGTAAAGGGTAAATTGAGCCTGTTTATTAGGCAGGGTGCCGTGAGCAATGCAGGACACTGATGGCAGTGCTATCACAGGATGTTCAGCAGATAAAGAAAGACAGACAGTCAAGGATTGACCATAGCAGGTCAAGGCTCCTACTGAAAAAAAAAACAGCTCCTGAAATAAACAGCAGGCTGGTCACTCCATTCTGCGTGCGTGTGAGCACTCTCTGGTGGATCAGTGTGATGAGTAGCGCACCGAGATGGGAGTGAGTCCCTGAGTGAATGGTGTCAGTATCAGGACCAGTGGTGCTCTTCCATGAATAACAGTTCTGTAGTACGTGGAGTGCACCTGTCTGTACGTTATATACAAGTTCAAGTATGCATGTTTGCACATTAAAAAGATGTTGCATGAGCCAGTCATGCCCAAGACAGTATAATGAGGGTTTTCATCTGTTCCATACCACGTTTTCTTACAACTGCTGAGAGAAAAGGATAGCATATTACTGACATGGCAGATGTCCAGATGCAATCGTTACAGAAAACAAAATGGCCTTGACAGAGCAGTAATGTGCCCATCAATTCTGAGCACAATGTAGAGCAGACAAAAACAACAGTATGAAACACAAGGCCTGTTTAAATATTTTACCACAGTTGTGGAAGTCTAGTAAGAAATCCACTTAGTCCTATGCTTTTGGTGAGCTTGTTGTAACAAATTGTTGTTTTCAAATAAAACTAGTTGTTGGAAAGAGAAATGAGCAGTTGGTATGAACCAGGTTTTCTACTGCTCAAGAAGGGTGCAGACAATATGGATATGGAGATCTCATTTTTCCTGCCCTTTAATTTTTCTGGGATAGACTAAGAATTATTTTCAAGTGAAAATCCTGCAAGTATATTCCATCAAATCAAATCAAAGTTTATTTATCAAATGCACAACAATACGGCGTGCAGCAGTAGTTGCTGGCAATTAAATGTCTTTTTCTGCAAGCTCACAAAAATCACAAGAATCACAAGAATCACAGAAATCCTCAAAAACACAAATCACAAAATTGAGGTTACATTTTTGAAATTGAATAAAACTCAATGTGAGTAGAGCTGTTATGTGTCCATAGTGTATGCAATATATACATGTAATGCAGTTATGCTGAATATAGTGAGAATGTCCATGTGTGTCCATGTAGCCATTACAGGTGATTTGCTAAGGAGCTACGGGTGGCTATTTAGCAGTCTTATTGCCTGGAGGTAGAAGCTGTTCCGTAGTCTGTTGGACTTGGACCGAATGCTTTGGTACCGTTTACTGGACGGTAGGAGGGAAAACAGTTTGTGACTGGGATGACTGGGGTCCTTGAGAATGGACCTGGCCTTCTTCAGACATCTAGCTGAGTAGATCTCCTGGATGCTTGGTAGCTCACAGCTGGTGATAAGCTGCGCTGACTTCACCACCCTCTGCAGTACTTTGCGATCCCGTGCGGAGCAGCTCCCATACCAGGCAGTGATGCAACCAGTCAGGATGCTCTCAGTAGTGCACCTGTAGAAGTTGGTCTGGATATGTGATGGCATGCCGAACTTCTTTAGCCTGCGGAGAAAGAACAGGCGCTGCCGTGCTGTCTTGACCACGGTGTTGGTGTGGTGGTCCAGGTTAAATCCTCTGAGATGTTAACTCCCAGGAACTTAAAGCTGCTGACCCTCTCCACTGCAGTCCCATTGATGTGAATAGGTGTGTGGTCTCCACCCTGATGTTTCCTATAGTCCACAATCATCTCCTTAGTCTTACTGATGTTCAGAGAGAGGTTGTTCTCCTGGCACCATGCTGCCAGGGTTTCAACCTCCTCCCTGTATGCAGACTCTTCACCGTCTGTGATCAGGCCAATGACTGCTGTATCGTCCGCAAACTTGATGATGGAGTTTGAGTTATGCCTGGTGACACAGTCATGGGTAAATAAGGAGTAGAGGACAGGGCTAAGCACACAGCCTTGGGGGGCTCCAGTGTTTAGAGTCAGGGTAGAGGTTATGTTGGTGCCCACTTTCACCACCTGCGGACGTTCCGTCAAGAAGTCCAGGATCCAATTACAGAGGGAAATGTTCAGTCCCAGGTCCTGGAGCTTGATGACAAGCTTTGAGGGCACTATGGTATTGAATGCTGAGCTGTAATCAACAAACTGCATTCTCACATATGTTCCTTTCTTATCCAGGTGTGAGAGGGCAGTATGGAGGGCAGTGGCAATAGCATCTTCTGTTGACCTGTTCTGGCGGTATGCAAATTGCAGTGGGTCTAGGGTGTCAGGCAGTGAGGAGGTGGTGTATGCTTTGACCAAAAGCACTTCATGATAACTGATGTGAGTGCAACAGGGCGGTAGTCATTTAGGCAGCTGACTCTGGATTTTTTTAGGAACAGGGACAATGGTGGTCTTCTTAAAGCAGGAAGGAACTATAGACTGAGCTAGGGAGAGATTGAATATGTCCGAGAAGACATCTGCCAGCTGGTCTGCACATGCCTTCAGAACGCGGCCAGGGATGGCATCAGGGCCAGGAGCCTTGCGTGGATTGGTCTTTTTAAAAACTTTACACGCATCCGCTCTGGATATGATCAGTGGGTTTCTGTCTTGGATTTCTGGAATCTTCCTGACTGGATCTGCGTTGCTGACCACACACCGAGCATAGAATGAATTTAGCTCATCAGGAAGAGAGGCAGACTGTTGTGCGATATAGATGGGTTGCATTTTGTAGTCTGTGATGGTGTGTATACCACTCCACATGGTCCATCAACAAGCATTAGCATTCTGCATGTCTACCCATTTATCCTCGGACACCTTCAAACGGGAAACTGCCACAAAGAAGCTGGCAGGAAGGCCTCAGCTCGACAGATTCATCTGGACATTGGAGCAGAAACTTTGCCAGTGTTATGAACCAATAAACATTTTACTGACACACTGATCTCTTTTCCAGAGATTTTTAAATACGACAGAAAACATCAAGCTCTGCCTTACTAAAAACAGACCAAGAGTCTCTTGTGCTCACCCATTTTCTTCCACAAGTGCCCTGCGTGACCACAAAGTATAGCATATCTATGATGCCAGATACCAGATATCTGTGATGCACCCATGTACACAGAAAGGGATTTTATCTTGCTCATGGGAACTACAGTAACCCATCTGGGATCTGAACTCACAACCTTCCAGTTCTGAGTCCTGAGCCCTGACAACTCCTTCACATGGCACTAGAAAAATCAGGTACTGCATGTTTTTTTTTAATGAAATACTTCTAAAATCTCAAAGAAGTCTCAAAATAGCACAGGAGAGAGAATTTCCAAAAACTGGATAGGTATTTATTGGTAACTGAATTACATTTCTCTTTTATACATATTTCATAAATGATACAGGATTTTACATTTTTAAAGTTTTTATCTTTTTGAACATTACTGCATCCGATGCCAACTCATAAGAACAGAAGGAAAACGGAAAAAACAATCTAAAGGAAACAAAAGACTGAATCAGACATCCTGCTCTGTATTTTTTAAAAGTGTCTTTCTTATAATAAGTTCACACAAACAGGATGAAACTGTAAAACAAATGCACACATTCGAAACTTAAAAAAGAGAGAATTGAAAAAAAGAAAATGTCAAACGTGCACCCTCTGTATGATTCTCAGCATGCCATCAGTAGGAGGGTGTTTCGCATCTCTCCATCCTCCTGTCTGTGTGCACATCAAGGCATCTTGATGGGACAGAGGACATTGGCATGGACAGTCCCTGGACAACAGCCCGGAAAGAGAGGAGGAGCAGACAGAGAAACAGTAGGGAACAGTTGTGTGCAGTTCAAAACAGCACAAAATAACAAAAAACAAATGGTGTGAGAAACCAGTTCAACATCCTATCAGCCCTCACAAAATGAAGCTGGCGAAGTGACCTGACCAGAACTTCACCTGGACTTTTCCACCTTGAACTGGGTTTTATTGTTTATTCATGGTTTGAAGATCCTACTGTCCCATGACAGGGTATTCTTTAAAAACCAAACACAACTTTTTCTGATAAATCTTATAAAGGATTCTAATCCCTCCTTCCCCAAAGAAACATTTCTAATAATCAACCTCAATTCTTCATGCAAACATCAATTACAAACACAACTCTATTCTTATTGAAATGAGAATGAGGGTTCTGCAGACTGCCAGCTTACTTTGAAAGCAGTTGGCTGACGCGTTGCAAGGATGCAGTAGAAAACCTTAGCCAGACAACTTCTCCTCCCAATGTCTAAGGTTTCTGCTCCAGCTAGCTCAGTTGAAGCTAGGGGCGGACACTGTTAGTGCTTACTGTAAAGACAGATACAATAAAGGGGAAGAGGGGAGGTTTATGTATTAATTACCATGTTGCCTCAGGCGCAGTACTCATTTTCTGATGGCACATGGTGAAGATTGTTCGATAAAGTGCAACATTTTGGGCGGTAGTAAGATTGCACTTCAGAATTTCTGAAACAAATCAATTAATTTGGCTCTAATAATAATGTGCTATTCCTAAAAACACATTTAGCTTTTACCCCATCCCCTCCCCCAGGCACAGGGCAGTAACCACAAAGCCAGACACACATCAGCGACATTCCTGTATTCTGCATGCTGTAGCAAACTTGTTCCCCCCACCCCCCAAGCCACACCTCCTCTTGGACTGCAGACATGGCAAGAACAGGACAAGGCTATGTTCGAACAGCCCATAGCCCTGACACATCACATCCACACGACTGGAGGTGACATGATTACCGACACGACTCTGTGATAAAAATACAATGCATTCTTACATGATGCTTGTCATGAAACCGTCTTGTCATGTGATAAAATGAATTCATAGTCAAGTTTTTTTGCTTTCCACCATTGAAACATTATGATGCTACCCTACTACCACTACCAAGACCACCTAACACCCAATCCTATGGCCCCCAACCCACACCGGTGCTTTCTTGTCTCAATGGTCAAGAAAGAATCTTATCAAATGCAAAGGTTTTCAAGTACTAAAGACATCCAGACAACAAATGACTCATCTTGTGTCTTCAGCGAAGGTCCCAATCTTCGGGAGTTACTCAGACACAGCCACCCCCACGGACTTGAGAATACAGTTCAAAGCTTCTAGATGCCTCTTGACATCACCAAGGGAGGCTCCACAATCCCTATATGGGTTTGCATTAGCCTTACCTCTAAACAAGAGCCTTCAGAAACTTGTTCCTCAAACAGTACAGTGTCCCACAGTGGCTGCCTCGTCACTGTACTGTCCATAGAGGGCTGTGAGGCTCCATGTCTCCCCCTGGTGATGGCAGTAGGAACTGCATCTGATGCGATTTTTGGTTCAGCTGTTTTGGTTACAAATCGGCACCGGCCACTTCTTAACCAGGGCAAGTGCAAAGGACTGTACAAAGATGAGTGGCTTAGGGGGGTTCTCTCTCCAGTTGGGCTTCGACTCACTGGCCAAGCCCTACAGACAAGCTGTGAAGATCATGAGCAACACCAGAGATTTCTGCTGTTCTTTAAAACTACTATTGTCCAGCATGAGAATCAAATGCTGTTGCAACCACACCCACCCCCACAGTACAACCTTTATCATTGCAGCAGTGGCCTGTTTCACACTCCCTCCTGTCTTTCCAATGCAAAAATGCTCCTAATTCTTGCTGATGCCACTACCAGCATGGGAAATGTGAGTATGTACAGTACAGAAAATAAGCTAGAATGCTTCTCAACACCCATAGGCATCATTAACACTCAGAACCCAGAAATCAGATCCATACGGTTAACAGCTATGTGACTCATTTCTATTACAATACGGTGAGATTTAATTTAATAACAAAGCAAGATGAAAAATCTCTTGGATTACTGTAATGTGAGTGAGAGGTAAAATAATTTTGCACTGAAAGGCAGGGAAGGTGTGCAAACTGCTGTCATTAACCCACACCTAATCTCACACATACAGGACTACCACTGTAGATCTGAGTGCTGCACAGACTTCAGACCATACATTCACAAGACAGCCACACTGAGAGGCCTAAATTCCGGGCAATGCCAGTCCCAGTGACACAGTGAGCAAACATTACTGGCCCAAGTCACAGCCAGAAACACAGCAAACAGCGTGCAACATACACCTGTCTATACAGGCTGCAGTGAGGCACTGTAGGATCTTTACTTTGTGTCTTTTTACATTGGACAGTGTGGAAAATGCACAGGACAACAGCTCCCATGACTTCCAAAGAATTAAAACATTTTAAAATAAAAAAAAAATGGTGGATTGATGTTTTCCCTGAAAAAAAAGTCTGAGAATTAGAAAGATCTCTAATGAACAGGGGGGTTAGTAATAATTACCCTGCCTTTACAAACTGACAACACATTTCTCAATTCCAATTTGAAAAAAAAAATAGCAGTAAAAATAAAGACAGTAAAACATTATAACAGAATAACAAAAAAGTATTTCTGAAAAGCCCTGATATATACATTCACTTGCTCGGACTTGTGCCGCTGTCAGTATAGTAAAAACAGACTGGAGACGCATAGCATGGGCATTTGCAATCTCTTCTGGTGCTGAGTTTGCGTCTCAATTTACTAAGAGGACAACTACAGCCCCACATGTCCTGCAAGTGCGGTCTCTCGACGCAGTGTTGAGGGGTACAGTACAATGTGTTTAAGTGTGAACCCTAGTTTTCTGCATTCACATACTGCTATTAAGCTTTGACAAATTCATAGAAAATGTCCCCTCTAAGACTTCACAGACGCAAAAGCCCCACTTTCCAAAACATGTTCTGTTGTTTTACCGATTTTTACAAATTTAATATGGCTTTTTAAAAAAAACAGCATGTCACAAATATTTTGATCTCTGTTGTCACAGCCTCCCCCGCAGTGATTGTGGTACAGTGCTCAACCCAAACTCTTTCCTCAGAGTACACTGCTGCTGTTCACACAACATACAGTCAGAGTATGGCTGCTGATTAGAGTATTCTCCATTATTATTAATGTCGAAATAGGTTTCCTGACTCAGAGCAGTAGGAGTGCACTGTAGGAAGAGCCTGTAAGACAGCAGTGCTTGGGGAGGTGAATGTCGTCCGGCAACAGAAGAGGAGGGCTCAATGCAAAAACCTTAAGACCCATTTTCAGTCAGTTGGCTCATCCCTGATCTCCACACTTAACAGGATGACTTCTGTAATCTTTTTGCTTTGGATAATAATCAGCTGAATTTGTTTTCTCCACATAAGAATCAGCTAAAAATTCGGATTCTTAAACGTTTTGACACTTGCTGTAAACTGGGAGAATTTTTTGTTTTGCCCTGAAACAAAAAAACCCCAAACCTTTGAAAAGCCCCCTGTTCATCAGTGAGTGTTATTACCGCAGGCTAACAGGCACCCAATACCCCTCTCCTCCTTTCCTTGGTGGTAACAAGGCATTACGACTGCCCCCTCTGTCCGGCCGCTACGCTCCCTCCTCCCCCTCAGCCGGCTGCTGTGTCAGTCCGCGCCGCGGCCGGCTGGCTGTCGCTGCGCCGGCGTCTTCGCGGTAAATGACAGCATCGCTGCCGTTCTGCTCCCCATGGCTGACGCTCACAGGCTGGGATACAGCAATGTATTGTTTGTGTCTGCGCTGTTCTTCTTTACCTGCCTGGGTTGATTATTGTCCCTTGGTGGTACAAAATGATCTGGGTTCCACTTTTGTGTTGTGTTTTCAGACGAAAGGTAAAAAATAATAAGAACCCCCTCCCCCCACCTTGTTTGGAGCCAGGCTGGAGGGAGACTAGGAGGGTGAGGAGGATGAGGAGTAGAGGGAGTGGGGGGGGGGGGGGGGGGGGTTGGGGCAATGGTGAGGGAGGAAGAAAGGGAACGAGGGGGAAAGGGGGAGGGGGGAGGGGAGTGGGTCACTCTGCCCATCAATCCTTGTTGCCGGTGATCTGCTGGACGGGGAGCTGCAGCTGTAGGGGGTCTCTCAGGCGCTTCAGGTCCAGCTCAGCCTGAGGAGAGAGGGAGGAAAGGACAGGAAAGAGGAGAGACGGGAGAACGGAGCAGAGGAGCACAGTGAGTGCAGAGAGAGGACAAAATCGGGAGAGCACAGCGAGGAGTGGAAAGGTCCCCCAAAAACCGGGAACGTAGAGTACAGGAGAGCGAAGAGAAGTGGTGAGAGGCAGGGAGGAGAGGAGAATGGAGGACGAGAGAGAGAGAGAGAGAAAAAAGGAGAAAGGGGAGAGGGTGGTTTACACTCGGAACTACTGCATCTGACAGCAGCACTGCTTATAGACAGCGTGTGAGTTTATAGTCAGTGCACCTGAGCAGACAGGGGGCTACTGCTGGACTGAGGAGCTGGGGTCTCGGACTCAAAGTTGAAAAAGGACTGTGAACAGCAGTGGGGGTTGGTGGGAGGGAAGGAGGACGGAAAACAATTCAACAGCTGAAAGGTATAAAGCAAACAAGCTCTTCCATATTCACGTGAGCCAAGCTGATATAACCAGTCATGTAAGACTTCTAATCAAGAAAGGTTTGATTGTTGTACCAAAAGCACAGAAGTGTTTTGGTGTCAAATGGACAAACAGTCTTGTTATATGATAGTTCTTCCAATATAATCTTTAAGGTTATACTTGACTAGGAACAGCCCCTCCCGCCCCCACAGTAGGGTCCCTCCGTACCTGGGCAATGGCGTCCTTCAGCCTGTTGTATTTCTCAAGGTCAAACCGGATCTTCTTCACTCCTTTGTGGAAAAACAGCAGGTACTGTCGATCCCGGGCATCAGGATAGATGTACTCCTACAGAGAGAGGGGGAACAGGACATGAAACACAGAGGTATGGAGAAAGAGGTGGGCTGCTGGTTCCAGGCAGACCTACAGAAAGAGAAGGATGGTCAGAAGAAAGCTCAGCAGACGAGCAGTGTCTGGCTCTGGGGACTGACCTGGCGTGTGAGGACGAAGTACGCGTACATGGCCATGGCGCTGCCGTAGGTGATGAAGTAAGTGACGGGCTCCATGATATCCCAGGAGTACTCCCACCATGTCAGGCGTGCCAGCACGCCGAACTGAGTCGCCATGTATGCCATTCCTCCCCACAGAACCCAGGTGGTCCGGCGCTCTGCCTTCCGGCTTAACTCCTCCTTCATCTGAGGAGAGAGACGGAGGGAAAGGATCGGTGAGACAGAGCGGATGAAGGAGGGGCGGGGACAGGGAATGGCTAAACAAGGCAAGAAGGGCTGAAAACAAGTGAGGCAGGAAAGGGAGGAATGAGGTTGTGGACAGAAAGGAAAGAAGGAGAGAGACGAGGAACAGAGGTACTGAAATCCAGGTGGTAGCAAGCTTTGGAGTGAAAAAGGAACGGATGGAGGGTTGGAGATGAGAGGTCTGTGCTGTATCCAGTGGGCAGGGCTACGGACCTTTTCTAAGGGGAGAAGCTGAGAGTTGAGGTCCTCAAGTCGGCCAATCAGCTCACGCTCCTTGTGCAGCTGGTGCTCCTCAATGCGTAGGGTGGTGTAGAGCTGCTGCACCAGCATCTTCACATCATTCAGGGTCTCTGCGTCTTCGTGGGACAGTCGGTCTGAGAGAGGGACAGGGGAAAGCGCTGGAGATGGGCCAGCTGCACCTATAGTGTGCTGTCGGACGGTCGAAGTGAGGCCGTTAACCTCACTTGTCCATAACACACAGCAAGCTGCAGAAGACCTTGGTGGAGAGACCCAATTGTATACATTCAAAACTGAACAATTCTAAATTCTTTGTACAAGAAAGAGAAGCATGTATGCAAAACACTGGACAGGTAAGTCCATTTAAGTCCATTTAAATGACCCTCCCCCAGCACTCCAGCCCAGCCATCTCTCACCTCTCTTGGGCGGCCGGACGTGGTATGTGGTGTCATTGATGACCAAGTTGAAGTCGTCTAGCAGCAGGATGTCTATGCCTGTGGAGGAGGCTACCCGAGCTCCATCTGAGAGAGAAAGGGTCTCGCTGTTTGACAGTGAATTTGAGATATTCCTGTTGCGCACCGCACTAACTAGAATAGCACAAGGGACACCTTTCAGCCCTGATTCTGGAAATCAGTCTGAGAATTCCCACACGTCTGACGAACTGGAAGCTTGGCTGGCTGCAAAATCCACAGCTACTGGTCACAGCCAGAGGAAAACATCGCACTCACAACACAGCTGCCACTGATGGAGAGCCCACATGGTTTGTCTATTCTCATTTATCTGTCTTGTCAGTTGTTTGCCAGCTATAGTATTACCTAGTCATAATTTTATTTTTGTTCTGTGACATTTTGGCAGTCTTTTCAACTGTTTATATAGTACTGTTAATTACAAGTTGTATTATTAGATTTTTGTAATTGTTTGGCAATTGCTCAAATGCTTGTCATTCCAATAAAACTGATTTTGAAAGAATGAATGAGAATGAATGCAGTGTACAAGTGCAGCACAGAGCACTGCATCTGTGATACAATACAGTAAAACTCCTTTACTTTACATGGCAGCATCCTATACTGTATAGAGCTGTGGAATAGAGTTGTGTCCAGTGCTGTATAGAGCAGCACGTCTGTGGAATACAGAGCTGTGTCCTGTGCTGTGTAGAGCAGGTCTGTGGAATAGAGTTGTGTCCAGTGCTGTATAGAGCAGCAGGTCTAGACAATACAAAGACGTTTACCTGTCGAGTAAATGGCGACACGGTCGATGCCCCGATCCTCAGCTTGCAGCTGCTGTAGGAAAATGCCCACAGAGTCGGAAATGGGTTTGAGGGTGAACTGGCAGACCTCCCTCCTTGATGGCAGTCTGACCGAGATTACTGGCAGGCCATTATGGTACAGCACACTCACCTCTGGGAGAGAGGGGAAAAAAGGCAAAAGTTGAGAGAGCTTGGTTTGGCAACACAGATGCAGACAAACAATATCAGCCACAGCACGACACATACAAATAAACCTTAAAATGTAAACTAAGTAACAATACTGTATAAACAATATTATTTACATGACTGTAAACTTCTTGACATCTTCCCTCAATGAAGTCTGAACCTGTACATAATTTCTTATTGGTTTTAAGAAAATTTCTCATGACTACTTAGGGAAGCAGATACATTTTCAAACTGAGAGCCAGGGACACTTGGGTGTACACAGGGAAGGTCCAGGAAATTTCCTCCAGAGAAACCCTGGAACGATTTCACCCAGTACCTACAATACATCAGCCTAGTAATTCTGCAACCACAAAAAATCCCTATTGATCGGTGTATATAGGAAAGGGTTTTTCAAACAGACAGGCAAAGAGGGTCAAACATATTTGCCTGATCTGAAATATTTTTTGTGCTCAGGATTTATCACTGTTTGGGATTAAACAAGCCACTCAGGGTGCACCTAAACAGCCTGTCTGCAACTTTAATCACATAGCGTCACCTGTTAGTGGCCTGATCTCACCAGATCTCAGAAGACAAAAAAGTCTGATCCTCGCCAGTGCCAATGCTGCTTATAAGCGATATTGGAAGACCATCTGGTGGCATTCTTCCATCCAGTTTCTCCCATTTTCAGACCAGTATGGTAACTGGAAACACTGTGCTGTAGGAGGTACAGACTTTTGAATGAGTTGTTAAAACAATTATCATCCTGACTAATTGGTCAGGATGATATGGCATTTTTTGAAAAAGTAGGGGTGCTAAGCTCTGCTTCCTAGCTCGTTCCATTTTTGGGTTTGGTCAATCAGGCTTTCAATCAATGGGTGAGGTAATTTTGCATGTCTCCATCAGACCTACTGTGCAGTCAGGCTGTTGTCGCATGATGCCTGCTGCATGTCACGGGGGTGATCAGGATAATGAAGGTAGTCAGCAAAGCCACTGGTGCACAACAGCTACAACTGGCAGACATCTATACCAAACCAGCAGCGGAGAAGGCCAAAAGAATCTGTCAAGACCACCCCTTGCACAGTATATCTGAACTCCTTCCATCAGGAAGTTGATTTAGACTACCCAAATTTAAGTGCAATAGAACTTAGCCTTTATTCTTTATTCCCATGGCTATTATCCTGATTTATCTGGACATATCCTGATTCATCTGACTGTATATTTTACTTTTTTATTTTTCTTCAAACATGTACCTTATGCATCTACAGTACCTCGCATGCTGATGGACCAATTTTTTTATTTTGTTCTACATTGTGAAGATTATTTAAACAGCCAACTTGTTTTCCCTCATCTTATGCCTGTATGTTTCTTATTTGTAAATGGCACATGTTGTGTTAAACATGTTACGTATTGTGTCATGTCTTGTACCTGCTTGCAATGAAAATGTCCCACCTGGGACATTAAAACAAAGTAGTGGGTGATGCACCTCAGTGGTGGATGAAGTGGGTCCCAGCATTTTTCAACACTTTTGGATCCTTTGGTAAGAAAAGTGCTGTATAAATACAATTAATTATTGTTATTAATATTTTATTATTAATAACAATAATGATTAAAATGTTTAAGGATAAATCCAGTAGATTCATTGTCAAATTTTCTCCAACAGAGGGCAGTGCCATACAGACAGTTATACCTGAAAGGCATTCCCCTCAGAGTACAGTTATTATATATTATACTTCTCAGATTTACTCATCTAATACAGCAATCTAACACGACAGAGGCCAAGGAGGTGCTGGGAAGATCAGATTTCTGCAGGATATTAATCAGGTCTGCCTGATGTTTCAAAAAAGGTGAATAACCACGCCAGCGATTTCTCACTTTCTTTAAAAGATTAAATGAACTGAACCGCTGCACACCAGGATCCTGTGGGTTGTGGGGAGGTGTGGGTCTTGCCAAAAACAGATTTCACCATGTAACTGCTGGGTGTAGGTTTAGCAGATATTGCCTTATCTGAAAAGTGCTCTGAGATACTTAACTGCAATGAAAACTGGGAACAGAACAGCTCACTGTTGATGTAAGAAGACCTCCTAGCCACTCCAGAACCAAAACCCAGACTGAGATTGTCCTCAATCCATTATCCTAGCCTTGGAAGTCTGTTCTTACTGAGATTGATTAGATTAGGTCCTTCATTTCCTTACACACTCAACCCAACAAGCAACCCAACTCTACAGAAAATCCTGGTCAACTAGCTTATCGTTCACGTTTCCTCATGATGTCCCGCCTTTGACCTGGCAAGGCTTGCATCTTCACAAAGCTCTTTTGAGAAATGCTTTAAGCCATGTCTTGACAGTGCCCCATCACTTGAGTCACTGGGCTGATCGAGGCAAATTATTATTCGACCACCAGTCTTCTTGTATCACTCTGTGGAGTCAAACTGGTAGATACACCTGCTCCGTTCACAAAAGTCGTACAAAAGGGAGATTATGACATTTAGCTTGCGTGTTTTCTGAGGGTATTTAATTTGTAGGCGTCTTAATCCATCATGGCTGGGCTGTTAGCTTTCAGCGAGTGGAAAAAACACTAGAAATTGTAAAACGCTTAGATGGGATTGATAGTAACATGAACAACTTAACAGAGAACCCATTAGATTTAAAATAAACCTTTTTGGTGAATCTGAGACATACACGTCTCAAAAGATTCACACCGTAATTACAATTAACAAGGATTTATTTTTGTTGTATTTCTCCAATTACTGTGCATCAGGGCTGTGCTGATGTATATTCCTGGAGACTTCAAACCTGATCTGTCCTCAATAACTCCTTCACATTCTGTCTGCTGGCTCTTATTGCTGATATCATTGCGACATTTTTAAAATGAACTTCGGAATTAATCAAACCGGCTTTGCATTGCTGCCCCCTCAGCAGCTGCCAGCAATTATTGTTTTGTTTTTTAAATTAACAGGTACTAGCTAAAAACTGTTTAACAAGCGTCCTTTTCCAATCAGCTCAGCATTACAGAGTCCCCACACAATAAAGCATGGCTCTAAACTCTCCAGGTTTCATTTCTGACTGCTTCACCTGCTTTAACAGCTTTAATAAGGGTCATTAAAGGTTCTGCGTTTCCTACAGAAATTGCTGACAGTTGATAACCAGAATAAACAAGTGTAAAGACATTACTAACAAAGAATAGGCTGCACACCTGTCTCATAAAGCAAAGGCATTCAGTCTGAGAAACACCCTTGATGAAATAAAACACGGATTAACAAACACAATGGGGAAGATTAATCAAAGGTCACTTGCTAGTTGGATGATATTCTTCTGTGCTAATGCCTCCCACCTCCATTCTGGGAAATCCAGTATTCCAGGATTTTGATCCAGCCATCACCTAGTCTTCAATTTTTGAATCTACACAGCATGTTTGTGGTACCAAACTTACACTGACTGGGAATAATTCATTGGACCTCACAACTCTTAAAAGCTCCCAAAACACATCCTAGAGCTGACCTAAGCAAGTCTGGTAGAGAGTGTGCATTCTTTTAACATTTCCACTTGGTGTGGGAGTCTTAGTGTTAGGGGTAGAGCTAAACTCTCAAGGATTATAAACACAGGCAGCAAAATGATTGGTTAAAAAGAACCAGCTGATCCACGTCTACACTAGGAGTGTTTACAGGAAAGAAGAAGTAATAGTAAATTATGCCTCACATCCACTAAGCTTCCAATCTGAAAAATTACCCTCCAGAAGATATTTTAGAGAACCAAAGGTTACAAAAAACAATTTTAAGAAGTCGTTCATTCTATGTGCCGTTACTCTTTAAAACCGTGATGTATGAGCCCCTTCAGAACACAGCACTTACAGCATATATATGCATGCAGCTCACACTTGAATCTTACATTTCTGTACTGTATTGTATCACATTGTTATTTACATTAGATTGATTGTATACATCTGTAAAATACACTGATTTTTTTGTCATCCATATATACAGTTTTTGTTGTTGTCTCAGCGAGGCCAAAGGACACTTTCCACTGTATGTGGACAATAAAGTAAATTCTGATTTTATTAGTCTGTAAAAAAAAAAGAAAACTGAAGACTGAAGCTAGGAAGAAATGAGGCTTTATAACTTCCTTTCCTACAATGCACAAACTCACCGTCGGGTGATGCTGCAACAGATGAGCACAGCAGTCTTTGACCCTTCCATGTTGGGATTGCCTTCCAGGCCTGTGGAGAGAGAAAACAGAGAGTGAAGAGGGAGGAGAGATGAAAAGGAATGGAAATGTTTTAAAGAAACTCCTTGACAACCATTTATTGGTTATCCCAGTCTGGAATCCCAGACTGACCCTGACTGAGGCTATTCATTCCTTCCCAAAAATCCCTGTCTAGCAGGCTCCTGTGTCTGTGGGTCTGCCTGCATGGGTATGAGTTCCTGTGAGTGCCTTTTATCCCTGGTTGCTATAAACCAGTGTACAGTGTGTTGCAGTACAGCAGACAGAGTTTACTGGCTGCCCCACCTTACTGAGGAGTATTATTGGCTTGTGGCTGCCCTGGTCTCATGGAAACTCTGAGCTGCTGGAAACGCACACGGTACACAAAGAATTATATTCCACAAACTTCAGTTGCTAAGATGCGCAGAACCCGAGATACCTCTGTGAAACGCACTCTTATTGTTTCCCCAAACAGGCACAAATCGGAAACAGCAGACTGCAACAACGTCGTTGTTCTTTGTGTAATTTGAACATTGGCGAGAAAAGCAATGCAAGAACAGGGGCCAGTTATGAACCAGGGAAATGTAATAACTCTGTCAGAGTGTGTTACCGTGAAACCACACTGTGGAGACGCATTGCCTGCACAATAGGAGACCTGGAGAGATTCCAAAACCCCCCTGTCTTTCCCTTTACCTGCCCCCTCCCTCCCTTACATCCCCTGCATCTCCCATCAAAGCGTGCCAGATGGGAAACATATGTTTGGAATAAAAAAAACGGGCACATTTTCTTCTCAAAGATCTGGCATGACAAACAGACCTTGTAAGGCATTGTAATAAAAGCTGTGCATCACCGCCAAGCAGGCTGACGTGCAGACTTCCCCCATGATAAAGAGGAAGAGGGATCAGGCATGAAGTGCCATCTCCATTTATTTCATCTCATAGAATTTCCTTTAGATCCCTGCATTAAAATGGCTTGCTCTGATAAAACACTTACACAATATCAGATCAGAACCAAATCAGAAAAAATATAAATAACAATTTCAGAACAGTGGCTGAGTTTGGAGTCTAGCTCCTGACTGTGATGCAGTGCCGTGATCCCAGGAAACAGCAGACCAGAACAGGAACATCTGTTCCCTTGTAACCCAAACCAGCCAGCCATGGGCCACTGTGCAATGGATACTAAACTGCTCCAGAATTTATAGCACACAAGGGATAGGCACTGATGTTGATTCCAGATAACGTTTGATTTAGGATTTTTATCGTGACCCCCATTAAACATCACACACAGCAAAAAACGCAAGACTTTTAAAAAATACATCCATGCCTGCATTTTTAAACTCAATTGCAAAGAAGTGACGTTCATGGGAGTATGTTGATATGTTCTTAGATGACGGCAAAGCAGGCCATAGATGTGCAATACTTACACAGCTCCGTGCCCCCACCCTGAAGCACATGGCAGAGAGACCCTCCCCCACAGCCCTGCCTCTCTCTACAGTGACGTTACATTTTAGAGAGAAGGATGCTGTATGGATATAATGCAACAAACTCCAAACCGTCTATATAATGCACCAGCATGTCAAGTGAAAACGGTTACCTGTGGCTTTCTTTAGTTGTGGGCAGTACCGTTACAAAAAACACAAACATGTTTCTCTGCACAGTCTCTTTCGTTTATTCCTTTCACCTGAATTAAAAAATCTACATATCTCCATAAATTCTTGATTTCAGAATTTTATGGAGTAGAGCTTGTATTATACAGAAAAGCAGAGTAACTACAATATAGTGCGATAATTACACTGGTCAATGATACTGCTGAACTTCAACACAGGCCATAGCTAGAACCGCACTAAACAGGTTACGTTTAGGTCACCATACTGAGCACCGAGATCAGCTTCCTTTCAGAACTCAGAAACACTACTTCTAGCACTGTGTGCAGCAACATGCAACAACTTACAGCACATAAACTTAAATAATTGCTGCTTTCAGTTATGCATCGCAGTAAAGAAAATTGCATCAGCTTTATGATGACTAACATTTTTATATAGAGCCTGGTGGGCTCATCAGAATGCTACTTCACTACCGACTGAAATAACTCAGGCTCCACTGAGGGCTAAAGGGGAAAAACGAGCAGCCGACTGGAACTAAGTTCACTAACCAGGCCAATAAGGATCTGTCTCATCTGAGTTTAACTTGAAGAAATGGCCTTGCATCCAGATATTATCATCATTAATACAGAATGGAAGAACATTTGTTTAGTAGATCTAGGGTCCAATCATTTTTTCATGGGTAATGGCTTTGGCAACATGACAGGTTAGCTTGTTCCAGACTCCCACACCCTTTTGGGTGAAGATATGCCCCCAAGTTCTAATAGGGTAATTTAATATCAGGCTCTGCTTAACAAAATTGGGAGTGGTGTATATGCATTTATATGAAATGAATATTGTATGGTCAAATTATATATCACCATGAGAAATATATAAATACTAACATGTACTTGGCCCAGAACAGAACCTTGCGGAACACCACTGGAGACAGTATTCTGAGATGTAAAACCACCAATAAACATGTGTATTCCACAAAAGAATTGGTCCATCCTTAAGGTACTTAAGGTTGTGTGAAGAATACAACACAAAGCAACAGCATTCAGATCCAGAAGAAAAACTGACAACTGATCCATTGTCCTCAGACTTCAAGCATATCCTCTTAATAAGAGCAGTGTCTGACACAGAAGAGGAAATGCATTCTGGAAAGCTTCCTGCAGGTCATTGTGGGCTACATGCTACTGTATCTGAAAGTCCACCTCAGGCTTCTCAGGGAACACCTTCACCCCAAGAAGGTCAACTGGAAATAGACTCATAATTTCTTAAAATGCCTTGCTCAATACTGAAGTAGTGGTGGTTTGTTTAAAAGCAGAAGCTACCACCCCAGGCTTCAGTGAACTCCTTAGAATTACTAACTGAAAATTAACTCGCAGCAGGAAAGCATGAAGATAACCTTGCACCAGGCACAAAGATGGCAGAAGCACATACAGTAGAAATCATTAATTGTACCGTGCATGACCTGAAACAGATGGTTTTGCAGAAGTTTAATTTTTTTTTAAACGACATGAGCAGAAGAACTATACAACTAGGCAGTTCCACTATATCAGGAGGGTGTGTGTTTATTTAACCCAGCAGGGTGACAAAGTTGCATTAAGAATGCAGGACTGTGAGGACTGGTGGCCTTCCAGGTTTGAGGGAGATTCCCTTATCTTATCTCATTGGGTAAACAATGGATCATCAATGGCACAAGAAAGCAGTACATTAATTAATTATGAAGTGTTAATGAAGATCCAGCCAAAGATTCTATTTCTTCTGCAACAATGCAGCCTAAGACATTACATTCCCCCCAAGAATAAGGTTAAGTGGCTCCAGATCATAGTCCTAAAATATTCTTTCTACTTTGATTTATACAAATGTACCAAAGAAGCTGACTGTGTAATTATAACATTACTAAACACATTGCTTCTTTCAGCCTACATGTGTACTCCAAACAAAGGAGCACCCTTGAAATATCCAGCACTCAATGTTGTCAACTATGCCAGCCCACCACTCAGAAAACCCAAAATGGAACAAACTATGATGCAACACAGATTCTAAGCCATCACTCTGCACACTTTCATTAAAATGGATTTTGGGATAGTGCAAAATAAGACCAGTGTAGCCTGGATACTGTTGTTTCCTAGTAAAGAGGGAAAAGCAGGAATAGGCACCAATGTAAGAGAAAACAAATGCAGCCTTGAACACTGTGGGAATTACCGCGGCCTGGTGAGCAAACTTGACCCACACTTTGAGTTAACAAAGGAGAGGAGGCCATTTGCCCCATCTAACCATTTGGTAGTTAGTAGCTCATTGATCCATGGATCTCATCCAGGAAGAAGCCAATGTAGCAGCTTCGACAATAGGGCTGGGAAGCTTGTTCCAGACTTCCATAACACTCGGAGGAAAGAAGTGTTTCCTGTTCCTAGTTCTAAATGCACTGCCACAAGGTCTTGGCCCTGAAGCATCCTCTCATGCACTTCTCCTCCTTATGTATCTGCAAACTGTGCCCTGTCCTGATCCTTGAAACGCACAGCATTGCCAAAGTGGCACTACAACATATATTTTCCCAAGTCTTTGGAAAGAAAACTAACCTAAGACTTCCCATGTTCGGGTACCTTCAGCCCAGGAATACAGCAGTGCACTTTCGCTCTTTGAGCCTCCACGCTGTGGCTAACTGAATGACAACTGAATCTCTTCAGCAGCTCAAGAACATTTGAGTGGGTCAAATTCTAGTACAGGAACAGCAATGTACAGCAGTTTAATCCATCTTAAAACTCAACTGACAGTCCTGACTCTCAGCTAGCACAGGATTCACAAACACAAAGAGACACTGAGGGATAGAAGATGAAAATGAAATAGGTCAAGACTGCATGCTGCTCAGTGCATTTTTTTGCCAGGCACTGAAATCATGGGACATGAATTATTGCAGTATTGCCTCTCTCTTTGTAGCGTTCCTGGAGTAAGTGTACTGAGTAAACATGACTCATGTTGGAAGTGAAGAAGCACCACATGGCTGGTTCTACACTGGGAGACGGAGAGTTTCAGGAGGACTGTAGCTTTGGCAACCTGTGTTATATATTTAATCAGCTCCAAGCACATGCAGTATTTGGTTTCTAAATCAGTCACACATGAATACAGGACTATTATTTACTGCCATTGCTGCATGACAACAGGACAAATACACAATTTAAGATTTGCAATAAGTGTTTATTGATAAATTGATCAAATCTCTGCAGCCAACACAGGACCAATGTTTACTGTACACGTGAGCATGAAACACAAATCGCTGGGCTGTGCTTTTGGAGTTTCTGGGCTGTGTAGGAATGTGTGGGGAGGGAGGCAGGACTGAGCCAGCAGGACCAGTAAGGAGAGATGGGGTGGGGCAGTAGAGATGTTCACAGCAGAAGGAGGGAGCATGTCATGTCACTGTGTTCAGAGGG